GGACTGTTCCCTTCAGGACTGTTCCCTTCAGGACTGTTCCCTTCAGGACTGTTCCCTTCAGGACTGTTCCCTTCAGGACTGTTCCCTTCAGGACTGTTCCCTTCAGGACTGTTCCTTTCAGGACTGTTCCTTTCAGGACTGTTCCTTTCAGGACTGTTCCTTTCAGGACTGTTCCTTTCAGGACTGTTCCCTTCAGGACTGTTCCCTTCAGGACTGTTCCCTTCAGGACTGTTCCCTTCAGGACTGTTCCTTTCAGGACTGTTCCTTTCAGGACTGTTCCTTTCAGGACTGTTCCTTTCAGGACTGTTCCTTTCAGGACTGTTCCTTTCAGGACTGTTCCTTTCAGGACTGTTCCCTTCAGGACTGTTCCCTTCAGGACTGTTCCCTTCAGGACTGTTCCCTTCAGGACTGTTCCCTTCAGGACTGTTCCCTTCAGGACTGTTCCCTTCAGGACTGTTCCCTTCAGGACTGTTCCTTTCAGGACTGTTCCTTTCAGGACTGTTCCTTTCAGGACTGTTCCTTTCAGGACTGTTCCTTTCAGGACTGTTCCCTTCAGGACTGTTCCCTTCAGGACTGTTCCCTTCAGGACTGTTCCCTTCAGGACTGTTCCCTTCAGGACTGTTCCCTTCAGGACTGTTCCCTTCAGGACTGTTCCCTTCAGGACTGTTCCCTTCAGGACTGTTCCTTTCAGGACTGTTCCTTTCAGGACTGTTCCTTTCAGGACTGTTCCTTTCAGGACTGTTCCTTTCAGGACTGTTCCTTTCAGGACTGTTCCCTTCAGGACTGTTCCCTTCAGGACTGTTCCCTTCAGGACTGTTCCCTTCAGGACTGTTCCCTTCAGGACTGTTCCCTTCAGGACTGTTCCCTTCAGGACTGTTCCCTTCAGGACTGTTCCTTTCAGGACTGTTCCTTTCAGGACTGTTCCTTTCAGGACTGTTCCTTTCAGGACTGTTCCTTTCAGGACTGTTCCTTTCAGGACTGTTCCTTTCAGGACTGTTCCCTTCAGGACTGTTCCCTTCAGGACTGTTCCCTTCAGGACTGTTCCCTTCAGGACTGTTCCCTTCAGGACTGTTCCCTTCAGGACTGTTCCCTTCAGGACTGTTCCCTTCAGGACTGTTCCCTTCAGGACTGTTCCCTTCAGGACTGTTCCCTTCAGGACTGTTCCTTTCAGGACTGTTCCTTTCAGGACTGTTCCTTTCAGGACTGTTCCTTTCAGGACTGTTCCTTTCAGGACTGTTCCTTTCAGGACTGTTCCTTTCAGGACTGTTCCCTTCAGGACTGTTCCCTTCAGGACTGTTCCCTTCAGGACTGTTCCCTTCAGGACTGTTCCTTTCAGGACTGTTCCTTTCAGGACTGTTCCTTTCAGGACTGTTCCTTTCAGGACTGTTCCTTTCAGGACTGTTCCTTTCAGGACTGTTCCTTTCAGGACTGTTCCCTTCAGGACTGTTCCCTTCAGGACTGTTCCCTTCAGGACTGTTCCCTTCAGGACTGTTCCCTTCAGGACTGTTCCCTTCAGGACTGTTCCCTTCAGGACTGTTCCCTTCAGGACTGTTCCCTTCAGGACTGTTCCCTTCAGGACTGTTCCTTTCAGGACTGTTCCTTTCAGGACTGTTCCTTTCAGGACTGTTCCTTTCAGGACTGTTCCTTTCAGGACTGTTCCTTTCAGGACTGTTCCTTTCAGGACTGTTCCCTTCAGGACTGTTCCTTTCAGGACTGTTCCCTTCAGGACTGTTCCCTTCAGGACTGTTCCCTTCAGGACTGTTCCCTTCAGGACTGTTCCCTTCAGGACTGTTCCCTTCAGGACTGTTCCCTTCAGGACTGTTCCCTTCAGGACTGTTCCCTTCAGGACTGTTCCCTTCAGGACTGTTCCCTTCAGGACTGTTCCTTTCAGGACTGTTCCTTTCAGGACTGTTCCCTTCAGGACTGTTCCTTTCAGGACTGTTCCCTTCAGGACTGTTCCCTTCAGGACTGTTCCCTTCAGGACTGTTCCCTTCAGGACTGTTCCCTTCAGGACTGTTCCCTTCAGGACTGTTCCCTTCAGGACTGTTCCCTTCAGGACTGTTCCCTTCAGGACTGTTCCTTTCAGGACTGTTCCTTTCAGGACTGTTCCTTTCAGGACTGTTCCTTTCAGGACTGTTCCTTTCAGGACTGTTCCTTTCAGGACTGTTCCCTTCAGGACTGTTCCCTTCAGGACTGTTCCCTTCAGGACTGTTCCCTTCAGGACTGTTCCTTTCAGGACTGTTCCTTTCAGGACTGTTCCTTTCAGGACTGTTCCTTTCAGGACTGTTCCTTTCAGGACTGTTCCTTTCAGGACTGTTCCTTTCAGGACTGTTCCCTTCAGGACTGTTCCCTTCAGGACTGTTCCCTTCAGGACTGTTCCCTTCAGGACTGTTCCCTTCAGGACTGTTCCCTTCAGGACTGTTCCCTTCAGGACTGTTCCCTTCAGGACTGTTCCTTTCAGGACTGTTCCTTTCAGGACTGTTCCTTTCAGGACTGTTCCTTTCAGGACTGTTCCCTTCAGGACTGTTCCCTTCAGGACTGTTCCCTTCAGGACTGTTCCCTTCAGGACTGTTCCCTTCAGGACTGTTCCCTTCAGGACTGTTCCCTTCAGGACTGTTCCCTTCAGGACTGTTCCCTTCAGGACTGTTCCTTTCAGGACTGTTCCTTTCAGGACTGTTCCTTTCAGGACTGTTCCTTTCAGGACTGTTCCTTTCAGGACTGTTCCTTTCAGGACTGTTCCTTTCAGGACTGTTCCCTTCAGGACTGTTCCCTTCAGGACTGTTCCCTTCAGGACTGTTCCCTTCAGGACTGTTCCCTTCAGGACTGTTCCTTTCAGGACTGTTCCTTTCAGGACTGTTCCTTTCAGGACTGTTCCTTTCAGGACTGTTCCTTTCAGGACTGTTCCTTTCAGGACTGTTCCCTTCAGGACTGTTCCCTTCAGGACTGTTCCCTTCAGGACTGTTCCCTTCAGGACTGTTCCCTTCAGGACTGTTCCCTTCAGGACTGTTCCCTTCAGGACTGTTCCCTTCAGGACTGTTCCTTTCAGGACTGTTCCTTTCAGGACTGTTCCTTTCAGGACTGTTCCTTTCAGGACTGTTCCTTTCAGGACTGTTCCCTTCAGGACTGTTCCCTTCAGGACTGTTCCCTTCAGGACTGTTCCCTTCAGGACTGTTCCCTTCAGGACTGTTCCCTTCAGGACTGTTCCCTTCAGGACTGTTCCTTTCAGGACTGTTCCCTTCAGGACTGTTCCTTTCAGGACTGTTCCTTTCAGGACTGTTCCTTTCAGGACTGTTCCTTTCAGGACTGTTCCCTTCAGGACTGTTCCCTTCAGGACTGTTCCCTTCAGGACTGTTCCCTTCAGGACTGTTCCCTTCAGGACTGTTCCCTTCAGGACTGTTCCCTTCAGGACTGTTCCCTTCAGGACTGTTCCCTTCAGGACTGTTCCCTTCAGGACTGTTCCCTTCAGGACTGTTCCCTTCAGGACTGTTCCCTTCAGGACTGTTCCTTTCAGGACTGTTCCTTTCAGGACTGTTCCTTTCAGGACTGTTCCTTCCAGTGAGCAAACGCCCTCATGCTTCTGTAAGTCAACACTTTTCTTCTGAGTGAGTCGTTGCTTCTGGTTCTTGTGAGGCGAAGCTTCTCCTTCCTCTGAGCCGACGCTTATCGTTCCTGTGAGTCAATGCTTTTGCTTCCAGCGAGTCAACGCTTCTCCTTCCTGTGTGTTAATGCTTCTCCTTCCTGTGAGTCAACGCTTCTCCTTCCTGTGAGTCAACGCTTCTCCTTCCTGTGAGTCGATGCTTCTCCTTCCTGTGAGTCGACGCTTCTCCTTACTGTGAGTCGACGCTTCTCTTTACTGTGAGTCGACGCTTCTCCTTCCTGTGAGTCGACGCTTCTCCTTTCTGTAACTCAACACTTCTCCTTCCTGTGAGTCAACACTCCCCTTCCTGTGAGTCAACGCATCTCCTTCCGGTGAGTCAACGCTTCTTCTTCCTGTGAGTCAACGCTTCTCCTTCCTGTGAGTCAACGCTTCTCCTTCCTGTGAGTCGACGCTTCTCCTTACTGTGAGTCGACGCTTCTCCTTACTGTGAGTCGACGCTTCTCCTTCCTGTGAGTCGACGCTTCTCCTTCCTGTGAGTCGACGCTTCTCCTTTCTGTAACTCAACACTTCTCCTTCCTGTGAGTCAACACTCCCCTTTCTGTGAGTCAACGCATCTCCTTCCGGTGAGTCAACGCTTCTTCTTCCTGTGAGTCAACGCTTCTCCTTCCTGTGAGTCAACGCTTCTCCTTCCTGTGAGTCGACGCTTCTCCTTCCTGTGAGTCGACGCTTCTCCTTACTGTGAGTCAACGCTTCTCCTTACTGTGAGTCGACGCTTCTCCTTCCTGTGAGTCGACGCTTCTCCTTTCTGTAACTCAACACTTCTCCTTTCTGTAACTCAACACTTCTCCTTCCTGTGAGTCAACACTCCCCTTCCTGTGAGTCAACGCATCTCCTTCCGGTGAGTCAACGCTTCTCCTTCCTGTGAGTCAACGCTTCTCCTTCCTGTGAGTCGATCTTCTCCTTTGATCCAGACCTTTCTTTGGAGTATGGCCCATTGTTTGTGGGGGAGCAGCGACGATGCAGTGCCAGTGAGGATGGTGGTGGGTGGGCCTGCTGCCTGCTGCTGTCCCTGGGGCTGGGCTGGGCTGGACCCACATCTCTACCAGCGCTCATGGGCCATTGTTTGTTGGGGAGCAGCGGCGATGCAGTGAGGAGGTGAGGCGGTGGTGGGTGGACCTGCTTCCGTCCCTGGCCTGGGCTTGACCCACGTCTCTACCAGCGCTCATGGGCCATGCCTCTCTCCACCCACCCATGCTCCTCACTCCCACCCATGCTCCTCACTCCCACCCATGCTCCTCACTCCCACCATGCTCCTCACTCCCACCCATGCTCCTCACTCCCACCATGCTCCTCACTCCCACCTACTCGCACCCATGCTCCTCACTCCCACCCTGTTTCCCAGGTCTGCAAAGGTTGACACAGATCCTTGGAAGAGCAGCACAAACACAGTCAAGGAAGATGGTTCTTTGCTCTTCCGGTAAGCTTGCATGCGCTTCTCTCCTACCCCCCTGCTCACATGCGCTCAGCAGCACTCGCACTCTGCATTTTGCTGCTCATTGCTGCTGCCATTCCTTCTCTGATCTTTCACGTCATTGCACTCTTCGCCATGGAGGAAAACTCTTCTCGTATATGTGTCTCTTTGGACCAACAATTGTCCACACTCAGTTCACTCCGTTGCATGCCCGCTGCTGATTTTTATGTGAGCAGCTACAGAGATGGAAGGGAAGATCGACGAATCGTGACCAAGGGTGCTACATTTGTAGCAGACAGTCACTGATACAAGATTAGACATACGGTAGCAGTAGCTAGTTGATTTGGCGACGTCAAAGATCTCGCGAGGCCTTGATGCCTAGGATTCTTAGTAGTGTAGGAGCAATGCTGTGGCATGGTGTGGGTATTTTAAGTGGGTAAGGTGGGTGGGAGGTATGGTACAGGGCAACAGGGAATGGGGTGGTGCAGGGGGTCTTAGGCACAACAGGGGGTGGCAGGGCTGGCGAATCAGGAAGTCACTAACACCAGAGAAAGATGACGGGGACACACTAACTGCAGGGCATGATGATAGGGATACACTAACTGCAGGGCATGATGACAGGGACACACTAACTGCAGGAAATTGGCAGGTACACAATAACTGCTGGGAAAGATGGCATGGCAGGGACACACTAACAACAGGGATTGATGACACGGACAAACTAACGGCAGGAAATGGAGGCAGTGACATTAAAAGGAGGGAATGGAGACAAGGACACTTACAGCAGGGAATGGTCGCAGGAAGCACACTAGCAGCAGAGAACAGAGAAAGGGGCACATTTAAAGCAGAGAAAAGTGGCTGGGACACAGTAAGAGGAGGGAAGGATGACAGGGACACATCAAGGGTGCATCAGCTCAGGTAAAAATGTGCTGCTCAAACGCTCTAATTTCGGGGTTAACTTAGGTACAGTCCAGTGACTTCAAATTTGCCCGTTTTAACATCCGAGGGGAATCATGGCAGGGACATGCTAACAACAGAGGCAGGAATATTCAAACAGCAGTGAGTGATGGCAGTAACACACTTAACAGCTGGGAATGGAGCAGTGCCACACTAACAGCAGGGAATAAACGCGCCAAATGTCCCTCCCCATCCCCTCGTCTCTAAAAGCTGGCCTTAGTGGCATTCCTCATCACTTCGTCTCTCGACAACATATACAGCTCTATATTTCTTGTGCCCATATGCTTGCAATCCTTGCCCAGTGCCAATCATACCTCCCGCCAGCACCCCTCTCTCACTACCCTACCCTATCCCCCTCTTCCCCCCTCATCTCTGAGTGCTGGCCCTAGTGGCAATCCTCGTGGCCTCATCCCTAGACGACAAATAAAGCTCAATGTATCTCGTGCCCATGCGCTCGCGGTCCTTCCCCAGCGCTGCTACATCCAGACACTACACCCTCCCCAACCCCCCCCCCCCACCCCCCCCCTCTGCTGAGATGGTACCCTCTCCCTCATCTCTGCGTGCTGGCCCTAGTGGCTATCCTTGTGGCCTCATCCCGCGACGACAGATACAGCTCGATGTATCTCGAGCCCATGCGCTCGCGGTCCTTCCCCAGCGCTGCTCTCGCCTCGTCCGCAGAGCCAAACTCCACAAACGCCTCCCCTGTGAGGCGGCCGATGCTGTTGGTGATGATGTGCACTGCTGCGTCTGCCAGGGGATACTCTCCAAAGAATTCGAGGATGTCCTGTAGATGGGAGGGAGGAGTATAGGGAAGGATGGGGCATGGAGCACGGGAAAAGTGCTGCTGGTGATGATGTGCACTGCTGCGTCTGCCAGGGGGTACTCTCCGAAAAACTCCAGAATATCCTGATGGTGGGGGTAAGGGGAGGGGGATGGTGCACGGGGCACAGGGAACGGGGCATGAGAAGCGAAGGATGGAGTTGGTGATGATGTACTCCCTGAAGAACTCGAGGATGTCCGGCGAGTGGACGCGACGAGTAGACACATGCGGGTGGGAACAGGTACATGGGGCACGGGGCATGGCGCATGGGGTATGGTGCATGGAGCAAGGCGCATGAGCATGGTGCATGGGGCATGGGGCATGGGAAGAGAAGGAGAGCATTGGGGATGGTTTGCACCGCGCCCACTCCACCCCACCACACCCATCCGCACCCCACGGCGCCCAACCGCCCCACCGCACCCCACCGCACCCCACCGCACCCCACTCCATCCCACTGCACCCCACAAAATTACATGGTCTCACTCACCTTAGTAGTGGCGGAGAACGGCAGACCTCTCATCTTCACAATACTCGATTCCCGCGCTGCCGGCCCTATCCCCCCCTCGCCTCCTCGCCCTCCCCCTCCCCCTCCGCCTCCCCCATAGGCTGCATGCGCATGTCCTCCTCCCCCCATGCCCTCCCCCCCGTACCCACGTGCTCCACGCCCCCCTCTCTCCTCTGCACAAGACACGCCCAACACGGACAGGGGGAGATGGGAGGGCACAGGGGGGTGGGGGGGAGATGGGAGGGCACAGGGGGGTGGGGGGGAGATGGGAGGGCACAGGGGGGTGGGGGGGAGATGGGAGGGCACAGGGGGGTGGGGGGAGATGGGAGGGCACAGGGGGGGGGGGGAGAAGGATGGGGGGGAGGGGGGAAGGGGAGGAGCAAAAAAGGTTAGCTGTGACGTTGTATCACTCTGCCTTGAAGGCAAAACAGCAGCAGAAACGCGAGAGAGTGAGTGAATAAATAGAGAAAGCCAGAAGTGCGAGAAGGGAAGGGGGGTGGAAGGGGGGGAGCGGGGTAAGGGAAGCAGAGAAGGTTGGCTGTGACAAGGCAAAGAGCAGCATAAACGCGAGAGAGTGAGCGAAAAGCGAAAACCATAAGGGCGAGAAAGGAGAGCACGGGAGGAAGGAGGGGAGGGGGCGCAGAAGGGGGGGAAGGGGGGGAGGGTAAAGGGAAGCAAAAAAGGTTGGCTGTGACGTAGCGGCATAAAAGGGAGCGAGCGAATAAAAAAACCAGAACACTGACCCACCCTCCTTCCCCCATCACCCACCCTCCCCCTGACCCACCCTCCCCCATACCCCACCTTGCCCTCCGCCGTGGTAGGTCCCCCCGTCCTGAGCCACCTCATTGGCTATGGCGTTATAAAACTCCGCCTTCTTGGCGCGAAACACCTCGATGTACCGCCGCCCCATGTGCATCTTGTTGCGCTGCATGCACCCGGGGGAGGAGGGGAAGAGGGGGGGGGACGGGGGGAACGCAAGAGGGAGGGGAGGGGAGATTGAGCCCTTCTTGGCGCGGAACACCTCGATATACCGCCGCCCCATGTGCATCTTGTTGCGCTGGGGAATGGGGGAAGGGGGGAAGGTGGAGGGGATGGGAAAGGGGGGGGGGAGGGGAAGGACAGGGGGAACGCAAGGGGGGAAAGGGGGATTGGTTCCATGTTGGCGCGGAACACCTCGATGTACCGCCGCCCCATGTGCATCTTGTTGCGCTGGAGGGGGGTAATGGGGAGGGGGGAGGACAGGGGCGGAAGGAGGGAGGTAGAGGGGAGATTAGGTCCCCCTTTGCGCGGAACACCTCGATGTACCGCCGCCCCATGTGCATCTTGTTGCGCTGTGGGAGAAAGGGGGAGGGGGGGGGGGATGGGAAAGACAGGGGGAACGCAAGGGGGGAAAGGGGGATTGGTTCCATGTTGGCGCGGAATGTACCGCCGCCCCATGTGCATCTTGTTGCGCTGCAGGGGGGACGGGGGAAAGGGACGGGGGGGTAACAAGGGCGGAGGGCAGGGGCGGAGGGGGGAGTTAGAGGGGATAGTGAGTCATTGTTGGTGCGGAATACCTCGATGTACCGCCGCCCCATGTGCATCTTGTTGCGCTGTGGGAGAAAAGGGGGGGGGGGGGGGGGGGAAGGGGGGGGAGCGAAGAGCACGAAGCCCCCCCTCACCAGACGATGCTCCTTGCGCACAAAGAGCACGCCCACGATCTCGAGCCACGCAAAGCGATTATACTGACTCCCCTCCCTCTCAACACCCCGCGCCCACCCACCTGTAGTGCGAGCTCGGAGTGTAACGTGGAGGCGAAGAGTACAAACGCTTCCCCCACGAGGCGATGCTCCTTGCGAACGAATAGAATGTCGACGATCTCCAGCCCCGCAAAGAAGTCCGCCACGTCCCCCTCCTCCACGCGGAACGGCAGCCCGCGCAGCTTCACCACCGGGATCTGCCGCGCACCTGCGCGCCCCCCGCCCATCATCCCCGCGCCCCCCCCCATCCCCGCCCCCGGACCCCCGCCCATCATCCCCATCCCGCCCGCGCCCATCATCGCCCCGCCCGGGGCCCCCATCCCGCCCATTCCCCCCATCCCCGCCATTCCCCCCATTCCCGGCATGCCCCCCATCCCCGCCATTCCTTGCATTCCCCCCATCCCGCCCATTGCGCCCATTGCGCCCATTCCGCCCATGCCCCCCATCCCCGCCATCATCATCAAATTCATGTTGGCGAGCGCGGCCGCGTCCGCTGCGCCCATTCCGCCCATGCCCTGCGCGCCCGGGGGTGCTGCGCCCGCAGGGAAACCCGAACCCGCGCCAGCGCCGCCAGCGGGAATCGAACCCACGCCACCAACGCCCGGAGGTCCACCCGCGCCAGCTGCACCGCCCCCAGGAGCACCCGCACCAGCACCACCCGGACCGAAACCGCCCGAACCACCACCACCACCTCCCGGAGCCGCGGCACCACCCAAACCTCCCCCGTAGCCGGCCATGCCTCCCGAACCAGCACCCACACCTCCTGGCATATTGCCGAACCTGCTTGCCCAACCCAAACCCCCATGACCAATTCACCCAAAGCGAGTCTAGATGAGACAAAATGGCTTTAATCGGAGCGGTATAAACACCCAAGATGATGACAGAAGGACGGAAAGTGAAATGCATAGGACAGCGAGGTGGGCGATACGAGAAAGAGCAGCGATGCCGGATTTATATCAAGCGGGCAATATGAAGTTGCGATGTGTAAACCCTTGACAAACGCTCCGACCGAGACGCGGATATGACCAAAAAAATGACAACGTCCCATTTCCCTTCCCTTCCCCTTCCTCGTTCCCCAGATCTTTCATTTTCCCGTCTCCCTTCCCTTCCATATCCCCGTTGCTCTTGCTTCCCGTGGTCCACCCAGCCCTCCACCTTACCCCAACCCGGCCCCCCAAAAGAACCGAGTCCGCGAAAGGGAAGATCCCGGAAATCCCGAGTATTATTGAATGTCGGAGAGCGGTAGAGCACGACTCGGCAGAAAAAAGAGAGAGAGAGAGAGAAAAATAATGAAAAGGCTGCGGATCAATAAGCAGCAATATATATTGGAGAAGGGCGACAACCTCTTACCCTTGTTGGGAGTACATTCTTGCTTCCGCCGGCCGTAAACAGAGCGAAAAAAAACCTTGACGACTCTCTGATCAGCTCTCCGCGATGTGTGCTCTCGGATCTTTTGATGCTGATTGGAGAGATCAAGCTGAAAAAACCGAGCAAATTGAGATGCAGTAAATAAGGGTGTGTAAGATCCCCGTGCACACGTTTTGGCTGAATTTTGTCGACCATTTTGGTCGACAAAGCTTTCGCGAAGGTCGACAGATTAGTCGTCACCAGGTCGACAAATTTTCGGCCAACTCAGTGTGGCCTCCAAATCTGACACGGTTTTGCTGGCCGCTGTAACAGAGGTGGAAGATTTTGGTTTGTCCTTTTTTACGACTTGGTGCGACGATGTCGCACACATGAATACGATGTCGCAATTTCACTGTAGCAGCGTATGCGACTTCGTTTCTCACTGTAGACAGCTGCTGTCGACAGCATGGCCGATTTGAAGTCGACCACGCGTCGGAAAAGAGTCGACTAGTTTTCCGGCCATCAAATCACAAATTTGATGGTTGAAATTGACGAGATTCGCAAACCGATCACGAAATGGTTACTTTCGCTACGGCCACCTAATTTTGATGGCCGATTCTGTGTGCACGGGGATCTTACACGCCCTAAGGGAAGAAAGGGAAGAAGCAGGAACAGCTGGACAATCGTGAAGGGTTTGTGGAGAAGGCTGGCGAACATTGTGTGGTTGTGGGTGGAGAACCAGCGAAGTACGGTACAATGCGATGAGTGTTACGCGGTCCCAAGTGTTTCCAATCACAGTAATTAATTCCACCTTATGCAAACATCTAATACCACCACAATGTCAAGGTTATTTAACAAAACAATGGCCTGGCAGCCAGTGCCAAGCCATGAAAATTTTTGCTCTAGATATTTACGCGCATACAACCCTCTTGAATCAAAACACTATCTTTGTGTACAGATTTGCCATCCCATCCAACATGTACAACACTCAATCAACGCAGTGTGGGCCAGCTGCATACAAAGCCGCTCCTTGTGTGTAACAGCTAAGGTTTCTGTCTCCCCTTTTTGGAGAATATACGGTCTAGGTCCTCAGTTGCCACATTTGAGCTGACGGACGCACAGGGGAGTGATGGTGGCGGGAGACGAGGGCATTAAAGGACGTGAGAAAAGAGGGGAGGAGGGTGTGTGATGCATTGGACAGGGAGGAGCGCGATGCATTGGAGAGGGAGGAGTGTGATGCATGGGAGGGGAGGCTTGCGATGCACAGCGCAATCCTCATAAAAGTCTGAGGAAAAATGACTGCGGACATGTGTCACGCAAAGGCCGAAGACAGGATAAAATTAGGTAGTGCAAGTGTGATCAAGCCAGGAACGAGTTGGGGAGAAACACAAGTGGAGGAGCGCTAATTCCACTGAGAGGCACTAACCGGCCTCGGAGTTGGGGTGGTAAAAACGAATTCGCAGCACCTGCTGCTGCGCCTAGTCCTCCTGCTCTTCCCCCTGCTCCTGCTGCTGCTCTGCCTATTCCTCCTCTTACAGAACCACTTCCTGAAGCTGCCAGACCTGCTCCCGAGCCTCCCTTCAGAGCCTTTGACGGAGGCTTGGGAAGAAGCATGTTACGGTTAGGCTCAGCACGCTTTCTGGAACCTTCGATTGTACTTTCTGCTGGCCCTTGCAATCTCCCACTCGGACCCCCTCTCCCGGCTGTTCCGATTGCGAAGCTCAAACTATCGGGGGAATCTCCTAAGAGATCCGCGGCGCTCGGTAAAATCACACGGGACGGCTGATTGGCTGGCAGGTGCTGGATCGATGGCTTAGAGGACATTCCCAACGAAGGCTTGACAACGCGTTGCGACGAAGCTTTCCCCTGGCCTGATGTCTTAGAAGGTGCTGAACTGCCAGGAGATGAAAGCTGGCTAGAGTCTGAATGGGCTACGGAAGCTTTTGCGAAACTTCCTAGTTCAGCGGCACCAGAGCCCTCTGGTTCGGCACGCTGCGGCGGTTCGGCCTGCGCCGGCCCTTCCGCTGGTTCCTGCGCGCCGCGCTCTCCCTGATCGGAGTCGTCCGAATCGTAGTCGTAGCCGACGAGAGACGCCATTGGGATGGAGCGTGAGCTTGAGTGGGGTGCAATCCGATCAATTCTGGAAAACGGAAAATAGTTGGATCATGGGGAAACTCTGAAGCCAACCCAAATGGAAACAAAAGTTGACAGGGCAAGTGCTGTCGCAACGATGTGCGAACTCTTTGCGACTGCGAGAACGGCTCACAATAAGGGAATCAAAGAAATCGGTCCATCGTAGCCGGGCTAGATTATCAACTCTAATCTAAGCGACATTACAACAATATGCCTCTACGTTATCAACGCTATCCTGCTTTCGAGGGGGGGTGGGTGGGAAAATCGGCTAAACCGTTTGAAAATGAGAGACGTGGGTGGAGGGAAATGACCTCCAGCCCACGTTTTGTACTCCAAAACGGGCGTTTAGCGCGGCTCGACGCTGCCAAATCCTACATTACATGCAGATTCGCTTTCGAAATACATAATTTTAAAAAGCATTACAGCTTTTAAAAATATACATATTTAGAAAGCTTGCTTTCTTGCATGTAGCAATTGGCATCGTCTCATTTCAAATGGGTCTTCTGAGACATGTGTCGTGCTGGTTGGCGATGTCGTGTCAGCGCCGCGGAGTGTTGCAATGGTGACGAGGCTCTCGTCGGATCTTGGACATGTCGAGATGCTCCAACCAACTGGTCTATTGCCGGAGTGATGTACATCTCTTTAGCCGTATCGCTGCGCCACCTCCCCAGCTGTTTCAATATGCGGTCTGGTACTCCTCCGTTGGCGGCGACGGTTGCTGCGCCTTTGCGAAAGGAGTGGGTGCCGAGGTGCTCGAGTCCTAATCCGATCTTTTGGAATGCCTCCTTGCACCAGTTGCGAATCGTTGTGTAGGAGGGTGGTGTTGTCGGATTACCGCGACCCATGGTGTCTGAACCGAAGACTCGTATCAGTGGACCTTCTTGTGCACGGCCGTAGCCTGCCAACTGGATGAAGCGTTTAGTGCACTGCACGGGGCAAAAAGGGCCCGAAGTTGCGGCTACGGGAACCCATGCACCGTCTCCTGCCTGGTCTGTTTTGGAGCGGGGAATCAGGAGCCACATGACGTCTTGCTCGAACTCAATCTCGTGCCAGTTAAGTGCGGCGAGGTCTGAGTATCGCAGGAAGCCGGAGTACATGAGTAACGGAATGAGCCCCTTCTGAAACTCGCCAGGCTTGTTCGATTCCAGGAATTCCGCCGCCATAGCGTGTACTTGATGCAGAGAGACGGGTTCCTTGAGACGCTGGGGCCGCGGGCAATGTCGCTTGGCGAAGTCTCGCACATTGGATGTGAATGGCCCAGTCGACGGGCACGTGGCCCCAATCATCCGATGCGCGAAGCTGACTGCCGAGCATGTCAGTTGTACTGCCGATATGGTGGCCTTCTGTTGAATCGCGTGGACCAGGTATAATGCGAGTGTCATGTCTGTGCATGGCAGGAACTGCAATTTGACGTGTGTGCAGAATGCACGAAACTTGGCCCAGTATGGTTCGTAGGTGCGAATCGTCGAGTCAGCCCTCGTACGCGTGGTTATCCGAAGAAGTTCTTGCTTGAGCCTCTCGAGCAATCCTGCACCAGATGTGTGAATGGTCAGGTGGCGAAGGACACTCGTAATGCAATAATCGGGCTGTGAGGCAATCCTTCCCCAGAAAAGGCGCGGGTGTGGGTGCCTGCGGACAGGCATTGGCTCCCGTGGGTGAGGCGGATGTGGGTGAGAATGCAGGCAGCCCATTGGGGCGGAGCGGGTTGGAGTAACGGCCACCAGCTTGCCCCTGGCCAGTGGGGCACGACGAGCGTGAGCGATGCTCGCGTCCTTTGGGCGTGATGCAGCACCGCTGGGATGAGGTGGGGTGGCGGAAAGGCGTATGCATGCTCGGAGGCCCATGATAGGGAGAAGGCATCGGTTGCCTCTGCGTCGGGATGAGGGGTTTTGGAGCAGAAGCGAGCCAGCTGGGTGTTGTTCGCATTGGCAAATGGATCGATAGAGTGCGGTCCCAAGCGCCGTTCAAGAACCCGGAACCATGGTGCTTTGAGTGCGTAGTCGTCTCGATCGATGATCTTTGAAAGTTCATCAGCTCGTGTGTTGAGTTCGCGCGGAATCCATTCGACCGTCAGCCGAATCCCGGAGGCAACGCACGCTTGAATAATGGCTCTGCACGTGGTTGTGAGGCTCGGAGTCCGCGAACCACCTTTGCGAAGGATAAAGAAGACACCTTGGTTGTCGGTTCTGGCGAGGACATGTCGGTTCTGGATCCTTCCCGAGAATGTCTGCAGCGCCCATAGGACTCCATCCATTTCTCGTTGCGTGCTGGAGGCTTTCGTGAGGTGCACGGGCATGGTTGCGCTCGCCTCAATTCGCCGTCCTGGGAACGTATCTAGTGTCGCTCCCCAACTGTGTGCGCTGGCGTCCACATGGATCAATGCATCGTAGCTGTTTGGGACGTGGAACGGGGCGCCATTGAACTTGTCAAATTCATGCAGCCAAAACTCGAGCTCTTCAATGACCGCAGGGACCAACTGCACTCTGCTGTTCCAGGAAGGGGCATCTTGAATGGTCTGTAATAGGTTCTGGCTGAATGCCCGTGCGGTTGCGCCGATGGCAAGTGACATCGACGCGAGCATGCCGGTAACTCTGGCGACGTGTCGGATCGGGACTTTGCGTTCGGCCTTGCCGGCCATGCATAATTCATGAATGGTTGAGCGTAATGATGCTCGCCGCTCGGGGCCAATGGAGAACTGGCCGCGTTGTGTATCCAACTCGACACCCAAGAACCGCAGTTGCTGGGTGGGTTGCAGGTGCGACTTCTTAGAATTGATAACCAGTCCAGCCTTCCTGAGGTCTTGCACCACCATCTGACCCGTGGTTCTCGCTTCGGCTGCCGTGCGACACAGAAAGAGGATGTCGTCGACGTAAGGGATGACTCGCACCCCAAGCGCCCGCCAACGGCGGGCAAGCTGCTTGATGAGCTGCGTGAAAACGAACGGGGCTGTCGCCAGACCAAATGGTAGAGACTGAAAAATGTACGAGCGCCCGTCGAATTGGAACCCGAGGAACTTCCAGCATGAAGGGTGGATGTCGACGTGGTGGTATCCCGATTTTAAATCGACTGCGAACATCCAGTCGTCTTCGTGAACGAGCTCCGCCACCCGGTTCAGTCCTTCGTACTTGAATTTGGGGATACACAGATGTTGGTTCACCCTTCGGAGGTCAAGAATCAGTCGGCACTTTTCTCTTTGAACCACGACATTCAGCGGGCTGATACATAGCTGTTGCTCCGCTGGGGCGGGAGCGGCCGCACCACTCTCGAGAAGCTCGGTTATTGCTTGCTTGGTGAACGTGGAATGAATTAGCGCTCCCGCGTGGTTGTCCTGCCGGAACGGCGTAGGTGGGCCCTGCTTCCATGGCATCCAATAGCCGTTGGAGATTACCGAGAGTATGAAGCTACTCTCACACCATGAGCTCCACCATGGAAATGTCGTGCGCAGGCGCCCACGCATGGTCGTGACGACCTTGTCAGTGATTGCAAACTCGTAGGGGCCACTCCCCTCGATCGTTCCACCCCCCGGCATATCTGTGGCCATTGGACCATAGGGTGTGGGGGCAACACGGGGCATGCCTCGTTAAACCCAAGACCCAAATTACACAAGGAAGTCGACCGGGAATGGTAGGTTCAGACAAAAGCCCAGGCAGTAGGTTTGGTTGGAAGCTCGGAAGCCAATCCTGGCAAAAACCGAGTGAATATTTGGACCAATCGCGTGAGAGTGGTGATACTTGCCACCCGACTCGGTGAATCTGGCCTTAGTCTTTGAGCAAGGCGTTCTCTCTCTCTCTCTCTCTCTCTCTCTCTCTCTCTCTCTCTCTCTCTCTCTCTCTCTTTTCTCTCTCTCTCTCTCTCAATCTCTCTCTTTCTCTATCTCTCTCTCTCTCTCTCTCTCTCTCTCTCTCTCTCTCTCTCTCTCTCTCTCTCTCTCTCTCTCTCTCTCTCTCTCTCCTTTTTTTTTTTTCGCGTACTCTTTGAATGGGCATTTGCCGCCTTCCATGATTGGCAGGCCACCTTTGTCTTGCATTATGGCGTGAGCCCGTGGTATTGTGGGACCCCAAGTCCCACACAATCTCGTTTCCTTTTGCCCCCCCTTCGCACATGATTCCTTTGTATTGTATGGGTGCATAGCCCAAACATCTTATCACTTTCCCTTTTATACACTCTCTATCTCTCTCCTTCTCTCGCTCTCTAGTTCGCGTGTACCGTAGGCCACCATGTCATGCGGGTATTTATTGTTTCAGGTCCATACATCAAGAGCGCATGCTCCCTTTTTTTTTTTTTTTTCAAGCAAGTCCAACAACTTCGCCCATTAGGCCATTCCACTCATTCATAAGAGCATACAAGCATTATTTCCAATCCCATGTTCACCTAGGACTCCTAGTCCTACACCCCTTGCCTTGGGGTAGGCCCGCGGCCTTTCTCACATCCCCTATGGGATAGGCCAGCGGCCTCGCACTTCCTAGTGCCATCACCCTCACTCGAGCCTCTCGGCACCACCCCCTAGGGTGTTCACACCACCGGCGCCGGCCCTTGGGCTCCTCCCCCATTTTCCGGGCAAGCATTGGCCATGTGGCCCGGCTGCCCACAACGGAAGCATGAGCCACGAAAGCTCCTGCCATTGCCATCAAGTGGGGGACCGCGCTTGTTGCCAAATGCCATGGGCCCGCGCCCTCCGCCACGTGGAGTGCGAGTGAAATTGCCTTGGGCGCGCTCCATGGCCGCCACGTCCGCGACGGCCTGCTTGAACGGACGTGAGGTGAAGACACTCTTATCTTCGTAGAGCTTGAAGCGATTTGCGGTGCGGAAGTTGGTGTAGTCGGCGATATGAAGTAGCTTGAAGCGGTTGTTGATGAGTGTGAAGGCTTCGCCAAGGTATTCGAGGGCGCTTTCCGGCTCATTGTGTCGCACTTTGTGCTCCGCATGCTTCAGGTACGCCCGCAGGTGTTCCAGGACCTCGGCTTGCTCGCGCACGGCAGCGTTCTTGAACGAGGCGGCGGTTAGAGTGGGATTGGGTGAGGGGAGTGGGGGGAGTTGCTCAACGGGTGCGAAAGAGGCATTTACGGCATGTGCCTCACCATCGTCGTCGTCTTCGTTGTCGCTGTCGATAGGGTTGTTCGTGACTGGAGTGGCGGCGGCGCGTGTGTCTTCGCCCCTTCCGGTTTTTGTCGTGCGAGCGCGCTTGACAGGCTCCGTTTTCGCCTTTTCGCTTTTAGCAGAAACGGAAGTCGCGTTCGGTGTAGCAATTTCTTCAGTAACAGCAGGGGCGTGCTGCTGTAACAGGGACAGAAGCTGCTGCAGTTGGGCTGCAGAAAAAGTTGGCGCCACTTGGGCACCCTTCGCCACTTGCGCGTCAGGCGCCACAGGCGCGTCAGGGCCCACAGGCGCGTCAGGGCCCGCGGGCCTGCGGCGCTGACGCGGACGCGGGGTGCCGGCTGTGCTGGTTGGCGCCGATTTGGCGCCTTCTGTCGTGGCCGGCGCGTCAGGGGCCACAGGGGCTCGAGGCACACCAGGGGCGCGTGCTTCGACGCCCGTGGCGTGTGCCTCGGTCGGGCCGAGCAGGACGTCGACGCCAGTCGGGGAATTTTCCCCGTCGTCTGCCCGGCGCTTGTTCGGGCGATCGCCCGCGATTTCGCGAGCGTTTCTTCCGGACTCGGGTCGAGAGGGGGCGGTAGTGGTATTAACCTCGCCGCCGTTAAGTGCCATAGCTGATGCGTTGTGTGCGAGGATGTCCGAGAGTAAAGTTGACGGAGATTGAAAACGGGGAAGAGACTTCAACTTCGCCAGCTTGGAAAGGGAGACGAAAATCGAGAGTGAAAATTGAGACTTCAAATCGGCTAAACCGTTTGAAAATGAGAGACGTGGGTGGAGGGAAATGACCTCCAGCCCACGTTTTGTACTCCAAAACGGGCGTTTAGCGCGGCTCGACGCTGCCAAATCCTACATTACAGGCAGCTTCGCTTTCGAAATACATAATTTTAAAAAGCATTACAGCTTTTAAAAATATACATTTCTCGGTCCTTCATCTCGGGGTGTCCAGCCGATCAGTTACCAATTTCTGTGATGGCAATGTTTCGCCACACCATCTATGGACGTGGATACAGTTTCTACGGTCAAACTAGTTTAACTGAGCTTCAAAGCGGTGAGGCATGAAACCACTCTGCTAGCCCCAGGAAAGCATGTACCGAGTCATGTCATTTGGCACTTTCGTAATGGCATGTGAAAAGAGAAACGCATGCGACATTCGTCTCTTGTGCTGTGTGCGACGCAGTTGCATTCGTTTGACTTGTATTTTCTAGGCTGTTATATTACATCGCAGTTGCCCCATTTGTTCTTCTCTGCATTCGCTGCAACTTGCAACTCTCTTCTCCTGCCTGCTTTTGCTGGCGTTCTAGATTAGGGTTACAGCAAGTTGCTGGCAGGCACGCAGCAAGCAGCGGCAAGCGGAGTAGGCACACGGGCAGCAACAGTATATCGTTAGAATTTTTAGGGGGTATTACCTCTCTTTTCCCAATGGCTGTTGCGTTTCGTCTCAGCACAGCCCTTCTCCCCTCGCTCGCGGCACCTACGGTGTCTCCCGCCAAAGGCGCAAAGCCCTCCCTTTCTTCCGCATCCCGCGCCGCCTTGCTTCCTTTAATAGCCGTCCGCGCTACCGTTCCTCCTCAGCGATCCGCCGCGTGTCGAGCATCCACGGCCGTCGACTCCGCCACGTCAACAGGAACCATGGCTGACGTGGCAGCTCCGTCGAGTGACATCAACGCGTCTGCTGGTGACGTGGATTCGCGCAGCGGGTGCAGGATCTGCGCGGCGGTGACGGCGACGACGGTGGGGGGAATGCGGGAGCAGATGGCGCAAGCGAAGGCGGCGGGAGCGGACACGGCGGAACTCCGCGTGGACCATTTGACCGAGTTTGACCCGAGCGTTGACCTCCCTGAGCTCCTAAACGACCGCTGTCTTCCCGTTATTGTCACATGCCGGTATTCTCCCTTATCCTGCTAAAGTGCCAGCATCCTGTCACTAGAATGCTGACAGCACGCTGCTAGTCGTCCAACCACTCATACCGTTCCATTCCCCAAGCCCAACCTTTCTTCCAGTTTCAACCCCTCAACCTCACGCCCAACGTCCCTGACCCCCCGTGCAGACCCACGTGGGAGGGTGGCAAGTACGTGGGAGGGAGTTTCCATACCTCTTACCCGTAGCCTAATCACCACGCAACGTCCCTCCCCCGTGCAGGCCTACGTGGGAGGGCGGCAAGTACACCGACAAGGATGAGGCGAAGCGGCAGCAGGTGCTGGCGATGGCCATGGACATGGGGGCGGAGTTCATTGACGTCGAGCTGCAGGTAGGTAGCTATAACGCGTACACGGTGTAGTGTAGCATAAGGTGATGGCCGTGGACATGGGCGCCGAGTTCATTGATGACAAACTGCAGGTAACCATAACGCGTACAGGGTGCAGCGGCTGGGTGGTGGCTAGCAATGGTGACGAGTGAAGAGCTTGACTCGTTAGAGCTCACCTTAGAGTCTTGACTCTCGAGCCTCCTTCTCTCGAGCCTCACGCTCTCTCTCTTTCTGTCTCTCTCGCCTTGCACCGCACACCTTCTCTGCCCTCCCCTCCTCCTCAGGTTGCCTCTGAGTTCATCCAGAAGCATGCTGCCCCCCGCCTCGCCGCTGCTGCTGCTGGTGGCAGTGACAGTGTGACAGTGTGACTGCTCCTTTCCGCAGGTCGCCTCCGAGTTCATCCAGAAGCACGTTGCACCTCGCGCTGCCGCTGCTGCTGCCGGTTCTGCTGTGAGTGCAACGCGCATGATCATATCGATACAACTACAGCATGACTCTTTCCACACCTCTCTACCCCTCTCCCTCAGGTCGCTTCCGAGTTCATCCAGAAGCACGTTGCACCCCGCCGCGCCGCTGCCGGTGGTGCCGGTGTGACTTCAACGCGTGTGATTGTATCGAGCCACAACTACAGCGTGACCCCGCCGCTGGAGGAGCTGAGGGCGTTGGTGGCGCGCATAGAGGCTGCCGGCGCTGACATTGTCAAGTTCGCCACTACTGCCACTGATATCACTGATAACGCACGCGTGTTCCAGATATTGAAAGAGGCTCAGGTGAGTGGGTTGCTCACATAGCCACAACTACATTGTGACCCACCCGCTGGAGGAGCTGCGGGTGCTGGTGGCGCGCATAGAGGCTGCTGCGGCAGACATTGTGAAGTTCGCCACCACAGCCACTGATATCACAGTCGGCACTGCCAGTCAGTCGACTTGGTCCGCGCGCGCGCTCTGGTTCGCGCGCGCGCCCCTGTAATGACGCCTGCTCTGCATTCTCTGCCTTACTCCCCACTACCCATCCCCTCCCCCCACTTTCTCCCAACCTCCCCTCCCTCCTCCAGCGCCCCACCATAGCTCTGGTCATGGGAGCCAAGGGTCTTATCAGCCGTCTCCTCGCGCTTAATCTTAACCACGCCTGCCCTGCATTTCCTCTCGTACTCCCCCTTTCCCCTCCCCAACCCCCACTCCTGTGCCCCTCACACTTTCCCTTCCCCCAGCGCCCCACAATCGCACTGGTGATGGGTCCCAAGGGTTCCATCAGTCGCCTCCTCGCGCCCAAATTCAACGCCTTCCTCACTTTCGGAGCCATCACGCCCGGCGCTGAGTCAGCGCCAGGTCAGCCGACGGTCGCTGAGCTGGCGGGCACGTACAGGCTGGCGGGGGTGGGCCCAGCAACGCGCGTGTTTGGGCTGGTGGGCAACCCGGTGGGGCACAGCAAGGGCTTTGTGCTGCACAATGCAGCGCTGAGGCATGTGGGGTATGACGGCGTATACGTGCCGTTCTTCGTTGACGATGTGCCTGCTTTCCTCAAGGCTTTCAGTGACCCGGACTTGAAGGGGTTCAGGTGGGTAGGGTGCTTGGGGTGTGGTGGTGATACCGCATAACAAAGGGTCGCATGCGGGGCATGACGGCGTGTACGTGCCGTTTCTCATCGATGAGGTGCCGGAGTTCCTCAAGGCCTTCAGTGATCCGGACTTCAAGGGGTTCAGGTGGGTGGAGTGTGGTGGTACCATATACCAGAGGTTGGCATGTGGGGTATGACGGCGTGTACGTGCCCGTTCCTCGTGGACGATATGCGGTGATAATGCACGACAAAGGCTGGCATGTGGGGCATGCCCTGTCAGGGCTTATTCACGGCCTCTCAAGGCGTTTCGGTTGTCCTTTTCCACCCTCTCTCCGTCCAAGCGGCACTGGCCCATACGTGCTTGCACAATTTGCTTCCCCACGTGTCCCACTCCCCCTCATCGCACCTCACCACATCCAACTAAGAACCCCCTCCCTCCCTTGCTTCCTCCCCCTCCCCCCTCCCTTCTCCTCTCACGTCCACTCGTCCCCACCACCCAGCGTGACCATTCCTCACAAGCTAGCTGCATTGGAGTGCTGCCAAGACGTGGAACCTCTTGCCAAGGTGACCTTACTGTTTGTGACCTTGTTGGGAGTGGCCCTGTGTACAGTGACCTTGTAAAGAGTGTCCTTGTAAAGAGTGTCCTTGTAAAGAGTAACCTCAGTCAGTTACACGGAAGCTTCTTCCTCTGTCCCTCAGTCTCCTCCACCTTTCTCCTCCCATCTTCCCCTTCCATCTTTTCTCCCAATCGTCTACCTCCATCCCTCGCCCATCAGAGCATAGGTGCTGCCAACACCATTATTCGGGGGGAGGGGGGGCTGCTGAAGGGGTACAACACAGACTGCATGGCGGCCATTGAGGCCATCGAGGACGGACTCAGGCAGATAGAGGGAGGCAGCAGCAACACCACCAGCAGCAGCAGCAGCGCCGGCAGCAGCAGCAGCGGTAGTGCGGAAGCTTCCTCCTCGCCCCTCGCCGGCCGTCTCTTTGTGGTTGTGGGGGCAGGGGGTGCCGGGAGGGCTCTGGCATTCGGTGCTAAAGCGAGGGGTGCGGATGTGATTATAACGAATAGGAGTTACGGCAAAGCGGAGGCGCTGGCTGCGGCTGTGGGCGGCACCGCCGTGCCTCTGCCGTCCGGTTCTGGTGATGCTGACGTGGCAGCGGGCGGCGATGAGCTGGCAGCAGGCGGCAGTGAGCTGGCGGCGGTGCTGCAGGAGATGCAGAGAGGGCGGAGTGGGCGTGCCGTGCTGGCGAACACGACCTCTGTTGGCATGCACCCTCACGTAGATGATACTCCTGTCAGTAAGGTGAGACATGCGTGCAGCGGTGTTTTGAGTCTACTGGGGAGGAGTGGAGTGGGCGTGCTGTGCTGGCGAACACGACTTCTGTTGGGATGCACCCTCATGTGTATGATACTCCTGTCAGCAAGGTGAGAAATGGGGGGATTCAATGTTATGAAGGTCACTTTGAATACTACCTCTGTTGGCATGCACCCTCATGTGGACGACACTCCTGTCAGCAAGGTGAGACATGCGTGCAGCGATGTTTTGAGTCTACTGGGGAGGAGTGGAGTGGGCGTGCTGTGCTGGCGAATACGACCTCCGTGGGCATGCACCCTCACGTAGACGATACTCCTGTCAGCATGGTGAGACATGCGTGCAGCGATGTTTTGAGTCAGCTGGGGAGGAGTGGGCGTGCTGTGCTGGCGAGTTCTACGTCTGTGGGCATGAACCCTCAGATGGGCGATACTCCTGTCAGCAAGGGAAACAATGTGCTGTTTTCGGTGGCTGGGCAGCATGACATTACCGCCACACTTTAAGTAATCTCAGATATACACCAGCATATGTTCATGTTTCTCTTCCCATGTCTGCTTGCAGGCTGTCCTGCAGGAGTGCAGTCTGGTGTTCGACGCGGTCTACACCCCCATGGAGACCCGACTGCTCAAGGAGGCCAAGCAGGCAGGAGCTGCAACGGTCAGTGGCGTCGAGATGTTTGTTGGCCAGGCGGCTCGGCAATTCGAGCTCTTCACTGGAAAGCCAGGTGGGTGTACTTTAATACATATGTATGGATCTTGTGTTTTTAGCTCATTCTAGGAGCAGTTTTGTGCGCCATGCGTTATTTTCTGCTCTGCGCTCCTGTGTGCTTTGTATGATGGGCTTGTGTTGATGTATCCCCACCCCCTTTTTTTCTGTCGTGCCGCCCACCCCCATTTGTGTGTGCTTTGCTTGCAGCCCCCGTGTCGTTGATGCGTGAAGTGGTTCTAGCATCGTTATAAGGGCCACAAAGAAAGCACTAGAAAAAAACAAAAAATTGATGGAAACGTGGCACCTGTTGAAGCTGTTTTTTTCCTTCACTCTCTTAGTAATGTGCTCCTAGTGTTCCCAGTATCCATCATGTAGTTGAAGATATTGCAACTTTATCCAGTCACGAAACGGCTTCGCTCGCAAAGACACTTCGTCACTGCTGCAATCCCGATGGCGAAACGATGGTAACAGGTCGTCGCCAGATCCCCTGCGCCAGCATCACCAACCGAGCCTTGAGGTCGCCGAGCCTCGAATTTGACAGGGAAAGGGATTCATGGCGGGAGGGCGTCATAAATGTTAGCCCACCTGCTAGACACACTCAAGTTGTCAGGTCTTCGTTACCCGAAGACTAGGTTTTGAGCATACCGCAGCTCGCGTTGTCTGCCATTACGTTGGAAACCCGCACTTTTTAATCTCCGTAGACTCTCTTCCCGGGTTCTTCCATTATCCGCTACATTTCCGCCACCCTCCTCTCGCTCCCCGCGCATCATGGAAGCGGAGGAGCCTCCGCGCGCGCGCACTCTCCGCAATGCCGCCAAGCGCTGGAGCGTGCCGGCCGTCCTGCACCCCGCGTCGGGCCGGCTCGTCCCCATGGACGACTGGGCGATCTCCGCCGCCGTCGCCGCGCATAGCGACGGCGCGCCGGCCGCGCCGTCCGCCGCATCTTCCAGCCACGACGATTTCCTGAAGAATCTGACCAATCGCAGTCGGAAGTGGATTGGCGGGGCGCGCTCGTCCGGGAGACCCGGGACGTCGTCGTTTCGCGACGCGGATAACGCGGCGGCTGCGGCGGCGTCGCCGGGCGCGGCGCCGGCCGCGCCGCCGTCGCTGAGTAACGTGCCGGATCCGGTGCTGCTTAAGATTCTGATGCGCGTGGAATCGCCAAGAGACCGAGCGTCGTGCGCGCAGGTAATGTCCTTAAAATCTACAACAATGTCATCCTCAAAAAGGCCATTTATAAGACAAGAATTACTTTTGTTTTTTCATGGCCATTTATCAATGTATCGCTTGCCGGCCCTGTCGTAAATAGAAATTGCTTCTTTTTCCAGTTCCCTCTCTGTCTTCTCGCGCAGGCTCCAGCGGGAGGAACAAAATGCACAAACAGCAGACATCCTGATGGTCCCACCTGGGCCTCTCCCCCCACTTGCCCCTTCCCTCTCCTCCTTCCCCCATCCCCCTCCGCGCTTTCGCCGCACCATCACGCACCTGGACTCCTCCGTCCTCTTTTTTTACACCAATTCTCCCTCGTCCTTCTCACAGGTCTCCCCACGCTGGTTCTGGCTGGAGAAGCGCTCCCGCCGCACCGTGACCCACCTGGACCTCTCCTCCCCCCTCTCCCCGCCTCTTCCCCCACTCACCGCGCTCTCTTCCTCCCGCCTCCGCGGCTGCCTCCCCTTCAGGTCTCCCCGCGTTGGTTTTGGCTGGAGAAGCGTTCCCGCCGCGCAGTGACGCACCTGGACCTCTCCCAACCCTCCCGTTTCCTCGAGTCGCTCCCCCTGGCCTTCTTCCCGCGCGTCACCTCGCTCGCCCTCAACTGCGCGCTCTACCGCCGACCCTGCTCCGCGGACCGACTCTATGACTCCTCTTCCTCCGCCGATAGGCTCTACCGCCGGCCCTGCTCCGCGGACCGCCTCTATGACTCAAGGGAACTGCACGTGCTCGAGCTGCTGCATGATGACTCACCTGGACCTCTCCCTGCTGCCTCCCCACCTCTCCCCCTATCCTTCCCCTTCCCCTTCCTACCCTTTCCCCACCCCACAGGTCTCCCCGCGCTGGTTTTGGCTGGAGAAACGCTCTCGCCGCGCAGTGACCCACCTGGACCTCTCCCAACCCTCGCGCTTCCTCGAGTCGCTCCCCCTGGCCTTCTTCCCGCGCGTCACCTCGCTCGCCCTCAACTGCGCGCTCTACCGCCGCGCCTGCTCCGCGGACCGCCTCTATGACGCGCGGGAACTGCACGTGCTCGAGCTGCTGCATCTCAAACGGATCCTCAATCAACGGCCCTGGGAGAATCTCGAGTTTGTTGACTCGCACTTCCTGCTAGAGGGGCTGCCTAAAACGGGGATGGGGTACGGGGGAGAATTTGTGGGCGCGGGAGCGGGTGGGGGTGGGGGAGGGGGAACGGGTGGTGGTGCTGTGAATTTGCAGAGTGGGGGTTTCAATGCTAGCGGTGCAGTTACAACTCCCGGTGTTACGACCCCGGCTGTTGCAACTCCGGGTATGGCGACTCCCGGCGGGGTAATTACCCCGGGCGGGGAAACTACCCCCGGGTTTCCCGGGTCGGAAAAACCCGCGAGTAAATCCTTTAGGGAGGGCAGTGTGGGGTCAAAGTCAGGTAGAGGGCGTTCGGGAGGTGGGGGCGGGCCGAAGGTGTGGGATACGATGGAGGAAGAGGAGGTGTTGGGAGGAGGAGGGGGAGGAGGAGAGGTGGCGGGTGCAGGGGAGGGAGTGGGGGGTGGGAGAGGAGGGGTTGGAGGAGGTGGGTTCATGCGGATTGGGTTTTTTGACAAGTGTGGGGCGTCGCTGCAGTCTCTGATCCTGGAGGGCGGGCGTAACGTCACCAACATTGAGAACATTGCTAAGGAAATTTCCATCAAGGTGAGCAGGAGAGGAGGGGTTGGAGGAGGTGGGTTTATGCGGATTGGGTTTTTTGACAAGTGTGGGGCGTCTCTGCAGTCTCTGATCCTGGAGGGGGGACGTAACGTCACCAACATTGAGAATACCGTGAAGGAGATATCTATTAAGGTGAGCAGGAGAGGAGGGCGTGGGGCTGGGTTCATGCGCATTGGGTTCTTTGACAAGTGTGGAGCGTCTCTGCAGTCTCTGATCCTGGAGGGCAGGCGTAATGTTACCAACATTGAGAACATCGACAAGGAGATCTCCATCAAGGTGAGCAAGAGGGGCAAGGGAGTCGGATAATCAAGGGAATAGGGAATAGAAGGTGACGCAAAGTGAACCAAGGGATCATCGTCATGAAAGGTCTGCTACTTTGATTCTCCGTTATAAGCTGTTTTGCCTGTTCTACAGTACGTATTCTCGACGACTGTTGAGACGTCTGGAAAGTCATCTTGGTTGTAGGCTGTTTCACCTGTTCCACAGTACGTGTTCCCAGCGTCTTTTGAGACGTGTCAAAAGTCGTCATGGTTTCGCCTGTTCCACAGTACGTGTTCGTGACGTCTCTCGTCACTCCTCTTGTCTCTCAGCCCACCCAATTGCTCCGTTCTGCACCACTCCATTCCCTCCCTTCCCTCCGTTCCACCCTTCCCACCCTCCACACTCCCGCTTTCCCACCCTCCACACTCCCCATTTCCCACTTTCGACACCCTTCCCTTTCCCACCCTTACCTCCACCCATTCTCCTCCCCTCACCCCCTTCAGTTGCTAACCCAGGAGCTCGCCCAGTGCTCTGCCCTGCGTCATCTGGTCATCTTTCAGACCGTCAAGGGCAACCCGCGCCTGCGAGAACGAGCCTCCTCTCCCTCCTCACTTTCCTCCCCTCTCATCGTGCTGCAGTAACCCACCACCAGCCCCTTCATTTCTCCTCCCCTCCCCCCCCACCCCGCTCCCCTTTCCCACCCACATCCCCGCCCTTCCCCTTCCCCACAACCCCCCACCTCACCCCCGTCTCTGCAGCTGCTAACCCAGGAGCTGGCCCAGTGCTCCGCCCTGCGTCATCTGGTCATCTCCCAGACCGTCAAGGGCAACCCGCGTCTGCTGGAACGCGCCTTCTCCTCCCTGCCCCTCCTCACCTATCTCGACCTGGGCAACCTCAAAATCGAAACCCCGGGGGCAGCTGGGCCCCCGCTGCTGGGGGCCACGGATGGGATGCTGAGGGAGGTAGCGCGGTGGTGTGCGGTGCTGCAGGAGGTGTATGTGGGGCCCCATGCGACGGTGGTGGGGGTGGAGGCGGTAGCGGGCAAGTGCAAGCAGCTGCGCGTGTTGGGGGATGTCACTGCTGCCTGTCGTGACTCCATGCACGTGATGAACAAGGTGGGTTGATAGATGAACCGATTACTAACAAGGTGAGATGCTCTTGTGGGGCGTCCAAGGGTGTATGTGGGGCCGCATGCGACGGTGGTGGGGGTGGAGGCGGTAGCGGGCAAGTGCAAGCAGCTGCGCGTTCTGGGGGATGTGGCTGCTGCTTGCCGGGACTCCATGCATGTCATGAACAAGGTGAGCTCATGGGTGTGGTGGTTGGTGGGTGGGCTGATAGGTGGAAGTGAAAGCAGCTGCGGGTGTTGGGGGATGTCACTGCTGCTTGCCGAGACTCGATGCATGTCATGAACAAGGTGAGCTTTTAGGAATCAATGTGACCACGTGGTTACCTTTGGGTGTAAGAAAGGGGAGGAGACTGGTTTGGGAAGGGATGTGATGTCTGGGTGTCTTGATGTCGATGTGTCAAGACTGTGATGGCCCAACTCCTTTGCCTGGTTTCTCTCCAGTGCCTCGAAGGTGGGACACCCGTCCCTCTCGCTCATCCAGCCTCACATTACCATACCACCATCTCCCCCTCCCCCGTTCCCCCCACCCCACCCATTCTCTTCTCTCCGTCCCCCAGTGGGCCACGAACGAGACGCTAGAAGAGGTGGGCCGCTCATGCCCCTCCCTGCGCTCGCTGCTCATCACCCTCTGCCCCCCTGCATCTCTAATTCTCTGCCCCATACCCCTACCTTTCCCCCCAGTGGGCTACGAACGAGACTCTAGAGGAGGTGGGCAGTTCATGCCCCTCCCTGCGCTCCCTCCTCATCCGCTGCAACGCAGACATCACAGACGCAGGCCTGGTGGCACTAGCAGCACTCAACCCCAACCTCACCCACCTCAACGTATTCGCCCTCGCACACTCCCTCACCTACATCTCCCTCGTCTCCGCCGCCCGTCACTGGACCTCTTTGGAAACTCTAATCCTGCCCTTCTGCGAGCGAGACGACCGCGCCGACCTGCCCGACCTGGTGAAAGTTCTTTCGTCCAGCTGCCCGAAGCTGAAAGTGTTTTCGATCGGGCTGTGCGCGCATAGGTATTTTGAAGCGTTGCTGGAGCTGCTGGGTTCGTGCCCGTCGCTGGAGTATGTGTATCTGTATGAGAGCTGCCAGGAGGGGCATGAATTCACCATGGCTGATCTCAGGAAGGCTGCTGCCAAGGAGAAGAGGAAACCTCTCATCTGCTACGCTGCTGGCTCGGCTGAAGGGATTTGATAGTGAATGGCGGGAGGAGGAGAGGAGGGGTGCGGCTGGAGCTCTTGGGGTGGTGCTTGTCACTGGACAGTTATCGTGTCACAGTGCTCAAAGTAATGTGCCGTTACTGTTGCTTCTGGAACTCTTGAGGCACTGCTGGAGCTGCTGGGATCGTGTCTGTCGCTGGAGTATGTGTATCTGTATGAGAGCTGCCAGGAGGGGCATGAGTTCACCATGGCTGATCTCAGGAAGGCTGCTGCCAAGGAGAAGAGGAAACCGCTGATTTGCTACGCTGCTGGGTCGGCTGAGGGGATTTGATGAATGGGCCGTGAGTTGCTGCTGGGGTGGCTGCAGTTGGTGACTACTGGGTGGGGTGGAGTGGGGTGGAGTGTAGTAGAGTGGAGTGGTGTTTTGGGAGTTTCTGGGGTCGTGTTCGTCGCTGGAGTATGTGTATCTGTATGAGAGCTGCCAGGAGGGGCATGAATTCACCATGGCTGATCTCAGGAAGGCTGTTGGAGAAGAAAAAACCTCTCATCTGCTGCTACGCTGCTGGCTCGGCTGAAGGGATTTGATAGTGATTAGGCGGGAAAAAACGAAACCATCTCATTTTCTGTGCTAGTTGAATGCGTCTGATATGGAGAGACGATTATCAAGGCTTTCCTTTGGGTGCCACTGCATTGCAGTTCTTTTACGGTACATGGTTTAATTTTTTTTGCTTACCTGCGACATGGATATTTTGAGCGGAGGCAACAAGGATGAAGAACGGAGAAGGTACATTTGGATCTCCTATGTGTCTGGTACCGTAACTGCTATCGACAGTATATGTGTGGATACGTAGTCGCCCGAATGAGAAGTCCGTTGCATGTGAAATAGACGCACGAAGCAAATATGCTATGTCAATAAAGCATGTAGCACGCAGAAAATCCATCACAAAAGCGAAGCTGTGCATGCCACATATGCTAGGGGTAGACCACTGCAGTTATCACCCTTCCACCTCCATCTTATTAGTCGCCTGTGTTTGCACTATGGGGTGAGAAGGGGGAGAAGGGGGGGAAGGGGGAGAGGGGTGGATGAAACGGGGGTGAGAATGACGAGAGAAGCGGGAGGGAAGGGAGAGAGAGAGAGTGTGTGTGAGGTGGTGGGGGTCTAGCCACCCCACCACAAGCATGCAGCCAACAGACAGAGCAGGGAATCCAGGAGTGTTGGAAATTTTGAAAATGCGGCATGCAAACCATAGGGTTGAATGAGACAGGCGGGTTGGTGGGGAGAAAGTGGAGGGAAGGAAAAGGATGGGAAATGGAGGTGTGAAGGCTGGGGAGGAACTGGACGGGCAGGAACAAGAGGGAAGCGAAGAAAGTATAGGAGAAAGGGAAGGGAAGGGAATAAAAGGTGACAGGATGAAACGGAAGGGAAAGAAAGGGAAGGGAGAGAATGGAAGGTGAAAGGATGAAAGAGACGAGAAGGGAAGAGAACAGGATGAATGGGAAGGAAACGGACGGGTTAGGGAAGGGAAGGGCAGTAGGCCGCGTGGAGGAAGAGGAATGAAGAGAGGTGGGAAGGGAAACGAAAGGTTGGGCTGGGAAGGGAAGGGGCGGGCTGGGAGGAGAAGGGACGGGCTGGGAGGAGAAGGGACGGGCTGGGAGGAGAAGGGACTAGACGGGAAGGAAAGGAAATGGGAGGGAAGGGAAGGGAGAGGAAGGGAAGGGGGGGAAAGGGCTGAAAAGCTAGGGAAGGGAACGGAATGAAAGGGAATGGGAGGGAAGGGAGAGGAAGGGAAAGGAAGTGAATGAAAGGGCAGGGAGGGAAAAGGAGAAAGAACGAATATATTGTTATCGCTAATAAGGTATACCGATCACTATTATTCTAACAACGCCCCACTTACCCGCCTCGATGAATCATCCTTTTCCACCTTGAAGGAAAGAGTTCCTCTTGAAGCATCATACCTATGCTTTATCTTCTAAAAGCTCGTCAGTGACGCTTTCCAGAACTGCCTCTGCCTTGGTCAGCTTGACTCTCAACTTTTCCTCTTTTGACGCTGCTGCCGCTGCTGCTGCTGCCGCCGCTGCTGCCGCTGCTGTCGCTGCTACCGCTGCTGCGCGATAACGTTCCCGCTCCTCCCTGCAATCAGCCAGCGTTTGCTCGGCCATTGCATGCAAGCATCCATGCGCACACCCACAAAAACACCCACTCACAGTCAAATATGCACATGACAAGCATGCAATGAGACTGTCAGTCAGCTGTTGGCCATAGCAACTATGCAATGATTGGCCGTGGAAACTGCTTTAATGACTGACATTCTAAGTACCATGCAATGACTGCTCACCAAGACTCCAACTAAATACCGGGCATGGTTTCATTCAATAGCCTGTGAACATAAAAGTGATTCAATCCTAATAGCTCGAAAACTGCCTTTCCAGGGCGTACCTGACAGCAGAAAGCGCCTGCTGGAGCTTCTCCACCGTCTCCCTAGACCTCTCTATCTCCTCCTGTTCCCATGGAACGGGTCGGCAGCATGGAAGAGCGAGCGTGGAACGGGAGCGAGGAGCGCAGGAAGGGCGGATTGGAAACAAACAAGCTCACAATAAAAGTCCATAGAAACAGACAGGGCTGCCCAAAAGTGCTTAGAACGAAACCACCAGGCACCCATTTTATAAGCACCACCCCATAACATACCAGCAGCGCCTAGACTCACACCCAATACGCATGCTCACTTAAACACCTAGAAACAAATAATGGAAAAAAAATTGAGGATTGGTATCATCATGCTGCCCACCTTCTTCAAGACTTTCATACCACCCCCACTCGCTTCAGCAACATACCACCAAAACGCTATACATTACATTGCAACATACCTTGATTCCACTTTCTCCAGCACCTTCAACCTTAGGAGAGGTAGCAGTGTCTTTGTTTGCTCCTTCAGTAACAGCAGCGCCACTAGCAGCAGCGCCACCAGCAGCAGCGCCACCAGCAGCAGCAGCTTCCCCAGCAGCACAATCTTTTGTTGCAGCTGGTTTAGTTTCTGCTGTTGCCGCTGCTGCACAATCGCTCTTCGACTCATCCCTGCAATATCCAACGTTTGCTCAGTCAATGCAAGCAAGCACCCACGCACACACCCACAAGAACACCCACATGCGATCAACCAGGCACATGACACACATGGAATGACGCTGTAAAGTGTTGGTCATAGCAATTGTACAATGACTATCACATACTGTGTACATTTAAGTTCACCGATACTCCGACGACATTAAATGTTAACGTCTAAAAGACTTGCCTTTTTATTTCGTAGTATTTAGACATGAGCATGTGCCCCGCTCGGGTCGGGCCGACCCGACCCGACCCGTGTATTTGCTCGGGTCGGGTCAAACTTTCGGGATCCCTGACCCGTACGGGCCGACCCGACCCGACCCGCACGAAGGCCCGACCCGAGGGGCAATTTCGGGCCGGGCCGAGCCGGGTTTCGGGTCGGGCCCGACCCGACCCGATTTCGGGTCGGATCTGTCGAAATCGGGTCGGGCCAGGCGCGCGAGCCGATTTCGACTGGGCTAGGGCCGAAACCCTAGCCCGAATGTAAATCGATCGAGGGGATTTCTTCCCCTCAGATTTACATTCGCCACCCTCGCCACGCCAGCACAGCCCCTAGTCTTTGAGTCTTCCTAAGTACCCCCCACTAGCCACTGTGTTTTGTGATGTCTCTACTGTTTGGCTACCCCTAGACTATTTTACATGTCATACCGACTGTTGCACAGCTTACGAAACCATCGCACCTTCAAGCGGAAGAAGAACATGTATTACAAAAACAGAGTAACAACAACTCTACCAGAAAAAATGTACAAGTCATTGGGAGCACCCCCACCCTCCCCCTAAAGGGGCGGGTCTTCTTGGCCCGACCCGGCCCGACCCGAACTCGGGTCCCCCGTGACCCGAGTCAGTAGGCCCGGGTCGGGCCAGCTGTTTCGGGAATCTGGCCCGAGGTCGGCCCGACCCGACCCGACCCGAGGGCCCGTATGGCCCGGCCAAATCGGGTCGGGTCGGGTCGGGTCGGGCCAAATGCTCAACTCTAGTAGTATTGTTGATGTTAATCATCCATGTCCATATCTTCATTTCCACATGTAACACTAGGTTCACATCCTAAACCCGCAGCTTCAAGAGTTTAATGGAGTGATCGAGTGGAGTAACGTCGTGCGACTCGATCACGCCCCATCGTGCCTTGTGCTCGACATGAAGGATGGAAGTTCGATAACTAATTTGAAGTTCCTAACATCTCAAGCGGTAGAAATCTGTGCAGCTGCAGCAATTTATCGATCTCAAGACGAAGAGATTGATGAATCGCTGTAGCTGCACAAATTTCTACCGCATGAGACATTAGGAACTTCAATCAGTTATTGAACTTCCATCATTCATGTCGAGCACAAGGTACGATGGGGTGTGTTCGAGTCGCACGACGTCACTCCACTCGATCACTCCCTCAACCTTTTAAAGTTGTGGCTTTAGGTTGTGAACCTAATGTAACATGTTGAAATGGAGATACAGACATTGATGATTAACATCAACAATACTACGAGAGGAAAAAAAGGCAAGTTTTTGTCATCTAAGGCTGACATAACACCCCCACTCACCCCAAGTTTGTTAATGCCGATGATGCGAGGCATCAGATGTTGAAGACGGTTGATGCCTCGTGCGAAGAAAAAAACTGAACCCAAATAAGGGACATCAGTAATAACCTTCAACATAGCTAAGTGTCTTCTGCAGTAACACCAACATGAAGTGCATGACTCCAGGCAAGTAACTGAATGTTATTTACAGAAGTTATAATAGCACGAAATGGCGTACAATTATGTAAGAAGATAGTAGAGAGTGAAATGTAAAGAGCGTAGAAGCAGGTAAAGAGTGAATGTTGCTGAAACTGCATTGAGAACATGCATTGAAAGACAATGACGATTGTTACCGTGTTATGGTAGTAGCACTCGCTCACACGACGTTCCCACTCCAGGCTGGACAGCGGAGGCCACAAGCTTGATGGAATCATAATTTTGACCTTAGATGTCCAATCTCTGTATGAAGACAAAACAGAAGTTTTAACAGTGGGGTGGGGTGGGGTGGGGTGGGGTGGGGTGGGGTGGGGTGGGGTGGGGTGGGGTGGGGTGAGGAGGGGGGGATTGAGAGGGGGGTTCGGAGAACGCGGCGAAGGCAGAAGTGGTTTGGGGAGGGGGGATGGAGTTTCAGGAATTGAGAAAGGAAGAGATATACCAAATCAACAAAACTAATGCAATTAACAATGAGCATCTTGATGTCATAAAAACTGCCAGGATATGTCCTAAACATTGGGAGGTGCAGGTGTACACAACACCCACCCACCCCAAAGGCGAGAGTTACGTACTGAATCTCTTCTAATTAATTTACTTTATCATACTCCACTTGGAGCTGCAAAGCAACCAAATTGGCAGCATCACCACAGCCCAAGAAAAACTTAAAACTCGCTGACATCACTTCCTTATGTATTGACGCCACTCCGGTCTGTTAGCAGTGCTGCCAGGAAAGGAGAAAGGAAGAAGTGGCGCACAAAGACGAAATGAGGCGCCAGCGGGGAAGTGCGTAAAATGATGCGACACCTCATTCCCTCTCTCCCTTGCTGCCCTTCCGCCCTCTCACTATCTCGAGTACTTCTGTTGTTACTTGCTGCTTTTTCACTCTCTCTCTCTCTCGCTGCTGTTCCTCTCTTTACCTTGCTCCACTTATTGTCTCAACCTTGCTGCCGCTCCGTTCTCTCTTCCAGATGTTCAACTACCTCCATTGCTGCTGTTCCACTCTCTTCATTGCAACTGTTCCACTCTCCCCTTCACTTGCTACCCTTGCCTAACATGAGCATCGGGCGAACACCAAACGTGTTCGCCCAAACTTTCCCGAACATCTCAAACATGTCCGTTTCGCCCGAACATTTTTCGCACATAATCAGTGCTCGCGTGTTCGCCCTTAGTGGGCGAACATGTTGAATGTTGGCAACAGAACGGATCGCACGTGTCTTACCTGCAGCGCGCACGGGAGCAAGAGGGCGGGGACCAAAGGAGCAAATCCGCCACGTATGGTCCAGGGAGTCGGACAAAAGCTGTTGTCAAGTAGGATCTACATACCTCACATTCGACTTGTCTGCTTATGAAACAGAAACAGCGAAAGTAACGAACTGCGACAGAAGCATAGCACGTAAGCTATTTCCCACTATAGGACATGAGGGTAAACTCGTAGGGCGAGCAGCAATCCGGATCACGCTAACGAGACAAGTGGAACGTGAGCGAGAAAGGACTTACACGCGCAGAATCCGCCAGTAGCGAAGAAAATCAAGGGGAAAACGGTAGAAGCAAGATCGGGGACGCAAAAACAACGGAGGATAAAGCTATGTCTTGGGAAGCAAAAAAGTGGACCTCACAAGTTCAGGCAACGATGAGCATACGACGATGAGCATACGAAGCAGAGAGCGTCAAAAGCCGGAAGAGGAAGAGCAAAGGTGCCAACTTGGTTACCTTGGGAAGCTATAGTGGGAGGGATCTGATGTGAATTTCGACAGGGCTGTAAACCAATCACCTAACATGCCTGATGGGAGTCCGCTCGGGCGCTCGGAGGACCCCACGGGCAGCTCGGAGGTCCCCACGGGCAGCTCGGAGGTCCCCACGGGCAGCTCGGGCCCGGCGTCCCGGGCAGGGCCCGAAGGATCGGGCCTCGGTTCTCTCGCCAGGAGGTTCGGCCGAGCTGGGCAAGTGCCACCCGCGCTTCCTCGCGTGGCCGGGGTCACAACGACGGCTGTGATCTCGCGAGGAACAGGACATCTTTGGCCCAGTGGTAAGGGCATGTCATCATATAAATCCTTGAGTGGTCGAAATGGTTAGCAAGCGCTGAAGCTAAACTGAGCGGGGAGTGGGAGGGGTGAGGAGAGTATGCAATGCACATGTAATCAGCTAGCAACAATGCTGTCATCAGCCTCTCATACCTGCCTGTCCCCTCGGTGGAGGTAACGGCGGGGTGTCCTTGTAGATGGCGCCAGGCGAGTCCGGATGCGCCACCCACACTCTCTCTCCACCCGCCGCACCTGAGTGTCTGCGCCAGCCAGACCACAGTGATGCGCGCCGCCACCACGCGCAACTCCTGGTGCTCCTCGTCTCATAGTAGAGCTGCATGGGAGACGCGTGCCAAAACACCGCCATAAGGGACAGAAAGGGTTCAGACAAAAAATGGAAGGCATGTGATGGAGAGCCGAGCGAACAGGAAGAAGGGAGCAGAAAAGAGGGTAGGAAAGGCGCGAATCGAGGTACTGAATGATGAAGCCAAAGGGTAGGTATGCGCTACTGCAGTCGAAGAGTGTATGCGCTACTGCATACACCGTCGCATGCACACACACACACAAGCATGCACGGACGGCCACACGCATCGACTGTCACCACCACCTTGCTACCTATGCTCTCTACCATACAGCCAACCCAGCCCCGCCCATCCCAGCCCCTCCCATCCCAGTTCTGCTATCCCAACTCCATCCATCTCCTCAGGCGGATCGGCAGGCAGCGCACCTGACCAGCACCTCGGCCTTGGCAAAAAAGAGGGCGACCTTGTAGATGGCGGCCGGCGAGTTTCCATTGGGGCCACCACGCCCTTTTGAGTCCATTCAGAATCTCTCCCTTCCGTGGGGAAGATGGCGACCTTGTAGACGCAACGCCAATCCGCGTGCAGCTGCCAGTTGGAGATGAGCACCACGAGAAGCGCGAGCATGTGTTGGGGCACCGCAACACTTAGCAGGAGGCGAAACTCACGGACCAGCGCAGCAGAAAGCGAAACGAGGGGACCAGCGCAGGCGGCACAGGCAAAAGATAGGAAAATAAAAATATTTAGGACATGGAAACGACAATGGAGTATCATCAAGGAGGAAAAGGGGTTGGAATATTAAAAATATGTTGTTTGTAATTACTAAAACGAAAACTGACATTTACCACCGGTCAGTTGGAGTAATCGAGCACGAGCGTCACCCAGTCCTCCTCCAACAACGGCCAGAAGCAAAATGGTATCGTCTGCTTAACCAGTTTGTTCCAATCTCTGGAAAACGGATAGAAGCAAGGGAAGAAAATATGGAGGCACACGTGTAAACGGATAAATGTTTGTGTAAACACGTGGAGGAAACATGTCCACGTAGTAACAACGGCAGGGCTAGATCAAGGTGTGGGGATGCAAGAGGGAGCCTGCAAGTATGCAGAAAGCACCATAAGTATGCAGCCAGTTCGGCTCAGCTAATGGCTTACCCTGATCCATCTGTGCCCGGCTGGACGCCATATGCCGCGATGAGCTGGAGTGCAGTGAGCTGGAGTGCGATGAGCTGGAGTCGAACGACATTTCCCGAGACAAATAGTTCCCACACTCAATATTTCTCTTGGCTCGGGTGTACGCAAGCTCGAACTCCTTGGAGTCAGTGCTAACACCACGAGATTCACTGGCACTGCGCACGCAGTGGGTGGGGGTACCGCAAAAAAACAACACAATGCGATATGCGAATTCATTCAGTCCCACTTCACATTGTAAGTCATCTCCAGCACCACAATCAAAAGCGGGTCCGAACCCTTATTACCACAAACAGACTTTGCACACCTTTTAGGCCCGCATGGATTGATGCCAAGGCTCCACTCCAGGCAGAGCTAGAAGAAGCAAGAAAGGCGCAAGCACGCGCAGAGGACAATTACATTCAGCTTCGAAGTGAAGATGCAACAACGCCAGCAGCAGCTGCGAAAGAAGCGACAAGAGTGGAAGAGTTGCGACGCAGTTTGATGGAGACCGAGAGGAGGGCGGTAGATGCAGAAGCAGCTCTCATGGCTCTCATGGTGACATCACGAACCATGAGAGCTGCTTCTACATCAACCGTCCTCTTCTCGGTCTCCATCAAACTGCGTCGCAACTCTTTCACTCTTGTCACTTTGTCTGCATCTGCTGCTGCTGTCGTTGTGGCACTTTCACTTCGAACATAGGCATGGACATGGTGCCACACATCCCTCTTTGCCCCTTTCTGACTCTCCCATTCTGTTTTTTTCCTGCCATCCCTCACAGCCCTAGCGCCCACACCGTTCCCTATTTCCCCGCCCTTCATATCCCACCCGAATCCTTCCTTTTCCCCTTACGATTTCCTGCCAGTTTTCATTCAGCCTTTCCTAATTTTTCGCCCTCTATATCCCTCTCAAATCCTTCCCTTTTCCCTTGTCATTTCCTGCTCTTTTCCTTCCACACTCATGCTCTCACCATCCCCTCATCTTTCCACCCGTCTACCATCCCCTATCCTTCGACCCCATGCACCCTGCCTCCTTTCCCATACGCACAGTCCTCCTTCGGCCACTTACAAGCCTCTTCCCCTCGAACTCGTCTTTCCTTCCACTCACCTATCCACTTAATTCCTCTCCCTACCTCGTTATCCTCTCCCCTGCTGCTTTCCAACTCCATCATCTAGTTTACAAAACCTAGCTTAACACAACTTACCTCTTGGCTAACCCACACCCCATCATACCCCACCACACAGAACCGCCCCATTGCACCCCACCCACCACACACCACACAACATCATGCCCCACCATATACCCCACCACCATACACCCCACCACCACACACCCCACCACCATACACCCCACCCCACCACACAGCAAACACAGGCTCTCACATCTGATGCCAGCTCAGCTCACCTGACACGTGGAAGACATGGTAAAGGAAGGAACTGTGCTGCCACATGTCAACAGCTGATTCGAGTGGATTGACAGCGGGGAGAGAAGAGAAGCGGCGGGCTGAGAGGCAGTGAGGGGCAGTGTGAAGGAGAGCGAAATGGGCGGTGGACGGTGGTGGTGCAGTGGCGGAGGCTCAGTGGAGCGAGGCGGGGTGAGGCAGGGGGCGTGACTGCATACTGCCACCCACTCGCTGCCACTCCGCCCTTAACCATTCTGCTCTTCATAGCACCTCCGCTGCTGAAGAGGACAGGGCACACGGAGGAGAGGACAGGACAAAGGGAGGGGAGGACAGGACATGGCACAGGGAGGAGAGGACATCGCATAGGGAGGAGAGGACATGTTAAAGGGAGGAGATGACAGTGCAAACGGGTACAAAAAGGGGAAAGCTAGTGAGTGATGGGAAAGACGGATGATGGAATGGAGAAAAAGAACGAGCGGTGGGGAAAGGGTGAGCCAAGGGGGAAAGAGAGGAAGCGGAGAGAAAGAGAGGCGAGCAAAGGCGGATAGAGAACAAGCCGGAGGTGAGGTGCGGAATGATAGAGGGGATCACGGTCAGAGAGTGTGAGGTGCGAACTCGGACTCGTAGAATCGAGTAAAAGGGAAGGATTCGAATGATAGAATCGTACGTAGAGTAGAAGGGGAGGAGGGGGGGGGGAGGGGGAGTGTGGGAGTGGGAGTAAGGGGGGACAGGGGGGACGAGAAAGACGGGAGAGAGGGGGTGAGGGGGAGGGGTGAGCGGGGAAGGTGGGGGGTTGGGGGCGTGAGGAGAGAATGCAATGCACATGTGATCAGCTAGCGACAATGCATATTGTCATCAGCCTCTCATACCTGCCTCTTCCCTTAGCGGGGAAGACGGCGGAGTCCTTGTAGATGGCGTCAGGCGAGTCCGGATGCGCCACCACACGCTCTCCACCCGCCGTCCACGCGGGTGTGGCAGAGTCCTTGTAGATGGCGTCACGCGCACCCGCCGTGTGCACCTTCTTATTTCCCGCCCTCCGCGAACCCCTCAGTACGTGTCCTCTGCGCGCCCCTGTGCGCCATGCCTGCTGCCAACCAATGGGTGCCTCGACGCTGCAGATGCAGCACAGCCCCGGCAACGAAGCGGCCTCGCTGTGAACCTGCTCCCACGCCAGACCAGCACGCGCATGCACACATCATTGCACGCACACATCATCGCACGCACACATCATCGCATGCACACATCATCGCACGCATCGCATGCACACATCATCGCATGCACACACCATCGCACGCACACATCATCGCACGCACACATCATCGCACGCACACATCATCGCATGCACACATCATCGCATGCACATATCATCGCATGCACACATCATCGCATGCACACACAAGCGTCACCCATCATCGCATGCACACACACGCGTCACCCATCATCGCATGCACACACACGCGTCACCCATCATCGCATGCACACACACGCGTCACCCATCATCGCATGCACACACACGCGTGCACCCATGAGACAAAAGCATGCACAGACAACCGCTCGCATCGACCGTCATCACCGCCTTGCCACCTATGCTCTCCGCCAGACGCCCATCCCAGCCCCGCCCATCCGAGCTCTGCCATCCCAGATCCGTGCATCTCCATATGACGGGTCGGCGGGCGGCGCACCTGAGTAGCACCTCAGCCTTGGCGGGGAAGGCGGCGAGCTTGTAGAGGGCGGCCGGAGAGTCCAGCTGCGTCACCACGCGCTTTTGAATCCAGCTGCGTCACCACGCGCTTTTGAGTCCAGCTGCCTCAAAGCTCTCCCATCCATGGGGAAGACGGCGACCTTGTAGACGCAACGCCAAAGCACCTGGCGAGTCCAGTCCAGTCCAGATGAGCCGCCGCCACGGGAAGCGCGAGCATATGTTGGGGCACCGCAACACCGCAACACTTAGTAGAAGGCAAAACGAGGGGACCAGCGCAGCAGAAGGCGAAACGAGGGGACCAGCGCAGGCGGCACAGGCAAAAGATAGGGAACTGAAGAGCGATGGACGAAGGGGGGAACAAAAGGTAGGGAGGGAGATACGACGCGAGGAGAGGAATCGGAAGGACGGCGGACGGGAGAAGCGAATTTTAGAGCCGACTCACAAAATAGGCGGAGCAGCGATAAGTCATGTAGAGGTCGAAGCGCGGCGACGAGAGCATCTTCCGCAGATCAGCGTAAATCAGCGTCACGTTCTCGTCCGCAGCATCACGGGTCGTAAATCGGCAGTACGTTGCGAGCATGCGCCAATTTTTTCATTCTCGCGGAGCATGCGCCGCGTGACGCTGCCGATTCCGCCGCACCCCCCTCCATCCTCCCCTTGCCGTGGAACGCGCGCCTCACGATCTACTCGGCGTCGCCTCCTTAATCGCCGCAATCGACGGTGATCCCAGTCGCAGCAGCGAATCTGGCCGCAAGTCCTGCGGCGCCGGCACGGCCGCATGTTGTGGAAGCGGCGTTACCGCGTCACGCGGCCGTCACCTCCTTGACGGTCAAGGTAAAGTGGGTAGGGAGTAGGTATTGAGTAAGGCGATTGGAGGGTCGCGACCACAGATCAGCGCGAGGAATTGAGGAATTGAGGAACGCGAAGAGTGAAGGACAAGCGCGAGGCGCAAGGGCGATGACATGACAGGTGCGGAAGGGAACAGGAGGGCACATGCACTGCCCCTTGCTTCTGTGACTTCTGTGAGACATGCGCGGCGTGCGATGCAATGCAAACGAGGCACGTGTGTGGGCAGCGGTTCAACGCAGAAGCGGGTTACCTCACGACGAAGCAGAACCCCCAACTTGCCACCGCCAAGTACACAAATTTGCGAGCATTTACGACGTAGGCGAACTTTGCCAGTTTTTGCAGAAATTCGCTCCTATACTTTCAACAAAGATGTCATTCCAATTGGGGATAATGTTACCAAATAAACACCAGCCGTGGCTCGGGACGGGAGGAAATATACAGATGGCCGGAAATTCACACCCCAACCACTTTCATCGATTTTGAAAATTCACCCCAGCGCTTTCACTTTCGGCTTGCGTTCTACCGAGCCTGGTTTTAGTGGGTACGTGGTCGTCGTAAATTCCACCACGTGTTACCGAATGGGGTACCCTTGTAGCTGGCGTCTGTATTCGTGGAAGTGTCACGCGAGGTCATGCGAGGCCGAATGGGGCTCTAGTAATGGCGGGCCAGCGAAATGCGGCGTCGCGGGCGGAGGTGCATCGCGCCGCATCCACTAACCGAACCGCGCATGCGATGAAATGCGAGGCGGAGGCATTGGGAGTGCATGGGATGGGATGCGGCGCGAATTCATTGGAGGCATCGAAGCCTCGAAAAATGCCTCCAGCAGGACGCGAGGCCCCCATGATCTCCTAATCTGCTGTTCCTCATACTTTCTCTGCGAGTGTCGTCGGTCTCTCTGGCTAGGCGTGTTGGCTGTCCTTCCCAAATCGCGTTTCTCGCTGCACCAAGTAAATCACTCGGCCAAGGCAACTAGAGCCTTCGAGCGTCGCGGCGAGGCTTTCGTTGTGTTCCCTTCAGCTAGTGATTTCACCAGCAGGCAGGCTAAGCACCAGGTGAAACAGCGCAGCATGGCGACCAGCACCCACGCGCCCCAGAAGTCGCCTTCCCCGTCCCGCCCTGAAGAGGTAGGCGCGAGCGCCCGTGGGTGCTTCCCCCCCTTCACTCCCCTCCGTGCAGTAGCTGGTGCAGTAGCAGCATACGTCAACAGCATGGCGACCAGCTCTCGCGCGCCCCAGAAGTCGCCTTCCCCGTCCCGCCCTGAAGAGGTAGGCTCTTGCCGCCGTTGCGCACTCCCTATGCTCTTCGCCAGCCGTGCTCCCGCCCAACCCCCTCACTCCCTCCCCACCCCCCCCCTTACTCATCCCCCTCCCCACCGCCTATCCCCAGGTGCCGGTCGAAGTCCCCTCGCATGGGAATTCTCCATCTCGTGAGTGCTGAATTCCTCCATGGAGAGAGTGAGGTGCCGCAGACTCACTTACTCCACATCTCCATTTCGTCAACACCCACTGCTTCACTTGCCGTTCTCTCTTTTCCATCTACTGCTCTCCCTTTCCCCTCCCAGGTGCCGAGCGAGGTGCCAGCTAGCACTCTCCCTCCTCTCCTCAGGAGCTAAGTGAGCCGCCCTCCATGCCATGGGGACTCTCATGCGCTCGAGTCCTCCTGATCGCTGCTGCACTGCAGTCCTTCCAGCTGCTCTAGTCCTTGTGCCAGCATAGCACTTACTGCTCCACTCCCTTGCTCCTCTTTTCCCTCTACCGCACTCCCCCCCTCCTCCCAGGTGCGGGGAGAAGCCCCTTCCATGGCAACATCCGCACTTGAAACAACTGCCTCTCTCCTGCAGTCCTTCCGCCCGCTAAAGGCCTTCTGCCAGCACGCAAGCACGTGGGCGCACTACGCGTCATTCTCTCCCTGCCCACATGCCCCTTCCGCCCACCGTTTTCCCCCAGGTGCCAGGCGAAGCCCCTTCCATGGCAACATCCGCCCTCGAGACAACCGCCTCTCTCCTGCAGTCCTTCCGCCCACTGAAGGCCTTCTGCCAGCACGTGAGCACGTGAGAGTCAGTGTTGCCCTCCCTGCCCGTCCCCCTCCCTCACACTGTTACTACCAGGTGCCAGGCGAAGCCCCTTCCATGGCAACGTCTGCCCTCGAGACCACCGCCTCTCTCCTGCAGTCCTTCCGCCCACTCAAGGCCGTCTGCCAGCACGTGAGCACATGGGCGCACTACGCGCAGAGCCCTGGCGTTACACACTGCTCCTACACACTGCTCCTTCCTCCCGCTCCGTGCTCTCCCTATCCCTTGCGCCCCCTCTTCCCAGATTCCGGGAGAAGCCCCTTCCATGGCAACATCAGCGCTCGAGACAACCGCCTCGCTTCTCCAGTCCTTCCGCCCGCTAAAGTCCTTCTGCCAGCACGTGAGCACGTGGGCGCACTACGCGCAGAGCCCTGGGCGCATGATCGAGACGCACCACCTCGTGGCGAGGCTCACAGAGGACGTGCTGCAGTGTATCGTTTTTGACAGTGATCAGCCCAACGCACGCATCGTTGGTAAGTAGTTATCTGAAATTATCTTTTTTGTTTCCCTGCTTAGTCTCTCCTCTCCTCTCCTCTCCTCTCCTCTCCTCTCTCCTCTCCTCTCCCCATCTCTCCCCTCCCCTCCCATCCCCTCCCCTACCCTCCACTCCTATCCTATCCCCTCCTCTCTCCTCATGAAAAACTTGAATGCTCTGTGTGTATTGCCCGAACCCAACACCTCCCAGGCGTGGAGTATATCGTGACAGAGTCCGTGTTCAAGAAGCTTCCAGAGGAGGAGAACCTGAATGCTCTGTGTGTGCCGTCCAAAACCATCACGCCTTTCACCCAACACCCTGCAGGTGTGGAGTATATCGTGACAGAGGCGGTGTTCAAGAAGCTTCCAGAGGAGGAGAAGCACCTGTGGCACTCGCACTACTATGAGGCAAGCAAGCACGCGTCCATCCATGACGCATGATGCATTGGTGAAAGCCACTGTTGATCGCCGATGCTTGTGATTGTTCTCCATTGCTCCACAGCACAGTTGGTTCTGGTTTGCGTTGTTTCTCAATCTCTTGTATTATCATTCTCGCACGCCGCCTCCTCCTACATGCCTGCTTGTCACCGCACATGCCTGTTTGTTTCCCACCCCTCTGCGCTGCGTGTGCATTCGCCTCAACGAGCAGATCTGTGAGGGCTTGTGGGTGAACCCAGGTGTGCCAGAGACCATGCAGCAGCAGGAGCTGAAGAAACTCGTGAAGACGTACGGAAAATTCTGGAACACTTGGCAGTTCGACAGGGGGGATCCCCTCCCCCTCGGCCCCCCTGCCCTCATGCTCTCCCCCCAAGACCACCCCTTGGGACGCGTTTCTCGTGCTCTTGTGGAGCAGAGGGACGCGTCTTTGGGGATAGAGACGGGGGAGAAGCGGGAGCAGCGGGGGGCGCTAGTAGACAAGGAGTGGGCGACGACGGTGAAGGACCGGACGGCGGACTGGTGGATGGAGAGTGGCAAGGGGTGGGTGACTGAAATGAGGGCTACTGAGCTGGAGAGCATGGGGATGGGGAAGGGGGGTGAGGAGAAAGGGGGTGTGCCGTCTGTGGTGATTGGGGGAGGTGAAGGGGTGGAGGGGAAGAAGGAAGGGGAGAAAATGGGGAAGGAGCGCGGCATGGGAGGGGAGGAGACGGGTTTGGCTGGCCGTCCAGCTCAGTCCTCTGTGACTACTCTTGAGTGACCATTCTGAGAGTGACCATCCTGAGAGTGGCCATTCTGAGATGACTGTTGGCAGATGGTGCAATGCAGAATGATAGCTTCATGTGATGTGCCACTCCACTCAGGGTGGGTGGGGTGTGGGGCGGGAGGGAAGGAAACGTGTTTGGCTGGTCGACCGGCTCAGTCATATGCGGTGACTGTTGGTTGACCGTGGCAGGTGGTATAGCAGTGGCGACGGGAACAACGCATGCCATAGTTGTGGCTGTAGTGTAGAGTGTACATATAAAAGGTTGATAGATACTCTATATATCCAGGTGGAAGTTGTAATTTTGGTGTGTCGATAATAAACCCATGTGTACCATTCCAAATAGCCCATTGCTGTGAACTCATACCCTTATCAGCACCAGGTGTTCCATCCACTCTTCTTAGTCTGACCAAAGAATCAGCTCACGTGTTGTCATCTTTCTTAGTATCGGCACCATCCACTGTTCCATCAGCTTTCTCTACATCCTTGCTACCATCTGCATCCTTGCTACCATCTGCATCCTTGCTACCATCTGCATCCTTGCTACCATCTGCATCCTTGCTACCATCTGCATCCTTGCTACCATCTGCATCCTTGCTACCATCTGCATCCTTGCTACCATCTGCATCCTTGCTACCATCTGCATCCTTGCTACCATCTGCATCCTTGCTACCATCTGCATCCTTGCTACCATCTGCATCCTTGCTACCATCTGCATCCTTGCTACCATCTGCTTCCTTGCTACCATCTGCTTCCTTGCTACCATCTGCTTCCTCCTCCTCATCCTCCTCCCCAGACTCGCCCCCATCCCCATCCCCATCCCCATCCCCATCCTCCGCACCCTCCTCTCCCTCCTCATCCTTCTCCCCCTCCCCCTCATCCTCCTCACTGTCCTCCCCCTCATCCTCCTCACTGTCCTCCCCCTCATCCTCCTCACTGTCCTCCCCCTCATCCTCCTCACTGTCCTCCCCCTCTGCTGCTCTCTTCGCAGCTTTCTTTGCCACGCTGCTCGCTGCCCCTGCATTGCCCTTCTCCATCTGCCACAGCAGAAACAATGGCAGCACAATCAAAAGGCAGCAGAACCAAGGGCAACAGAATGAAGGGCAGCAGATTAGGAGCAGTCTTAAGACGTTTCAGAACTTTCCCACGCTGCTTGCTGCTGATGCATTGCCCTTCTCCGTCTAAGGCAACTGATCTTCTGTCAATCACCTGGGCACCTGGGCACCTTTGCCCCAAGGCACCTAATTTTCTAGGGTTTAGGACCACATACCGCACGGAGCAGGCTTCGCCTCTCCCTCTCCCTCAGCCTCCCGAGAGCCTGCACACACAGAGCAGAGCGGCACAGCAGCGCAGCGCAAAGAGCAGAGAGGAGGAGATGAAAACAAACATGAAAGGAGAACCAGAAAACGGTTGCTCTCTTAACTCATTCCACTTTGCAGCTCAAATCCTCTCTCTATCTCTATCAGCTCTCTATCAGCAAGTCAGCAAAAGAGGTTGCTCTCTATCGCTGCATCCTCTCGCCTCTGACTTGCTGTGACCTCAGCCGTGCTTCCGCACTGCAGTCACTGCCATTCTCCCTCACCTCCCACCTGCCCCCACCATTCCGCCCCACCCATTTGTTCCCCATCCCTCCGCCAACCATATCCACCCAGTCTCTTGCCCCCTCACCTCCTCTAGTTGCTTCATCTCACTCTCCCGCTCTGCTGCTTCACTGTTGCATGCACGGGTGGGAGAGGGGTAGGAAAGGGAGGGACAGGGACATGCGTAAGTGGATGGGGATGCATGTGTGGGGTCAGATGGGCAAGGCGAATCAGAAGAGCAGAAAATGAGAGTGGAAACTAGGAGTGGAAACTGAGAGTCAAATAAACAAGACGAGATACAAGCGGATGTCTTTCTCTTGCACGATCTCTTTGGTGGAATGTCTGCACTTGGCGCACACGTGCTGCATGCATGCGTGTGAATGTGCATGCTTGATGTGCATGTGCATGCTGATGTGCACGTGCATGCTGATGTGCATGTGCATGCTGATGTGCATGTGCATGCTGATGTACATGTGCATGTGCATGTCTCACTCTTGCACGATCTCTTTGGTGGAATGTCTGCACTTGGCGCACACCCCCTTCTCCTGCGCACATGCTGTGAGCACACACATACACACACACACATGCATGCATGCATGGGGGACATGATGGATAGAGTCCGACACAATTCGAGAAAAAGGCTTCTAATTTTCGGACACTGCAAGGAAGGTTGCAATGGCATGACATGCCCCTACATTCCACTGCCATACAGTTTGCATGCTTTCATGATATCACATTCCTTGCATGATGGCGCAGCTTGGCATCGCATGGCATGGCATGGCATGAATGGAGTGCTCACCTTTGCAGATGGCATGGTATGCGTCTCGCACGCTCCTCTTGCCACATGCTTGGCTGCGATTGGTCGAGCCACAACGGCGCAAGGAAAAGAATGGGAGGACGGCTGGGTAAGTGCTGAGAGCGCAAGGAAATGAATGGAAGGGGCAAAGGCAGTCTTACGAGAGGAATAAACATGCGAGTTTTCCAGAAGACGGAACGTTCATTCGACAGAGCATGCGTGCAGGCGTTTTCAGTATTGAGATCTGAATGGACTCAACAGGCACTGCTGCAGTGGGTCTCACAACTCAACCGCCCTTCTCCTGTTCTGCTCCCTTCCCCGCCCCCTCACCACTCCCCCTCACCTCTCACCATTTGGCAGGCTCGGTCAGAGGCTTGTACTTGCCGTACCTGCGCCCAGAGGGGGGGGGAGGGAGGACGAGACAATGGTGATGTGGAGGGATGCAGGAACAGAAGAGGGATGAAACACTACAGGAAAGGGAAGGGAGAGACTACAGAAAAGTGGGGAGAGCGATGAAACGAGACGAGGGTGACGAACATGGATGCGGACAGAGAATGGAGACCAGAGGGAAGAAGGGAATGGGGGAATATGGGAATAGGGGGAGGGAGATTAAAGAAGAATTGAGAATGCCTGGGTTGGTTGGTGAAAAGACCTATTTGTTCTCTTCCTTCTCCCCTCTCTCATCTCGCCTCACCCCCCTCTCTTCTCCCCTCTACCTCCCGTCTCCCCACTCAGCCCCACTCTGCCGCACTCAGCCCCTTCCAACCACTCACTTGCGGCGCCATGCAATCTGCTCAGAGCACCGCCGGCACACTCCACTAATGTTTGCGAATGGCCTTGTCTTGGTGCCCAGCTCCTGGAAAAAGGAAAAAGGGGGAAGGGGAAGGGGGGGTTGAAGGGGACGGCGAAGGGGGTGGGGAAGGGGGAGGGGAATGGGGATCCGCAGGGAAGGATGTGAAGCTTGGAAACAGGGGAATGAGGAAGGCAGGAGGAGGTGGGAGGGAGGGAAGGAAGGAGAGAGAAGGGAAGTGGGGGAGGGGAAGGGGAGGACAATTGGAAAATCGAGTTGGTCTGCCAATGCTGCAATGAGGAGTGAACGCTTGGCTTTCAAAGATGCAGAGAAGTGTATGCCTCTTTGAAACGTGCAGGGATATGGATAATGGAACGCGTATCATCCAGGCTATCCTTCCATATCCACAACCCTTCCATCCAAACACCCCCAACATCCCCCCTCCCTCTCTCCCTCCCTCCCCCATGGCCAGCACATTGCTCCTCCACTGTTCTTCCCCGTGGCTGTCTGTCTAGCCTCCTCCTACTCTACTTTCTCCTTTCCCTCCCACCTTCCTCAATCTCCTTCTCCCCACATTCTTCTCCCCTTTTGCTGTTCATTGTGCATAACTATTGTACAATCCACACTGCACTGCCCTCCGCTGCCCACTCCCTCTCTCCTCCCACCATCCTCCGTTCCCCCCTTTTGCCGCACATCTCTTGTTCTCTCACCCGTTGCCTCAGCTCACATTTTCTTTCTTCTGCACGTTGCGGTTCGGAACCCACGCTGTCCTGCCATGCCATTGGGATGGAGGGGCGTGCAGACAGCCAGAGCACACGAGACACACACAATCACGCACGCATGAGCACACACGCACTCGAGGGTTTTACAGGGGTTCAGGGTTCAGCAACTCATGCTACCCTGTCACACCGTCGCAATGGCACTAACGAGGAGATGAATCACTAGAGGGTTTAATCCAGGTTCTGTGTTTAGCAGTCCCGCACGTTTCGCAGAGCGCTCACTTGTTCTGGTGCTTGGGCGCGCCTTTGGATGGCGCTCCTCTTCTCGTCGACATCGCCGCCCTCCCTCCCTCGCTTATCGCCCACCACTCCTCCTCGCACCCTGTCACTCCTTTGTACCCCTCTACAGCCCCCCGTTTGCTCCTCTGGTTCCTTCCCTTTCGCCACTTCCCTCACAGCCTGCGCGATTCTCCGCGCCTTGAACCTTGCAACGGCTAGTCTATCTGACCCGCAGTATTCCCAACGCGAGGACTTCTCCGACGACCCGCAGCGGACCACTTGAAAGGGACTTAAAATTTAGCCGTGGAATGCGGAAAGTTATGCGGGTATACGCCTACAAGTCTGGGTCTTAACAGTAAGCGCCGAATAACAGGAAGGCAGAGATGGGGCGACGGAACGCGCGTTACCTAAGATTTATCGCGAAAAAGAAAATGCAAAAGCGAGTAAGAGGATGTCTAAGAAGCAAGAAAAAATTGGTTATGCCCGCTCGCGCGGGTTGCCTTAACCGTTGTGTGTTGAGAGCCCGAAGGCTGATCTCGTCCTTGTCGAGGGAGATGCTAACCTTCTCTCGGCTCAACGAACACACAGAGATTGAATAATTTACAATCCTAGACAACTCGTGTTTTGAAAGAAAGTGTTTTGTGGGATTGTATGAAAAGGCGGAAAGATTGCCTTTCTTTTTGGGAAAATATGTCAATGGTAACTTACATGGGGCACTTTAACGCGTACGGTAACGATTTCAACGCGTTTGGTAACTCGCTTAACGCGTTTGGTAACTCGCTTAACACGTTTGGTAACTCGCTTAACACATTTGGTAACTCTACACTAGCAGCCCATCACGCGAATGGTAACTACATGAAATTCCCGCCGAAATCTTCCTGAAAATAAGGAATTTATCGAGTTTGAGAGCTTTTACGCACATCATTATCTTTCTTGAACGCGTCCCGCCACGAAAATTAAGGACCCCGTTTGTTCTATTACCACGGACCGAAAAGTTCAGAATTTATATATAATTATGTAGCTCGTACAAAAATGGATAACATCATATTTTGATAGCATGATTGCGAACTTGCAAAACGATTAAAAAAACTATTCCCGAAAGGACTTTGGGAAGTTTACTTTTTTTTAATACTGCAACGTTAGAAGATTTTTTCATGTGAAAAAAAACAACCTTTTTAAAATTACATCTTTCATTTTTTTTAAATAAAGATCCATAAACGCCTCGTCGCAAGAAGTTTAAGGTTGTTGCTCTCAAATTTATTTGCCATCTGAAAGGGATATAGATTTGTTTGCCCCGGCTGCACGATAGAATAAAGTACAAACAGTTTGCGGAAAGTGCGCCAGAAACATTTATGTAAGAAAATCTGTTTCCACAAAACTTACGTTTTTATAATTTGCCTGAAAATCGGAAAGTGTGTCAGGATTTCGGAAAGTGTGTCAGAATTTCGGAACTTTGTGTCAGAATTTCGGAGAGTGTGTCAGAATTTTCTGCTTCAGGATTTGTCAATTTATTCTGACGCGAGCGGGAAAAACCAGAATCAGGCTCAATTTCGGTGGGAATTTCATGTAGTTACCATTCGCGTGATGGGCTGCTAGTGTAGAGTTACCAAATGTGTTAAACGAGTTACCAAACGTGTTAAGCAGGTTACCAAACGCGTTAAGCGAGTTACCAAACGCGTTGAAATCGTTTCCGCGTTTTAGTGCCCCATGTAAGTTACCATTGACATATTTTCCCTTTCTTCTTTGTTGGGCGTTCTCGACACGGCGAATGCTCTGTGCTGACCTGAGACCCTTGGAATTGCCATGCTGGCGAACAGCACCGCAGCCACTCGCGCGCGCGAGGGATGTGGTAACACGAGTGTAACCACCCTGACAACCTCAATCCTCCTCTAGCGAAATGTCGCGTGCTACAAGCTGGCTGGTGGTGCCACTGAAGACAGCATCGATCTATGTGAAACCAATCGTTCTAGAGAGATACGTCGCGTTGACGAGGTTTTTAAAGGAGGTAACATGAACCATCTGGAGACAGGCAGCTGAGCCGAACCAAGTCAAGCGAGCCATTGATAATTCAGCAGCAAGCCTGATAGTGCACGCATGACCATGGCGCAGCAGGAGAGACTGAGAGACCACCATTACTATACCATATCACGCAGCGTATGTATCCACCATCTTAGGCAAAAGCTCCCCACGCGAGTCGTCGTCCTCCTCTTATTGTGATCTAGGCTTCCTTACGAGGGATCGTCGCGGAGTCCGGACCCGGGATTAACTGCTTCCGCTTCGCGCTTTGACTTGGCTACGTGTCGTCAGACTGTCAAGGACCTGAGGATGAGGGCCTTATTATGAGCATGTGATGGCTAAAGATTTCATAGCTATGGACGGATGTAGGACTAATGTCCTCTCGCCGTTCCAAGAAAGCGGAAATTTCTGACGAATCACGAGACACTAAGCGTAGACGGATTACTTCGCAGCGAATTCCCGATCCGGAGTCAGGGAGCGTTTCGCTCACCACGTCGCGACGAATCCAAGAGTCTTTATCTGGTCTGTTCAAGTCCGGCTCCTTGATTTTCTCCCACAAGCTCGGAATCTCCTCAGATTCGAAGGAGCAACAGGGTTCAGATCATCTCGGTCAGTCATCGCCACTCCAGGGCCCAGCGTCATCGCTCCAATCGCCATCCCTGCAGCTTCAATCGCCATTGCGTCCCGTTCCTGGTTCGACATCCGTGAAGCGATCTTCGCACGTCGCTGGATTTCCCGACGCAAGCGCCACTCGTGCTTATCCGATCGCATCTCGTCCCGCGTCTGGAAGTCCAGGTGCTTCAGGAAACCCAACAGTCCCCGAAGCCGAAAGATCACGAAAGTCGCCACGATCTTGCAAATCTAGAAGACATTCAGGAAGTTCGCGGCAATCCCGAGGGATTACAAGGCGTAGAGATTTTGAAGGAGTGACAGGTGCTTACAAGCGGTTCAAGATGTCGTGGATGGGGGGATGGAAGCGGGAGACGGACAAATTCCAGCTCGAGTTAGGCTACGGGGAGAAGGAGAAGCAGAGAGAGAAAGATCTACCTGTTGAAACGAGCGGATTAGATGGGACCACGTCATCAACCGCATCTGACGCGGGGGATGATTTGGACGGCGATGGTGGGCGTGGCGCGGTGGCGAGAGCGTTAGTGAGCAAGATTCGCGAGCCAATGGTGAGCGCGGAGCGACAGTGCAGGTTTCGCATTCAGATCGACTGGTCTGCCGGCGACGATGAGGAGCAGGTGGCGTTACGGTTACAGTCGCTTGTGATGGTAACCCTACCTCCGCCCCATGACCACGTGGTAGTAGGCATGCACGTGGAGCCACGTGGCGAGGAGAATGACGACAGCAACGCAGCATCAGCCCCCGAAGCAGCACCAGATGAACCGTCAAAAGAATCAGGAGACGAACGGCTGAGATTGCAGGATCCTGGGAAGTGGACGGTCCGGATGAACATGAGAGTGCACAAGCAGAGGGAGCCGCTGCACGTGCTGCGACTGACGAGAATAGCAGCTAGCAGCAGCTCGTCTTATTCAGGCAGCGATGGGCTGTCCATGCTAGCTAAGCTGCTAGACGCTAAGGGCGTGGCCCTCCACAGGGCTGACCTCGCTGCTGCTGCTGCCAGCTCCATCCCCACAGGGCCTTCAGGTGGAATTTCAGGTGGTGCAGGAGGGGGTTCTGTTGGTTCAGGTGGTGGTTCAGGGTCAGGTGGGAGTGCAGGGAGTGGTGGGGCGCTGGTGAAGTCAGGATCAGGAGATGGTAGCGAGAAAGGAGGCACGGCAGCAGGGGGACAGCAGCAGCAGCAACAGCAGTCTCAGACAGTATCTGCTACTTCCGAGCAACAGCAGAAGCAGCAGCAGCAGCAGGTGTTGTCGACAGCAGCAGCTGAGAGCATGTTGGGTTACTCTGACCACTGGCGCTCGTTAAAGGCCCTCTCCCTCTCCTCCTGCTCCCTCTCGGTAAGCACATCAACCTTTGTCAGCCCCGCTTTGCTCCTCTTATTATCACATCCGTCCTTCTCAAACCGTTTGCCTTCTCTGAAAGTGCATGTCTTCCTTTCAACAACATGCTGTGCTGAGATGCGCTTCTTCCCCCTCTCTTCTTCTTTCTTCTCACTGACCATCCCCAGGCCTCTCCACCCTCACCCACTTCTCTTATCCTCCGAACCCAACCTCAGGTCCTTCCGAATTTCACCATGAATCTGCCCCTGCTGGAGGTGCTGGAGGTACTGGAGGTGGAAAACAACCGCCTGAGCGTTCTTTTTTGTCCAACCCCACTCCAGGTGCTTCCCAACTTCACCATGAACCTGTCACTGCTGGAGGTACTGGAGGTGGAAAACAACCGCCTGAGTGCGCTTCTTTGCCTCCCCTTCCCCACCTACCCCACGCTTACTTTTTCCTCCTGACCCCACTCCAGGTCCTTCTTAACTTCACCATGAATCTACCCTTGCTGGAGGTACTGGAGGTGGAGAGCAACCGCCTGAGTGCTCCTCTTTCTCCCACCTTCTCTACTTCTTCCCTCCTGAACCAACCCCACTCCAGGTCCTTCCCAACTTCACCATGAATCTGCCATTACTGGAGGTACTGGAGGTGGAGAACAATCGCCTGAGTGCGCTTCTTTCCTTCCCCTCCTCCCTCCCTCACACACTTTTTCCTCCCAGGTCCTTCCCAACTTCACCATGAACCTACCCTTACTGGAGGTATTAGAGGTGGAGAACAACCGCTTGAGTGCCCTGCCAGGGGAGATTGGGCAGCTGCAGCAGCTGAGGGTGCTGCGTGCTGATAACAACCTGCTCACCAGCGTACCCAGTGAGTCACGTGCAGTATGACTTCAAGTCTTATGTGCCCAGTGAGTCACGCAGGATAGAATAAGGAGGTCGTGTGAGGCTTCTGTGCCTTGTGAGTCTTTCTTAAAGCACCCTGAAAGATTGGCCAGCTGCAGCAGCTGAGGGTGCTGCGTGCTGATAACAACCTGCTCACCACCGTGCCCAGTGAGTCACGCACAGCAGGATCTTGAGGCCTTGCATTTGTTTCAGTATCGATTTTCTATGCCTGTGTGTCCAGTGAGTGATTCTTGATGCACCTGAAAGAGGGGGTTAGTTGCAGCAGCTGAGGGTGCTGCGAGCTGATAACAACCTGCTCCAACCTGAGAGAACTCTCTCTTGAGAACAACCGCCTTGTGCGTCCCCTCTTTCTTGAGTCTAGGGTTTAGACCTTGTGCCTGCCCTCCTTTTCCTGTCCTACACCAACCCTCCCCATGGCAGTCACACTGCGCGAGTGCACCAACCTGAGAGAACTCTCCCTCGAGAACAACCGCCTTGTGCGCCCCCTCCTCGACTTCAGGCATTCTTCCCATCTGGACCCTGCTGTTCCTTGCCCCTGCCCTGCTATTCCTGTCCTCCCCATGGCAGTCACACTGCGGGAGTGCACCAACCTGAGGGAGCTGTCTCTCGAGAACAACCGCCTTGTGCGTCCCCTCCTCGACTTCAGGTGCGTCTGCTACTTGCCTTTCACTCCGTTTTTTCCCGCCTTCCACTATTCCGCCACCCCTTTGCCACTCGTCTTGTGCCACTCGCCTTCTGTCACCACTCTACCTCGCGCTGCTGTTTCATCCTCTAATCAACACACCCCCTTCCACTTGACAACTCATCCCCATGTGCCGCTCTCCACACCATCCCCATTCCACGATGCCGCCTTCAAAGTTGCAACCATCCTCTCCCCTGTGTTCTGCAGGTGTCTGGCGGACCTGAGGGTGCTGCGGCTCTTCAACAACCCCCTTGAGTTCTTCCCGGAGATCCTCCCCTGCCGCCATCTGCGTCTGCTCTCCCTGGCCAACGTGCGCATTGTCAGCGACCCTGACCTCAAGATCGTGGACGTCAGCATCGTGGTGAGTGCAGCCGTGTAGTGGGTCTGTGGACGCTTGCATGCATGGTTGCGGGGAGTGTGACTTGCAGGGTTCCTGCCTTTCCACCTGCGCCTGCTCTCCCTGGCCAACTTGCGCATCGTCAGCGACCCCGACCTCAAGATTGTTGACGTCAGCATCGTGGTGAGTGCAGCCGCGTGGTGAGTCTGTTGTTGCACGGGCTTTTGAGTCAACTCAGGGAAATCCTCCCCTGCCGCCACCTGCGCCTGCTCTCCCTGGCCAACGTGCGCATTGTCAGCGACCCTGACCTCAAGATCGTCGATGTCAGCATCGTGGTGAGTGCATTGTTGAGGCGCCTTGCTACTGAGTTCTTCCTGTTCACGGACTTTTGATTCAACTGAAAGGTTGATTCCCTGTCGCCACCTGCGCCTGCTGTCCGTGGCCCACGTGCGCATCGTCAGCGGCCCCGACCTCAAGATCGTTGACGTCAGCATCGTGGTGAGTGCAGCCGCGTGGTGAGTCCATTGTTGCACAAAATGCCCCTTTGAACATTGTTTGAGCAACATGTTTGCCCTCGTATCAAGCTACTCACCGTTTCTCGTTCGCTTCTCTCACCCCCCCGTATCTTCAGCAACTGGAGGCGCAGCAGGGTTCCTACTTCTCTGCGTCCAAGCACTGTCTGAGCAACTTCTTCTCCCTCCTCTTCCGCCACTCCTCCATGCACCACCCCCACCTCACTCTATCCCGCCCCACTTTCCCCTCTCTCCCACCCTTCATCTTAGCGATTGGTGGCGCAGCAGGGTTCTTGATTCTTGGCGTCCAAGCACTGCCTGAGCGACTTCTTCTCGCTCATCTTCCGCTACTCCTCCGTGCACCACCCGGCCCTCTCCCCTCCATTCCCTTCCCTTCTTCCCCCACACATCTGCAGCAACTGGAGGCTCAACAAGGCTCATATTTCTCCGCATCGAAGCACTGCCTGAGCGACTTCTTCTCCCTCATCTTCCGCTACTCCTCCGTGCACCACCCGGCCCTCTCCCCTCCATTCCCTTCCCTTCTTCCCCCACACATCTTCAGCAACTGGAGGCTCAACAAGGCTCCTACTTCTCAGCGTCGAAGCACTGTCTGAGCGACTTCTTCTCGCTCATCTTCCGCTACTCGTCCGTGCACCACCCGCTGCTGGCTTCTGCCCTGGCGCGCATCTGTGAGGACAGGGAGAACCGTGCGGCCATTGGCAAGGATGAGAGCGCGATTAGGCAGATCGTGAGCATGGTGCTTGCTGACTCGAAACATGTGGTGAGTGGGAAGAAGGCTGTGTGGGAGGAGAGTTGGAAGGTTGAGTGGTTAATGGTTCATGGGAACAGGGTTTGGTTGGGGCATGGGCTGTGGGGGTTGGGTGGGAAATGGTGAGACGTCCAGTAACCCTTTCCTCCAACACCCTCTGTGCACCACCCGCTGCTGGCGTCGGCCCTGGCGCGCATCTGTGAGGACAGGGAGAACCATGCGGCCATAGGCAAGGATGAGAGCGCGATCAGGCAGATCGTGAGCATGGTGCTCGCAGACTCCAAACTCGTGGTGAGTGGTGCATGGGAGGAGGGCATGGGCTGTGGTGCATGGGTTGTGGTGCATGGGCTGTGGTGCATGGTTTGTGGCATGTGGGTTCGGTGGGGGTTGGAGAACCGCGCGGCCATTGGCAAGGATGAGAGCGCGATCAGGCAGATCGTGAGCATGGTGCTGGCAGACTCCAAGCACGTGGTGAGTGGACCGTGGGGGTTGTGTGCGGTTGAGTGAGAATGGTTGAGAGCTGTGCAGCCGTCGGCAAGGATGAGAGCGTGATCAGGCAGATCGTGAGCATGGTGCTGGCTGACTCCAAGCACGTGGTGAGTGGGAGGAGGGGCCGAGAAGAGCATGGGCATGGGCTGAGGGAGTTGAGTGGGAATTGGCGGGATGAAGAACAGAGCGGCAGTACAGGCAAGGATGAGAGCGCTATTAGGCAGATCGTGAGCATGGTGCTGGCCGACTCCAAGCATGTGGTGAGTTAGAAGGGGCTGCAAGGGAGGAGGAATTGGGCTGTGGGGTTGGGGTTGGGTGGGGTTGGGGTGGAAATGGGTTGATTGGATAACCGGCTCGCAGCCATCTGCTCACTGCTGCTCTCCCACCACTCCCGTCTACCACCTCCCACCCTCCATTCCCTCCGTTTCCTCTGAAACCCATACCAGGTGGAGCAAGCATGCCATGCACTAACATCCCTGGCAATGGACGACGAGCTAGTCATCCACCTGGTGAAATCAGACGTGCTAGAAGCCATCTGCTCGCTGCTGCTCTCCCAGCAGCCCCGTCTACCCCCTCCCACCCCCCCTACTCCCGTTCCCTCCCCTCTGTCACACCCTCATCAGGTGGAGCAGGCATGCCATGCCCTCTCCTCCCTGGCAATGGACGACGCACTGGTCACCCACCTGGTGAAGTCAGACGTGCTAGCAGCCATCTGCTCGCTGCTGCTCTCCCAGCAGCCGGAGATCCTCGTGTCTGTGCTGCGCGTCATTGCCAACCTCGCCCTCGCCTCTGACTCCGTTGCTGCGCGCATCCTCAATGTTGACTCTGCTGCCATTCTCACCAGTCTTTGTCACCACACCCACATGATGGTATGTGTGTGGGGGAGGGCGGGGGAAGAGGAGGGAGGAGGGGGGGAGGAAAAGGTTGGGAATGGGGAGGGGTGGGGGTTACTATCCTCGTATCTGTGCTGCGCGTCATTGCCAACCTCGCCCTCACCTCCGACTCCGTTGCTGCTCGTATACTGAATGTGGACTCTGCCGCTATTCTCACCAGCCTCTGCCACCACACGCACATGATGGTATGTTGTAGAGGGTGGGGGATGGTAATGTGGTGTGTGTGCAGCATGCAGCGGTGGTGTATGTGAGAAATTGTAAGAACAACCGATAGTTTCATTAGGAAGGGCATGGGTTTACATAGTTGAGCTAGGATGTAGGAGCCATGCCAACATTATTGGCCCCCACCAATAAGTTGGGTTGAGGAGTTATTGGGGGGACCAATAATGTTGACCAAAAGTGGGTCAACATTATTGGGGGGGCCAATAATCTCCCAACCCAACCTTGGGGGCCCAATAATTGGGCCAAGGTTGGGTTCCAACCTCAAACTAGGGTAAACCCTAGTTGTGCACCCAAACTAAGTTTGGGTGCCTATCTCTAGTCAAAGCGTATATGATGATGCAGGTTACAATGAAGATGGTAATCTGACACAACCCCTTAACCTGCAGAAATCCATAGGCTTTGGAAGAGAGAACGCAACAACCCCTGAATCAGCCACCGCGGGGAGCAAGTCCCTGAAGGCGCAGGAGCGCAGAGTGGTTAGAGCGATGGAGAGCCTTGGTGAAGAGGTCAGCGAGGTTGGCGGACGAGTCGATTTTACGAACAGTGATGTGACCATCTTGCACAAGATCGCGGACAAAGTAGTAGCGGAGTTCGATGTGTTTGGAGCGACCATGAAAGACGGCCTCCTTGGTGAGGTGGATGGTACTATCGTTGTCACACCACAGGGTGGGGCAGGGCTGTGGTGAGCCAAGGTCGGTGAGAAGATAGCTAAGCCAGCGTGCCTCTTGAGCCGCCATGGTGACTGCGTACAGCTCGGCTTCGCAGGAGGAGAGGGCGACGGAGGAGGAGCGAGTGGAGCGCCAGCTGATGAGGCCGCTCCCAAGGGAGAAGCCATATCCTTGAGAACTGCGATGGTCCGGCTGTGCATCCGCCCAAGATGAGTCACTGAAGCCTTGAAGAACAGGTGGGTCCACACCACCAAGCGTGAGGCCATAGTCCTTTGTGCCTTGGAGGTAGCGCAGAACACGCATGGCCGCCTTCCAGTGCTCCTCACCATGCCTGCCAGTGCCAACAAATCGCGCCAGGACACTGACGGGGTATGCAAGGTCGGGACGAGTGCAGACCATGGCGTACATCAGGGCCCCAACGAGTTCTGCATAGGGATGAGGGGAGGTGCCAGGAGTGGCTGGAGGGGACAGCCGATGCCCGAATGCAAGTGGTGTGGGGATGGGTTTGGATTTGGACATGCCGAATCTCTCGAGCACCTTCCCGATGTAGAATGACTGAGAGAGGGTGATAGTCTTGGCAGTGAGGTCGCGGGTGATCTCCATGCCAAGGTAGTTGCGGACTTCCCCCAGATCTTTGCAGGCGAGACGTTGCTGCAGCTCATCCTTGACCTCCTGAAGTTCAGCAGCTGTCTCAGCTGCTAGCAGCATGTCGTCGACGTAGACGAGGATGAAGAAGGGTGACGGAGTTAAGCGAAGGAAGAGGCAAGAGGCAGCACGGGAGGGGCGAAAGCCAAGTGCGCGAAGGGTGGATGAGAGTTTGGCGTGCCATTCTCGAGGTGCTTGTTTGAGCCCGTAAACAGGGCGTAGTAGTTTCCAGACGGTGGCAGGGTCGTGAGGAGCGTGGAAGCCCTTGGGACGTTCCAAGAAGATGAGTTCGTGGAGGTCGCCTTGTAAGAAGGCCGTGGTGACATCCATGGAGTGGAGGAGCATCCCGCGTCTGCCAACGAAGTCCAGAAACACGCGAATGACCGGCGGAGTGGCGGTAGGTGAGTAGGTCTCGAAGAAGTCCGAGCCATAAGTCTGTGTAAAGCCTTTCGCCACATACCGAGCCTTGTAGACAGGAGCTTCACCAGGGAGTAGTTTTACTCGGAAGAGCCACCTGCCTTTGACCACGTTGTGCTTGGAGGGGCGAGGGACGTCGAGGAAAGAGCGGTTGTGGATGAAGGCGTTGCATTCCTTGACCATGGCCTCGATCCAGAGAGGTGCGTCAAGACATGCAATTGCTTGCTCGTAGGTGGTGGGTTCGTAGATGGTGGGGGTGTTGGAGAAAAGAAGGACCGTAGTACCAGCCATGGTGCGGACGACAGGGGCGATGGTGGGTGAGAGGAGGTGGAGGAAAAGGAGTTCATCATGAGAGTCTTCATAGAGGTCCGGAGAGAGAGGAGGAGGAAGAGGAGGCGGTGAAGATGCAAGACAGCTGCGCTGGAGGGTCAGGCTGGAGCGGGAACACGGCTGCACTGCTGCTCTGCTGCGCCGAGGGTCGGGGCGAGGAGACAGCTGCAATGCTGCTCTGCTGCGCTGAGTTGCCGTGAGGGGCAGGGAGACGGGAGCGCGGCTGGTGTGAGAACCTGAGGGGCTGGTGCGGGGGAGTGGGGAAGTGCTAGAGTGGTGGAGGAGTGGAATGGATGTGAGAGACCGGAGGGAGAGGTGATTGGACCGTGGGGGACCAAGGATGGGGACTGTGGAGCGGGTGTGAGGGTAGTGACGAAGGAGCAGAGGAGGGGACGAAAGTAAGGGCCGAGATGGTGGAGGGGAAGGGGGCGGAGGAGGAGATGGGGAGGGTGGAGGTTGGGAGAGGGGAGGGGGTGGGGGAGAGTTCAGGGGGGGAGGGGATGGAGACGGAGGGGGAGGGGGTGGGGAGGGAGGGGGGGGGTCAGCGGGGAGAGGGGGAGGGTCAGTGGGGGGAGAGGGAGTTACAGCGGAAGGGGAGGGTGGGGCAGCCGGGTCAAGGATGTCCCCTGAGGAGGTTGGGAGAGAGGGGGGAGGGGGTGGGGGTGCGGGTATGACCAGGGTGGGGGGAGGTTGAAGGGGAGGGGTGATGACAGTGTCAGTCCAGAGGAGAGGACGTATGGTGAGGGGGAGGGGGTTAGGGGCGGAGGGGGAGGTGTAGTACGGATTGGCTTCATCAAAAACCACATCCCGACTACGAATGAGACGACCTGAGGGGGGGTGGAGGAAGAGGTAGTCCGGGGAGGTGGGGTTATGACCAATGAAGATGCAAGGGAGGGTGCGGGAGGCAAGTTTCCCAGCTGCACGTGAACGGTCCTCAGGGTGTATGAGAACATACGCCTTGGAGCCCCACACGCGCAGGGGGGAGATGTCGGGTTTAGTGGAGGTCCAGAGTTCGGTGGGAGTAGTGGTGGGCCGTGAGGGATGGGGGTAGAGATTAGTGAGGATGGCGGCGTGGAGGATAGCATAACCCCACAGAGAAGGCGGGCAGGAGGCATGGACCATGAGGCATCGAGCGGTCTTGGTGACCTCCCGAACCCTGCTCTCCGCCACACCATTTTGCTGAGGGGAATGAGGAAGGGTGTAGGTGTGGATAATGCCATGGGTGGAGCAGTAGGAGGAAAGCATCCGGTTAAGGAACTCACCGCCGCCATCGGAATGGAAGCGAGAGACAGGGCGTTTGAAATGGGTGCGTGCTTGTTCAGCCCAGGCAATAATGGCAGCCGGGGCCTCCGCCTTCTTGCGAAGGAGAGAGACAGTGGAGTACCGACTGTGGTCATCTACCAGTATGAGCAGGTAGCGATGACCTTGCCTGGTGGGGGTGGGATTGGGGCCCCAGAGGTCCATGTGGACGAGATCAATGGGTTGGGGAGAGAAGGAGGGATGACTCTTGTGGGGGGCTTGCTTTAGTTTGCTTTCAACGCAGACTGAGCAGGGAGGGGAGGGCGACGGGGGGAGAGGGGGGAGGGTGAGGGGAAGTCCTTCAAGAAGTTGAGAGGAGACAGATTGACGAAGGGTGGCAAAGTTGGGATGACCCAAGCGATGGTGAAGGAGGACGGCGGGATGGGTAAGGTCACGACAGTGACAGGAGGGGGAGGAGGGAGGGGAGGGGGAGGAGGGAGGGGAGGGGGAGGAGGGAGGGGGAGGGGAGGCAAGAGGAGGGGGGGAGGGAGGGGAGGGAAGGGGGGAAGAAGGGGAGGGGAGGAGGGGGGGGAGAGGGGAGGGGGGAAGGGAGTGAGGGGGAAGTAAGGTGGGAGTGGTGAGTTGGTGGATGGAGGGGCGAGGGGTGCGGTATGTGTACAGGTTTGTGTGTGGGCAGAGGGGAATACGACAGATGAAGCGACCAGTGATGGTGTGAAAGAGGTCGCAGTGAAGTGCATGTCCGGGGAAGATGGCGGTGACACCTAACCTTGGGAGGTCACGAAGTGCTACCAGATTGTTGCGTAGGGAGGGGACGTGTAGACCTGTGACTGTGCCTGAGGGGAAGATGGGGCAGGGGAGAGTGGAGGTGTGTCGACTTGTGATGGTGAAGCTGAAGTCGGCTCCGTAAATGGTGGAGGGAGTGGGGAGGGGGACTAGTGTGCCTGCGTCCCGAAGGACAGTGTGTGTAGCGCCGCTGTCAAGAATGAACTCAAGGAGTGTAGAGGAGGAGGAAGAAGCGGAATACTGGAAGGATGTCTCATTAATAGCATGGGCATACATTGAAGGAGCAGGAGAAGCAGTGCTAACATGTCCTATGAATCCAGCAGAAGGGAACGGAGTGAAGCCAGGAGGATTGGAGGAGGAGGAGGGCTGGTCAGTAGGAGTGGTAGCAGGTGGAGGAAGCACAGGGCCGTATTGAGGAGGTGGATAAGGAGGGTATGGCCAGCCGGTATAGGGCGGAGGATAGTGGGGGGGAGGGGCTTGAGGAGGAGGTGTGGGTGAAGGGGGAATGGGAGGGGTGGGAGGGGTGGGAGTGGGAGGAGATGAAGGGAGAAGATGTTGAACTTGCTGGAGGATATGAGGTGGGAGATGCTCAGTTGTGAAGATTAGGGGTGGAGGGTTGATAGGCGGGGAGAGTGCGTATGTCATGGAGAGAGGGGCGCGGGAAGATGGTGTTCCATCGAGGTGGGGTGCCGACATTGCCACGTGCAAACCACTCATCAGTGAGGGCTTTGAAGCACGTGTCAGTGGTGTGAGTGGTTTGAGCGCAAGGCTGACCTTTGTTGGAGCCATAGCGAATGATGTACTGACACGGGGGAAGGGTACCCGAGGGAGAGGGGTTTTTGCCACGCCCACCACGGCCGCCACCACGACCACCACCGCGTCCACCGCCTCGCCCACCACCTCGTCCACCACCGCCACCGCCAGTACCGCTTGAGCCGCTACCTCCGCCGCTGCTGTGGTTGCCTGAGGGAGTTTTGCGAGCCTGGATAGCATTGATGGTGGTGGAGTCACGTTGGATGTCCGCTTCGCTGTCAAGGAGCCAGTCGATTGTGTCAGCCACAGGAGGAGGATGGCGGTACCTAGAGGTAAAGGTGATGCGGTAGGTATCGTATGTGGGTGGAAGGCAGTCGAGGATGCGTGCAGTGAGAAGTGATTCATGAATGACAATGCCGCGGTCGTTGAGACGTTGCGCAGTGTCGATGAGGCGCCGAGTGAAGGCAGCAGCAGTGGGGGATGAGTCAAGAGTGGTGTCTTGAAATTTGCGAAAGAGAGCAAGGAGAGAGCGAAGGTCCTGTCGGTCGTACTGAGTGGACAGGGTTTTCCAGAGGCCAGAGGAGGAGGTGGGGCGGAGGTCACGTTTGAGATGGGAAGGGATGCAGGAGAAGATAATGGCTAGAGCGCGGCGATCCGCAATTCGCCATGCTGCAGTATCCTTGTTGAACTTGCGAAGTTCATCAGCATAGTCTTTCTCATCCTGTGCGTAGGAGAGGATACGCGCAGTAGCATCAGCGTGAGCCTTCTCAGCAGCACGGTGCGCCTCACGCTGGATGGTGTAGGCATCGCGAAGCTTGTTGTAGTTGTTCAAGTTGGCCGCCCATCGATCTGGGTTGTCATCATGAACTGGGGCACGAGGGGGATCAGACAGAGGCTCTGGGGGAGGAGGGGCATCAGGAGGAGGAGGCTCAAGAGGAGGAGGGGGGACGGGTGGAAGGCCGTTAGGGTGCTCAAGAACTACATCAAGAAGACAGTAGTCTTGAACAATGACAGAGCCAAGGTGGGTGTGAAGTGTGTCCTCAAACGACGCCCAGTTCACGGCCGTAGTGTCATGGAGGAGTTCGAGCTTATCGATAGCTCCGAGTTCAATGGGAGTAGAGTCGTCCGCCATGAGGGGGGAGGAGGGGGGGGGAGAGGGTGACGACACCGGCTGGAGGGCGGGTGCGGTCAAAGACGACACCACCTGGAGGGGTGGCGCGGTCACGTTGCGTGCGGCAGCGCTTCGTCACCCGCGGCTGCCCCTTGTCGCCCGCGGCTGCGTCTCGTCGCCCGCGGCTGCGCCTCGTCGCCTGCAGCTGTGCCTTGACGACACGCGGCTGCTCCTGGACGCGTCCGCAGCGGTCGCCCTCGCTGGTCGCGTCCGCGGCGTCCGCCCGCGCTGGTCGTGTCCGCAGCGTCGCCCTCGCTGGTCGCGTCCGTGACGTCCGCCCGCGCTGGTCGCGTCCGCGGCGTCCGCCCGCGCTGGTCGCGTCCGCGGCGTCCGCCCTCGCTGGTCGCGTCCGCGGCGTCCGCCCTCGCTGGTCGCGTCCGCGGCGTCCGCCCCCGCTGGTCGCGTCCGCGGCGGTCGCCCGTTCTCGTCGCGTCCGCGGCCGTCGTTCGTCGCGGGTGTGGCGTCCGCCCGCGATTAGGGTTTCGTCGGTCGCGGCGGTCGCCGATGCTCGTCGCGGGTGTGGCGTCCGCCCGCGATTAGGGTTCCGTCGCTCGTGCTGGCCGTCCCGACGGTCGCGCTGGTCGTTCCGACGGTTGCGCAGATCGTTCCGACGGTTGCGCGGATCGTTCCGACGGTTGGCGTGGCCGTTCCGACGGTTGATGGGTTAGTGGGAGAGAGGGGAGAGCCGCGAGAGGCGGAATTGACTGTAGAAAGGAGGGAGGGGGGCGCTGAAATTTAGCGCAAGGGGAGGGGGGGGGCGTGACGGCGTAGGGGCGCACTAGGCGCAAAGGGCGACGTAGTGTCGCGTGAGAGAGGGGGGCGTGATATAGCACGCGGTATGTGCGGTCCTTAGGATCGAGATGGTGTGAGCCGTAGTTGCTCTGAATACCATGTGAGAAAGTGTAAGAACAACCGATAGTTTCATTAGGAAGGGCATGGGTTTACATAGTTGAGCTAGGATGTAGGAGCCATGCCAACATTATTGGCCCCCACCAATAAGTTGGGTTGAGGAGTTATTGGGGGGACCAATAATGTTGACCAAAAGTGGGTCAACATTATTGGGGGGGCCAATAATCTCCCAACCCAACCTTGGGGGCCCAATAATTGGGCCAAGGTTGGGTTCCAACCTCAAACTAGGGTAAACCCTAGTTGTGCACCCAAACTAAGTTTGGGTGCCTATCTCTAGTCAAAGCGTATATGATGATGCAGGTTACAATGAAGATGGTAATCTGACAGTGTATGTGGGGTGTACGGCATGTGGCGTGCAGGATGGTATGGTATGGTATGGTATTGTTGGTTGATGGTGCATGACCCATGCTTTGCAACCCCCCTGCTCTTCTGCCCTCCCCCTTTCCCCGATCCCCTTCCCCCCTCCATTTCCGTCGTCCCCCCTCTCTCCCTTTCCCACACCGTCCTCCACCCGTCCCCATCACACCCCACCTTGCATCCTTTCCGTTGTAACCTCCTCGTCGTTTGTCCACCACTCCATCTCTCTTCCCTTCTTCCCCAACCCCCCATCCCCACCCCCACCTCTTCCCGTTCTCCCAGGTGCAAACTCAAGCCCTAATGGCCGTGGGTAACTTGTCATTCTGTCCAGACAACCGCCGCTTACTGGTGGCCCAGCCAGGCTTCTTGGACGGGCTCTATCACCTCGCCACAGGGGGCGGGGGGCTGGGCGGAGGGGGTTTCGGAGTGGGCGGGGAAGGGGGAGGTGGAGGGGGAGGGGAAGTGGGGGAAGGGGGTTTGGGGGCGGATGTGGGGGGGATGAGGGGAGGCGGAGGGGGTGTGGGCAGGTACCAGCACAGGGCGCTAGTGGTGGAGGTTCCAACTGTCTTCTCGTTTCGCAAGGCTGCAGCGCGGGTGCTTGCTATTCTGGGTAAGCTGGCTTGCTATTCTGGGTAGCCTGACTTGCTATATCCAGTAAGCTGGATTGCCATCTTGGTTTGCTAGCATATCTCCCTTCAATTTGTCCCGTTCATGTGCGCTGCACTTCAGGAGAGAATCGGGAAGCGCTGTGCACGAGGGCAGTGGGGCAGAGGGGCGTGCGCATACTGGTGATGGACGGGGGGGACATGCGCGGCATGGCAATCGTGCAGATGCTAAGTAGAGAAGAGACTCAACAACTCCCGCCCCTTTTGTCCCGTTCCCCCTCGCTCTGTGCTGTGCGGTGCAGGCGAGAACCGGCTGGTGCGGGAAGCGCTGTGTGCAAGGCCGGTGGGCCAGAGGGGCGTGCGCATACTAGTGATGGACGGGGGCGGCATGCGCGGCATGGCCATGGTGCAGATGCTGCGGCAGATAGAGGGGCGCACAGGCAGGCGCGTGCACGAGCTGTTTGACCTCGTGTGTGGCACGTCCACTGGCGGCATGCTGGCGGCCGAGCTGGGGATCAAGCGCCTCACTCTCGACCAGTGCGACGATGTGTACAGGCGACTCGGTGAGTGGGATGTGGGGGGTTTCTGTGGCGAGCTGTTTGACCTCGTGTGTGGCACGTCCACCGGGGGCATGCTGGCCGCTGAACTGGGGATCAAAAGGCTCACCTTGGACCAGTGTGACGATGTCTACAGGCGACTGGGTGAGTGGATTTCAGGGGTCTGGGTGCAGTTTCCGTAGGAATGTAGGGGAGGAGTGAGTTGCGTGCACGAGCTGTTTGACCTCGTGTGTGGCGCCGCACGTCCACTGGTGGCATGCTGGCAGCCGAGTTAGGCATTAAGCGCCTCACTTTGGACCAGTGTGACGACGTGTACCGGCGATTGGGTGAGTGGGTAAGGGATCTGGGTTCTGGGCACGAGCTGTTTGATCTTGTGTGTGGCACGTCGACTGGGGGCATGCTGGCAGCAGAGTTGGGGATCAAGCGGTTGACTCTCGACCAATGTGATGATGTGTACCGGCGACTGGGTGAGTGACTTTCAGGGGTTTTAGTGGTACGCGTTTTGTTAGGTTGTAGGGGGAAGGGATTTGGGTTTGTGCATAAGCTGTTTGGCCTCGTGTGTGGCACGTCCACTGGGGGCATGCTGGCGGCCGAGTTGGGGATTAAGCGGTTGTCTCTCGACCAATGTGATGATGTGTACAGGCGACTCGGTGAGTCGGTTTTAGGAGCTTTAGGCGTGTGGTGCTCGTTTTAGGGGTGACGTTTTCGTAGGGTTATAGGATACAGTGGGTTTTGAGCATGAGCTGTTTGACCTCGTGTGTGGCACGTCCACCGGGATGGAATGAGGAGGCGACGGAATAGCTGCAGTGTATGTGCGACCAACCCCCTCCCCCACCCCTCCCTCCCTGCACCACGCCACTTGGTCTCATGGGTTCCCTGCGTACGCACACCAGGCAAGCTGGTGTTTTCCAACGTGGAGGCGATTGAGTCAGCATCGTGGCAGGACAAGCTGGACTCTTGGGGCGCCTCAAAAGTCAAGTTGCGACCCTCCCCTGCTCTCTCCGTGTTCAACCCTCTCTCCCTCTCCCACCAGGCAAGCTGGTGTTTTCCAACGTGGAGGCGATGGAGTCGGCGTCATGGAGAGACAAGCTGGACCAGCTGTACAAGAGCTCTTCCCAGAACTACCGCGTGGTGGTGCATGGCAGCAAGGTGGGGAAGAGGGTCGTGGTGAAGGGTGAAGGGTGTGTGCATGGTGCGTCGTGGTTTGAGGGGGATGAGACAAGCTGGACCAGCTGTACAAGACCTCGTCTCAGAACTACCGTGTGGTGGTGCACGGCAGCAAGGTGCAGCAAGGGGATGGTACGCAGCGAGGTGGGTGCATAGCTGCTCGTCATGCATGCATGATAGGGGCCGCGGTATACAAGCTGAGCCAGCTGTACAAGAGCTCGTCCCAGAACTACCTCGTGGTGGTGCATGGTAGCAAGGTAAGGGCAGAGCTGTAGCATGATCGCTGTGCATGCAAGGTACGTTCATGCCGCTTTTCACAAGCTGGACCAGCTGTACGAGAGCTCGTCTCAGAAATACCGCGTGGTGGTGCATGGCAGCAAGGTGAGCAGAGGGGTGATGGGTGCAGTGTGTGCGCATGTTATGGTTCGAGAGGGCCATGATAGGCGGGTGTACACAAGCTAGACCAGCTGTACAAGAGCTCGTCGCAGAACTACCGCGTGGTGGTGCATGTAAGCAACGTAAGGGGGGTGATGGCATGGCAGTAGGGTGGGTAGGGTTAAGGGTGTGTGCATGATGCGTGATGGTTTGAGGGGAATGAGACAAGCTGGACCAGCTGTAAAAGAGCTCGTCACAGAACTACCGTGTGGTGGTGCACGGCAGCAAGGTGCGGCAAGAGGATGGTAGGCAGCGAGGTGGGCAGGGTGAAGGGAACATACAGGGTGCAAGGTGTAGGGTGCACGGTGGATGGTGTTAAAGCTCCTTGCAGAACAATCGCATGGTGGTGCATGGAAGCAAGGTGGGTGTGGGTGGAAGCAAGGTGGGTGCGGATGGAAGCAAGATGGGTGCGGATGGAAGCAAGATGGGTGCGGATGGAAGCAAGGTGGGTGCGGATGGAAGCAAGGTGGGTGCGGATGGAAGCAAGGTGGGCTGGGGGTTGCTTGCAAGGTGGGGTGCAGTGTAGGGTATGGTGACGATTAGGGGGATGATGTGATACGGGCTGAGAGGGCAGCTGAGCAGCTGCTGCAGGAGATACGGATGACAATAGGCACATCAACAACAGGAACCTGCTCATTGACTCACTGGCAGTATAGGGCGTGAGGAAGAGCTTATAGGGCGTGAGCTGCATGCCAAATAGATTTTGTTGACTGACCCTATAATTTTAACATGGTTTGTTACAGGGCGTGAGGAATAGTTTATTTTTTACCGAGTTTTCTCCCCCGGGATAACGTAAACGGTCGTGTTTCAAGAGCTTTCAGAGTTTGTTACTAGTGCACTTGATGAGTATAATGTAAGTGTGTGCACTTAATGCGTTGTTAAGCAGCCGTCTTTAAATTGATATCCACTTTTAAGCAGGTGCGTATTTTTGCTTACGGTCAAATTGGCTCTGGGAAAACGTATGCGGTATTTGAAGACTCCACTGAGAATGCTCTTCGAAGAGTTATTCCAAGATCAGTCAAGCAAATTTTTAGGATCAATTGACCCTTAAAATTTGGTCAAGTGATTTGAAATATCTCTACAAATGGCATTTTCAGTGGAGTCTCCAAACATTGTGTATATTTTTCCGGAGTCAGTTTGACCGAAAATTGCACACGTAAATGAAAGTGGGAATCAGTTTCATCATAGTTGCCTAACAGCGCATCTGGTGCGCATACTTACCTTGTACCCATCCAGTGCGCTAGTAGCAGGCTTCGGAATCTCTTGAAACACAGCCGCTTGTGTTGTTCCGGGTGAGAAAAGGCGGTTTAAAATAGACTGTTTCTTACGCCCTGTAATAGATCATGTTTAAAATAATTCGGTCAGTCAATAGAAGTAGATGATATGCAACTCGTCAATTCATTGACTCACCTCACGCCCTCTCCCCCCTCCCGCCACCTCATCTTTCCTCCCAGGCGCAGCACAATGCGGGGCATTTCGAGCAGTTATTGCAGGGAGGGCGTCGTCCCTGATTCCACCTCCCCCCCCCTCTCCTCCTTCTCCCCTTCCCCTCCACTCTTCTCCCGTTCCTCCTGCTCACAGCGCAACTCAGAGCAGTTTGAGCAGCTGTTATAGGAGATGCGCACGGACGACGATGGGGACCTGCTCATAGAATCCGCAGTCATTTTCCCTTGCTTGCACCTGCCTCTCCTCTTCCCCTGCGCGCGTTCCCTCTCGTTCCTCCCGCCCACTCGCAGCACAACGCGGAGCAGCCTGAGCAGTTGCTGTAGGAGATGTGCACGGATGACAATGGTTCATGTAGTTGTCCTTCCCCATCCCCTCATCTCCCCCGTTTCCTCTTCCTGCCTATCGCTGCCTATCCCCGCTCTTCCATTTGCCTCCCAGCACAACGCGGAGCAGTTTGAGCAGCTGCTGCAGGAGATGTGTCCGGATAACGATGGTTTCTATGTAGTTGTCCCTCCCCCATCCCCTCCCATCTCCCCCTTTTCCTCTTCTCTTCCGCTTCCCTGCCTATCCCTGCTCCTCCATCTTGTCTGGCAGCACAACGCGGAGCAGTTTGAGCAGCGGTTGCAGGAGATGTGCACGGATGACGATGGGGATCTGCTCATAGACTCCCAAAGCATTGTCCCTTGCACCCACCCCTTCTTTCCCCTGCTCTCTTTCCCTCTCGTTCCTCCCACCATCTCCCAGCACAATGCAGAGCAGTTTGAGCAGCTGCTACAGGAGATGTGCACAGATGACGATGGCGATCTGCTGATAGACTCGGCAGTCAAGGGCGGGCCGAAGGTCTTTGTCGTCTCCACGCTCGTTAGTGTCACACCCGCCACACCCTTCGTCTTCCGCAACTACCAGGTCAGTAGTCTGAGACATGTCAAAACCAATTGTGTTTGTCATGCACATGCTCGTTAGTGTCACCGTCACACCCGCCACGCCTTTCATCGCCCCTCCCTTGCATTGGCATGTTGGGGCCATCCTCATTACGAGGCACATGAAGGATGCAGCTCTGCCTCCTTCCTCTTATTTCTTTCCCCTTCTCTCTTCCCTCTTCCCTCTTTCCATCCACTTCCCCTCACAGTACCCTCCCGGAACCAGAGAAACCCCTCACCCCCCGGCCGACGGATCTCCCATGCCCACGCCGCCCCCCCGCATGCGCACGTCTGGCCTATCCGCGCTGCTAGGCACGTGCAAGATGCAGCTCTGGCAGGCCATCCGAGCCTCCTCCGCAGCTCCGTACTACTTCGACGATTTCGCAGTGGGTCCCCACCGCTGGCAAGACGGGGCTATTTTCGCAAATAACCCCACGATTGTGGCCGTTAGAGAGGCCCGGCTGCTCTGGCCGGACCTGCCGTTGGACTGCGTGGTCAGCCTCGGGTGCGGCTCGGCGCCGCCGAAGCTGCGCGGGCGGCCCGGGTGGAGGGTGGCGGATACGGGGCAGGTGCTGGCCGAGGCTGCCACGTCAGTGGAGCAAGCGGATTTTGCGTTTCAGTCGGTCATGCCCATGCTGCCTGATGTGAAATACTACCGCTTCAACCCAGGTCAGTGACTCAGTGCGGAGGTGAGACAGCTCTTGGGGCGCGTCAGAAGGACTCTTCAGGTACCTTTAAAGGTGGAGCAAGCGGATCTGGCGTTTGAGTCGGTCATGCCCATGCTGCCTGATGTGAAATACTACTGCTTCAACCCAGGTCAGTGACTCAGTGCGGAGGTGAGACAGCTCTTGGGGCGCGTCAGAAGGACTCTTCAGGTACCTTTAAAGGTGGAGCAAGCGGATCTGGCGTTTGAGTCGGTCATGCCGATGCTGCCTGATGTGAAATACTACCGCTTCAACCCAGGTCAGTCAAGAGTGCTTTTGAGCTCTGCAAGTACCTGCGCCTCTGCTCCCTCCCCTTCCCATTCCCTTTTCCCTTTCACCCTTCCCCTTTCCCCTTTTTTTTTCTTGCGCCTTTCCCTGCCCACTCCCCCTTCCAACCCCCTCATACACCAGTGGACGAGCGGTGTGGCATGGATCTGGATGAGACTCACCCAGCAGAGTGGGAGAAACTGGAAACCGCCACAGAGGAGTACGTTACAGCAGTCAACCGCTCTAAACCCCTTATCACACCCCCTTCAACCCCCTCATACACCAGTGGACGAGCGGTGTGGCATGGACCTGGATGAGACCGATCCAGCAGAATGGGAGAAGCTCGAGACCGCAACTGACGAGTATTTGACCGCAGTCAACCGCGACATGGCAGAGCTCTGCAAGTACCTGCGCCTCTGCTCCCTCCCCTCCCCGTTCCCTCTTTTCCCAAGCAGTGGACGAGCGGTGTGGCATGGACCTGGACGAGACAGATCCAGCGGAGTGGGAGAAGCTCGAGACCGCGACTGATGAATATCTGACCGCAGTCAACTGCGACATGGCAGAGCTCTGCAAGTACCTGCGCCTCTGCTCCCTCCCTTTCTCCGGCACTCTGACTTCTTCCCTCCACCCTTTTCCCCTCCTTTTCCCCTTTCCGTTCCCCGTTTCTCTCTTTCCTTTTGTTCCTCGCCGTTTCCCGTCCCTCCATACACCAGTGGACGAGCGGTGTGGCATGGACCTGGACGAAACTGACCCAGCAGAATGGGAGAAGCTCGAGACCGCGACTGATGAGTATTTGACCGCAGTCAACCGTGACATGGCAGAGCTCTGCAAGTACCTGTGCGTCTGCTCCCTCCCCTTCCCCACCACTGACTTTTTCCCTCCACCCTTCTTCCGTTTTCCCCTCCTCCTCGAGCAGTGGACGAGCGGTGTGGCATGGACCTAGATGAGACCGACCCAGCGGAGTGGGAGAAGCTCGAGACCGCGACTGATGAGTATCTCACAGCAGTCAACCGTGACATGGCTGAACTCTGCAAGTACCTGCGCCTCTGCTCCCTCCCCTTCCCCACCACACTGAATGTCTTCCTTCCACCCCTTCCCCCTCCCCCGTCCGTCCACCCCTTCCCCCATCCCCCTTTCCCCTAACAGTGGATGAGCGGTGTGGCATGGACCTTGATGAGACCAAACCAGCAGAATGGGAGAAGCTGGAAACAGCCACTGACGAGTATTTGACCGCCGTCAACCGCGACATGGCTGAACTCTGCAAGTACCTGCGCCTCTGCTCCCTCCCCTTCCCCACCACACTACCTTTCTTTCCCCCTCCCTCCTTCCCCCTTCCCCCTTTCCCCCTTCCCGTTCCCCCTTCCCCCTTTCCCTTTCCGTTCTGCTTCCATCTCCCCCCAAGCAGTGGACGAGCGGTGTGGCATGGACCTTGATGAGACCGACCCAGCAGAATGGGAGAAGCTCGAGACCGCCACAGACGAGTATTTGAACGCAGTCAACCGTGACATGGCAGAGCTCTGCAAGTACCTGCGCCTCTGCGTGGCCCAGGAGGAGGCCGACAAGGCCGCATCAGCAGCACTGTCAGGCGGAGTAGGTGGGGCAGCAGCAGCAGCAGCAGCAGGCGCAGCAGGGGGGTATAGGAGTCGTCCCGGCAGCCGTCCCAGCAGCACGCCTGGCACCCCTAGAGGTTACTCAAGCCCCGGAGGAGCAGCAGCAGCTGGGAAATCTGGGGCTGCTTACCCCCCCATTGTGCTCCCAGCGTCACCTAGGTCTCCCAAGTCGTCTGCCCCCGCGTCGCCCCTGGCCAAGGTGATTGGAACCCCGGGGGAGCAGAGGAGGGGAGGCAGTGGCAGCTCGCTGCACGCGATCAATCCGTACCGTCGGCACGTGCTGCTCGTCGACTCCATCCGGCCGTCCGTTGCCCGCCGGCCCTGGCAGCACTCTGCCCGGCTCTGCTGCTCTGCCATCGGCGGCGGCGGGTATGGTGATGGCGGCTATTATAACAACAGAAACAGCACGGTCTCTACTCATGAAGCAGCAGCAGCTAGGCTTGCAGGGATCAGCAGCAGCATCAGCACAGAGGGTGGCAGCACTGGCAGTCTGCTGTCCCACCTGCGCCGCCCCCCTAAGGTGGATGAACACATCTGTGAGCCCTGTGACTCTCCCTCTAGTAGCGCTGCGGGTGCTGCTGCTGCTGCTACATCTACTGGGCTCTATTTCTCCACCTCTCTCCAGTCCCCGTTCAGTTCCCGACCCTCCAGTGTGCCTGGCAGCCCCCGAACCGCAGGGTCAGCTTCGGCCATGGCTGCTGCTGCAGCTGCAGCGGCTGGGGCGTCTGCTAGCGGCGGTGCCAGTCCCCATTTTGGGCCTGCTACAGGAGTGATAGCACCGGCAGCAGCAGGGGTGGCTTCAGCAGGTACTGCTGGTGTTGCTGGGATGAGGCGGTCCGGTAGCAGCACAGCCATAGCAGCAGGTCTGGGATTAGGTTCGGGTGGTGCGGTTGGAGGTTCGGCTGGAACAGTGGGAAGTGGAGGAGGGCGAAGGGGAGTGGATGGAAGGGGAGGCGGGGCTAGTGGCTCCCTGGTGTTCCGAGTTCCTTCCAACCTCGATCTTAACAAGCCGACAGGAGAAACCGCACGCCCTGCTACTGCCAGCAGTGCTATTGCTGCTGCCGCTGCTGCTTCTGCTGCTGCTGCTACCTGTGCTGGGGGTGCGTCTACTGTCAGAGCAACTAGTACAGAAGACACACCGCTGGGAGTGGAAGCGAGTTTCCGGCCCTGGACGGCCGAAGGGGAGGACTCAGACGGGGAAGATGAGGGCCAGCGAAGCAGGAGCACCAGGCAGGCACGCACGGGGGAAGTCACACGGGCGTTCACACCAACATCAGCATCAGGCGCAGCAGGGGCAACGGTATCGGCAACAGCAGGGAGAGCAGCAGCAGCAGCGGCGGCGGCAGCGGCAGCAGCGACGCTGCCGAGTGTGGGGGCGCAGCTGAGGCCGGTGTGGACGGAGGGCGGGTCGAGGAGGGCAGTGGCGCTGTCTCTGTCCCCCCCGGCAGCAGCACTCATGCAGCGCCTGCAGCAGGCTGCTGGCGTGGGACTCGTGCACCTGGCACTGCCCTGCGACCAGGCAGGGTTCATCCTCACGTGAGTGCCAGAGTTTGCTTGTGTGCCTGCATGCTTGTATGCTTTCTTGCTTGCCTGCTTGAGTGTGGGGGCGCGGCTGAGGCCGGTGTGGACGGAGGGCGGGTCGAGGAGGGCAGTGGCGCTGCCTCTGTCCCCCCCGGCAGCAGCACTCATGCAGCGCCTGCAACGGGCTGCTGGCGTGGGGTTGGTGCACCTGGTCCTTCCCTGCGACCAGACAGGGTTCATCCTCACGTGAGTGTTTGTGTTTGCTTGCTTGTTCTCTTCTGAGAGCTGGTTCCTTATGAGGCACCCTTTCCCACCCTTCCCTTCAGCTGGACATCTGAGGTCATGTCAGTTGCAGAACCCAGTGGCAGACTCCGCCTCCCACCTGCACTCTTTGCACCGAAGAAATCACAACTTCTTCTTCGCGATCTCCCATTCTGATCATCCCCCCTTGTCCCGTGTTGCTTCCTCCTTCAGCTGGTCATCTGAGGTCATGTCAGTGGCAGAGCCTAGTGACTCCGCATCTCACCTCCTCTCTCACACGTCTCTCTCTTCATCCCTCCCTCCCATCTTCATCCCTCCGTCCCTCCTAAGACAGCTGGTCATCTGAGGTCATGTCAGTAGCAGAACCCAGCGACTCCGCCTCTCGCCTGCTCGCCCGGGCCATTGGCAGCATCGGCTGGTGGAACCCCGCTCGCCGCCATGCTGCCGCTCTTGCCCACACCCTTGCTGCTTCTGCCGTTGCTACTGGTGGTGCCACTGGTGCTGGTGGTGCTGGTGCTGGTTTTGGTGCTGCCAAAGCTCCGGTGTCCGGTTCGGGTGGCCTTGCTTCGGCACCTGGTTCGGCCTCCGCTTCGGCGGCTGATCTGGTCGGACTTGCTGCCAGTCATCAAGGAGCCAGTTCCCCCGGGCTTGGTCCGGTGAACGCAGCAGGTTCGGCAAGTGCACGACTGGCAGCAGGTTCGGGTTCAGCAGGCCCGGTAGGGGTGAATGCTTCGGGTAGTGGCGGTGGCAGTGCCAGGGGCATCAGTGGAACCCCAAGTTCCTCTGGTGCTGCTGTCACTGCTGCTGCCGCTGCTGCAGCTGCTGCCAGTCCTGCTGGTGGCTCTGCTGCTGGTGCCACTGGTGCTGGTGGTAGTTTGAGAGGTGTTGGGCTGCCTGGTGTTGCTGGGGGAGGAGTAGGACAAGCAGGAGGAGGGGGAGGGAGAGGGGGCAGGGGAGCGGGGGAGAAGGCACCGGCGAGTCTGTGGGAGTTGGTGCATGTGGCGAGCAGCTTTGTGGTGGATGGGGTGCTTCATCGCTTCATGGGCTGCCACACTCAGGTGCGTTTTTTTAGATGCCTCAGAAGGTGCCACCAAGTCTGTGGTAGTTGGTGCATATGGCGAGCTGCTTTGTGGTGGATGGGGTGCTGCATCGCTTCATGGGCTGCCACACTCAGGTGCGCTAACTGCCTTGCCTTTCCCCACATACGGGTGTGCCTCTCTCCTCGAGTATGACTTTTGAGGCTCCTCGAGAGTTGGTGCATGTGGCGAGCTGTTTCATGGTGGATGGGGTGCTGCACCGATTCATGGGCTGCCACACCCAGGTATGCCACGTGCTGCCCCTGCCCTCGTTGCCTCTTCCCAATGCATGGGCTGTTCCTCATTTTCACTGATCCCATCACTGAATTTTGCCCCTCATTTTCTTCTGTGAAATAACGGGTGGTCTGAAGCTCTGTGCGCATTCCAACCATTACGTGCGTGGGCTGTGCTGGGTGGGATGCTGACATTCCTTGTCTGGCTGTCACTGTTTCCCGGTTTGTTTCCCTATTTGCCCATTTCTTACTCAGATCCTGCCGGGCGGCATGGAGGTGAGCACGTACCTCTTCAGCTGCACTGCTCCCGCCGTCCACCTCACAGAAGCCGACATTCGCTGGATGGTGAGATGGGGTGGGGTGGGGTATGCGGGATGGTCAGGGATGCTGAGGTTGTTGAGGGATTGTGGGTTGTGGATGGTTGGATGCTGAATGGTTGGATTGTTGGATGGTTGGACGGTTGGACTGTGAATGGTGGATGATGGGTTTCTTGCATGATGGACGTTAGGTCTTCTCCTCCATCTGTCCCTGCCTTCCTGCTTCACTGTTTCTTTGAATCCTTGCCTCCCTTCGACCACCCTGACAAGCTTCCTCATGGAGAGATTGTGGAATCGTGTGCACGGGCCAGCAGGGTTCCCACACTGCCCTCTTGAATGCATTTCCTCACTGCTCTGCCGCTCTGCCTCCCTGCCTCCCTGCCTCCCTGCCTCTCTGTGACCACCCATACAGGCATCCTCATGGAGGGATCGTATAATCGTGTGCACGGGCCAACAGGGCCCCCCCACCGCCCTCTTGAATGCATTTCCTCACCTTTTTGCCCATCTGCCTCCGTGCCTCCCTGCCTCTCTATAACCACCAGGCATCCTCGTGGAGGGATCGTATCATAGTGTGCACGGGCCAACAGGGCCCCCCCACCGCACTCATAGACGCCTTTCTGGACACTGGAGCCAAGGCGGTCATTGCTCCTCCCCCTGCTGGCTCCTCTTCGTTATCCGGTCAATTTGCACTGAATGCCGCCGCTGCGGCAGCGGCAAGTGGCATGTCTCCTCGCGTCGACACAGCTTATCAAGGAGCGAGTTCGGATTTGGCGACGGCAGCAGCGGGTGGGGATTTGGGTAGGATGGGGAAGAGGGAGGCCTGGTTGGATGACGTGGAGGCTTGGATTGGTCGGGAGGATCGGGTATTTGGTTTGGCAGTGGAGAAGGAGCAGGCAAACGCTAAGGTGGAGGAAGAGAGGTTGGGGTTGTTCTTGAGGGATCTCTACAGTGGGTTGTTTGATGATGGGTTTTCAGCTCCCGTAGCTTTGGAGGAAGCCTTGAAGGCTCATCCGGGGATGAAGTTTTCATGCCATGTTAAGAAAAGGTGATATCATTGTATAGTATATTGGATCTGAGCACATAGTCAGTAGCCTAAATCTATGTTCTCTTAGTTTGTATTGTGGTTCATTGTAACGAGCAGAACGGTATCGAGTATGCTATGGCGTGCCAATGCCTGCCTGCCGTGCTTGCTGCGCTGGCGCGCGGCGATTCTGGAATGTGGGGAAACTGCAGCGGAAGCGTCGTCAACTTTGCCTCTACACCTCACACCGCTGTTCTCAACCGCACAGAAACGCAACGTAAAGTTCCCACTTTTATCACCTACTTCCAGCCAGCTGCCATTCTCCCCCCGCTGCCACACTTTTGCCTTTCGGATGATCCCAAAGGTGGCCCTGCTCCCTCGAGTTCATTTACACGCTTGTCTTAGCTCATATCGTGCACCTTCATTCTTCCGACACGTGCTTTCTAAGTCTACTTTCTCGAGTTTCGGAACTCTCTTGCACGTTTCCGCCTTCGGACCTAATTGTCAGACTCCTAGCTCGTCTCTTAGAGCTCCGTCCGTTGAGTGTAGATCGCGTACCGAACGTCCACGTAGCTTCTGCGAGCATCGGCTCCACCATTTGATCTGCGAGTCAACAGAACTTTCGTGTACCTATCAGCCAACGAACTGAACGAGAAGCAAAGACAATGGCCGACTCTACTAGCGGATCTGCAAGCGCGCCGAGCTCGGATTTCTATACCGCTGCAGGATTCAGAAAGTGGGTCGTGGAGAACAAGATCAAGGCCGTCGGTGAGTGCAACTAAATACCCGTTAGTATTCGGATTGTCTCCACATTTTTTGCTGCTCACGGAAGCGAGTAGTGACACGTTGCACCGAACCGACCTTGAGATCTAGTTACGAATGATGACGACCCGCTCTGGTGATTTGGTCGTGCCATGACAGCCTGCTTCAGGTGATTCATACACAGCGGAGACATAATATCAGAACACTGATAAATGACTTTGACAACCTATGTCATTCGGTGGACTTTTGTGGAGGTTCTCTATGCCAAGTACTTTCCACAACCCCTTTCCGTCGCCTGTGTTTGTATCCGGCATTTCAGGTTCTCTATGGGCATCAGCGGTGGGTGGATCCATTTTGTATAACTTCCGGAAACCGGGGGAGAAAATGAGCGTCAAGATCATCCATGCGCGGTAAGCTGTTGCCGTGTTTGTTCTCTTTTTGAAGCTCCTTTTGATAAGCTTGTGACGTGTCTCCTTGGTTAGGTACCCTGGTGCTACTTGCTGTTCATGATTGAACCTTGCTTTTGATGGCTGTGCACTCAGAGTAGCGGCTTCTTCAGCAGCATGGTACTGCTTGTTGGAAGTGTGGGGGACGGGATTGCCCCCCACGCTAAGACCCCCCTTGACTCGGACCAAGGGAGGGTTCTTTCTCGGAATGAGGGGTGACGGCGGATTGACCGCGTCGCCACTCAACCGAGTTCGCCCCTGGTTGGGTCCGAACTTTTGTGGGGGCGACACTTGGCAGCCCCACAAGCATGCACGAAAATAGTGAGAGTGCAAGCGAATGTTACGAACATTTCGCTACACTCGCTATTGTTCCTTGTAACACACGATTGTCGGTGTGAAGAAACGAACCCGGCAAAGTCCAAAATTGTGAACGCGGACGTCGCGGAAATTGGACGCGATCCTGAGTCCGAATTCCTGGCAAGTCGCGCGCGGTTCGATGTTACATTTATGCATGTGTGTTTTAGCTATAAAATCCAGAGAGCAAAACAGAGAGTTCATTCCATTGACGACTTGTATACCCACTCTTGCATAATATACAATTGCTCTCTGGTTACTTGGGCGATTTCAGTGATCAAAGTTGCTACGGAATCCTTGCTCCGAGCCCGTCGTATCGATCCTAGGCTCTGCCTCTAACTCGCCAAGTTAGTTCTGTGGCGTCACTTAGAGCAGGACGGTTTCTTTCATGGTATCAGAGCTAGGTTAGGAGTGCTCGCTCAATCGTTGCTACGCCATGGGTTCCTCCGATAATTCGTCGACGACGAATGCGCCAACGACCCCTTCCCTCCCGGCGGACTTCTCGACAACGCCGCACGTTGTCGACTTGAGCGCGGTGCCGATTTTCAACGGGGGGCGTTTCTCCTCGTGGCGTTTCAAGCTCAAGGTGTATATGATGGAGCGCGACTTGTGGGGCTTCTTCGATGGGTCGGCATCGAAGCCCACGTCGGACGCTTCAACCGCGGAGAAGGAAGCGTGGGTGCGTAAGGACAAAAAGGCGTTTGCCTTTCTTGTCTCCAAGCTAAGCCTCCAACTCGTCCCGATCGTGAGTCCGTGCATCGACCGTGACGGCGCGACTCGTGAAGCGTGGAAGCGACTCGAAGGAGAGCACGTCTCCAAGTCGCTTCATAGCAAGCTTCAAGCGCGCCTCGACTTCTTCACGGTGCGGATGAGGGACGGCGAGTCAATGCGCGCGTACGTCAACCGCGTGGAGGAGCTTGGCGAGCGTTTGGTGGAACTCGACGCGAGCGTGGAGGACAACGATTGGATCATGACGCTCCTCGCGGGCCTCGGCGAAGCATGGTCAACGGTGATTACGATGTTGGATGGGACGCAAGACACGTGGAAGAAGGAGCAAGTGGTGGCACGCCTCATCAACGAAGAGGCGAGGCGCACGAAATTGCATGGCGATGCAATTGGCGCGGCACACTTCTCCCGTGATGCGAAGGCGAAAGGGACGGGTCACTTCAAGCGGCGCAACGACGGCAACAACCGCGGGAGCTCGAGCGGGAGCGCGGCGGCCTCAAGCTCATCACGCGGAGGATCGGCCAACGCCAATCGAGCTCGGACGCGCGACGGAGCTTGTCGTTTTTGCAAGAAGACCGGACATTGGTGGCGCGAATGTCCCGTCAAGCCGGCAAATTGGAAGCCGTCAAGCGACGACAACCGGCGCGCGCATGTGGCGACATGCGACAACAACGACCGGGAGTTCGTCTTCGTCGCAAGTGGAACGACCGTCGGTGGTGTTGACGCGTGGCTACTCGACACGGGTGCTACTCAACACATGACGGCGTGTGCGACGCTTCTCAACAACGTGACAACGGAGGCTCCCGTTAAGCGCGTGATGTTCGGCAACCGTGACACGTTGGACGTCACGGGACAAGGCGACTTGCGGCTCATGGTGGACGGCGGTCCACTCACCATCAAGAACGTCTTGGTGGTTCCCGGGCTCGGCGCCAACCTCCTCTCCGTTTCTCAACTCACACGCAAGGGGATGCGTGTGAATATCGAAGGGACCATGATGGCGTTGAGCGCGGCGGATGGCGTACACATCGGCACGGCACGCCAAACGGGAGGACTCTTCATGCTCGACGCTCTTCCTAGTGTGGCAACGGCTCAAGCGGCTACCTCAACAACCACTCTCAAAACGTGGCATCATCGGTTTGGCCACCTCCGCTACGACGCTATTCAAGCTATGGCAACGAAGGGGATTGTCCACAGCTTGGATTTTGTGCGCTCGGGTGGAGACGATGAGAAATGTGTCGGTTGCCTTGAAGGGAAAATGACACAGAAGCCATTTCCACCGAGTACGAAGCCGAACGCCACCGAACCTCTCAAGCTCGTTCACACGGAGTTGTGCGGGCCGATCACTCCCGCGTCGAAGGGTGGTGCGCGCTACGTTCTCACGCTCCTCGACGACGCGACGCGGATGTGTTGGATTCGGCTTCTCAAGAACAAGGACGCCACGTCAACCGCCATCAAGCAATGGGTCGCGGATGTGGAGACGGAAAGCGGCTTCAAGGTGAAGCGCTTTCGCTCGGATGGAGGTGGCGAATACACCGCTCGGGAGCTCGGCGATTGGTTGAAAGGGCGTGGGACCGCGCATGAGTTCTCTACGCCGTACACGCCTCAACAAAATGGAGCCGCCGAACGCTTGAATCGCACGCTCATGGAGTCGGCACGGAGTCTCCTCTCCCACACTCATGCGGAGAAGCATTGGTGGGGAGAGGCGGTTACGTTGGCAACTTGGATTCGCAACCGGTGCGTGACCAAGGCGTTGCCCAACAAGACTCCTCTTCAGGCTTGGAGCGGTACGAAGCCGGACGTCACCGACCTTCGCACGTTTGGGTGTACGTGCTACTACCATGTCCCGGATGCTACACGGACCAAGCTTGAGGCGAAGGCGCGGGTGGCGATGTACTTGGGTCCAAGCGCGGATCACAAGGGGTGGCGCGTGTGGGACTTGGAGCACGGGAAACTCGTGGTGTCGCGCGACGTGGTGTTCTACGAAGACACCTTCCCCTCCAAGTCTACGAACGTGCCCTCGGTCATCATCGTCCCTCCACCCTTGGATGCCGCGGATGAGGCGGATGAAGCTCCTACGGCTCCTCCTCCTAGTGCGAGTGAGGGGGAGAATGGATCGGGTGCGGTTGGAGTGAGTGAGGATGAAGGAAATGCCAAGGAACGTGACCCTTCGTCTCCTCCTCCTCGTATCACTCCCACCCTCGCATCCACTCGCACTCGAAGGAACCCTCATCCCAACTCCAAGCTCGTAGACTACTCTCTCGTGGCGGGGAACGATGAGGGAGGGGGAGACGCTATGTGTCTTGAGGCGTACACCGACACCCCGTCCACCTACCACGGCGCCATGAGCTCGGCGGAAGCGGCGGAATGGGAACGTGCGCTTCAAGAGGAGTACGATTCACTCATGGCGAACGACGTCTACGAGCTTGTCCCCATGCCTCCCGGCGCCTACCTCGTTGGCTCTCGTTGGGTCTTCAAGAAGAAGCTCGGCCCCAACGGAGAAGTGGAGCGGTACAAGGCGCGGTTGGTGGCGCAAGGCTACACGCATAAAGAGGGTCTTCACTACAACGAGACGTTCGCTCCCGTCGCCAAGTCCGCTACGTTGCGCACCCTCCTGGCATTGGCGGGAGCACTCGACTTGGAGGTGGAACAACTCGACGTGAAGACGGCGTTTCTCTACGGTCGTCTCAAGGAGGAGGTGTACATGAAGCAACCTCCCGGGTTCGACAACGACTCCGACCGCGTGTGCAAGCTCAAGCGCACAATCTACGGCCTCAAGCAAAGCCCTCGTGCGTGGTACACGAGGATCGACGATCACTTGCTCTCATTGGGGTTCGTGCGGAGCGAGTGTGACCACGCGCTCTACGTGCTCAACAAGGACGAGAAGAAGCTCGTTCTTCTCCTCTACGTCGACGACCTTCTCCTTGTGTCGGATTCCAAAGCCCTAGTAGCGGACGTGAAGACGAAGCTTGCCGCCGAATTCTCCATGCGTGACCTCGGCGCCGTCTCCCACTACCTAGGGATGCACATCGATCGCGACCGATGGAACAAGACCCTCGCCCTCCACCAACACAAGTACTTGGAGAGTGTGGTGGATCGCTTCGGCATGATCGAGAGCAAGCCTACACCGACACCCATGGAAGCGGGGTTTCATCCATTGGTCGTGAGCGACAAGAACCCGATGGATCCCGAGAGCGCCAAGACCTTCCACTCGGTTGTTGGGTCTTGCATGTATGCCGCGGTGACCACGCGACCCGACCTCTCCTTTCCCGTTGGAGTGCTAAGGCGTGTCGTCTCCAAACCCATGGTCGAGCATGTGCGAGCGTCACGACGCCTCCTTCGCTACATCAAGGGGACCACTCGTATGGGGTTGCACTACGAGAAGGGACCCGTGGTGCTTCAAGGCTACACGGATGCGGATTGGGCGGGAGATCCTTCAACCCGCCAAAGCACCTCGGGCTATATCTTCACCTTGTGGGAGGTGCAATAAGTTGGCAAAGCAAGCGCCAAAACTTGATTGCACTTAGCTCCACCGAAGCGGAATACGTGGCGCTCACTCGTGGTGGTACGGAAGCGGTTTGGCTAAGGCGCCTTCTTGCCGAGCTTGGGCACAAACAAGAAGGCCCCACTCCCATCTACGTGGACAACCAAGCCGCTATTGGCCTAGCCAAGAATTCGATCCTTCACGGAAGGACCAAGCATATTCAAATCCGCCACCACTTCATTCGCAAGCTCGTTGAAGACAACGAAGTCGAGCTTCGTTACATCAAGACCAACTCCCAACCCGCGGACTTCCTCACGAAGCCATTGCCTAGAGATGCTCTTCATGCATGTTGTGCTAGGGTAGGCTTGCATGCTTAGGTGTGCGTGGGGTGCAAGGGGGAGTGTTGGAAGTGTGGGGGACGGGATTGCCCCCCACGCTAAGACCCCCCTTGACTCGGACCAAGGGAGGGTTCTTTCTCGGAATGAGGGGTGACGGCGGATTGACCGCGTCGCCACTCAACCGAGTTCGCCCCTGGTTGGGTCCGAACTTTTGTGGGGGCGACACTTGGCAGCCCCACAAGCATGCACGAAAATAGTGAGAGTGCAAGCGAATGTTACGAACATTTCGCTACACTCGCTATTGTTCCTTGTAACACACGATTGTCGGCGTGAAGAAACGAACCCGGCAAAGTCCAAAATTGTGAACGCGGACGTCGCGGAAATTGGACGCGATCCTGAGTCCGAATTCCTGGCAAGTCGCGCGCGGTTCGATGTTACATTTATGCATGTGTGTTTTAGCTATAAAATCCAGAGAGCAAAACAGAGAGTTCATTCCATTGACGACTTGTGTACCCACTCTTGCATAATATACAATTGCTCTCTGGTTACTTGGGCGATTTCAGTGATCAAAGTTGCTACGGAATCCTTGCTCCGAGCCCGTCGTATCGATCCTAGGCTCTGCCTCTAACTCGCCAAGTTAGTTCTGTGGCGTCACTTAGAGCAGGACGGTTTCTTTCACTGCTTTCCCCCTCTGCTGTATGTCCCGCAGGTTACACGCTCAAGCATTGACATTGGCGGCATTGCTTGCTGCTGGCGCTGTAGAATACTACGAGCATGCCTCAGGAGCAAAAGTGGAGAAAGTTGCTGAACAGACCAAATTGCATTGACGTCTTGAATTGAAACATTCACTTCAATAAAGAGCATGTCTTTTTTTTCTAGGTGATTTAACATATCCGTGCCATATCACAATCCCGAACTGTTCATCTATTCCTCCAAGCAACATTGTGAGGCACATTATGGGTGGTAGGTAGGAGGGTGTACCATGGGCTATTTGCCATATTCTTGCCATATTTTCCTGCAGTTCGATTTTCCTACCAGTGCTTCTGTCACTAGTCCCTGCTGTCAGCCTGTGTGTTCCTCCATTTCCTGCAGTCAGTGTTACTACCTGCTGTAATTTCTTGGTGCCAGTACCCTGTTAGTTTAGTTCTGCCATTATGATCTACTGTCAGCGTTTCCCCAACTCCCTGCTATCATTCCCTGCTGTTAGTATGTCCCTGTCACTGTTCCCTGGTGTTTGTGTATTTCTCCTGCCCCTGCTGTAACGATTTTCTGCCATTATTCCCTGCTGTTAGTGTGTCCCTGTGATAACACCCTCCTAATGTGTCCCTGCTACAATTTCCTGCTGTTAGTGTCTCCCTGCCACCATTCCCTGCCGTTAGTGTGTCCCTCCCTGCCATCATTCCCTACTGTTATTGTGTCCCTACCATCATTCCCTGCTGTTATTGTGTCCCTGCCACCATACCCTGCTGTTAGTGTGTCCCTGCCTCCATTCCCTGCTGCTAGTGTGTCCCTGCTGTTAATACCGTATGTCCCTGCCATCATTCCCTGCTGTCAGTGTGTCCCCGTCATCATCCCCTGCAGTTGGTGGGTTTCTGGCTCGCCAGCCCAACCATCCCCTGTTCTGCCTATCAAACTCCCTGCATCACCCCATCCCCTGTTGCTGTACCTTGCCACATACCATACCTCCCACCCACCTTACCCATATATGTACCTCGTACATACCACAGCATTGCCCCTACTCTACTAAAAATCCAAGGCATTATGGCCTGGCGAGAGCTTTGATGTTACCGAATAAACTAGCTACTGCCATGTATAATCTTGTAAGCCTGTGACTCTGCCTGCTACAAGTGTAGCACCCTTGGTCATAATTCTTCTATATTCCCTTTCCTCTCTGTAGATGAGTACATAGAAAACCAGCAGGGGGCATGCAACAGAGTGAACTGAGTATGGATGATTGTTGGATTTAAAATAAATAGATACCGTAATCCCCGCATAGTACACCCTAGGGTGTACTGATAAATACCCCCCTTTAGGGGGGTGTTCAATTATGGGGGGGGGTGTAAGCTTGCACCCATGGGTGTTATATAATGACATACAAAAAACATTTAGATGTTAATGTATTCTGTTTTCAGTTCACTAATCTTTATCGATTCAAGCTGAAACAGCTTGCGCACTGCGCGTCGAATTCAGCCACGTCATTCAAGCACAGATTGACTCGGCACCACCACACTCAGCACAATTTGAACTCCCTCCTAACTTGCGTGACAGATTCCGAGTGCCGCGACCCTCCACATGTGTGAAATCTCTGCTAAAAAAACTCAGAATTCGTTACAGATTCCGATGAAATTGCATCAGGGGGTGTACTAAAAAATACAAAAATAATGGGGGGTGTTATAACTGGTGTATTTTTCAGTACACCCACCGCAATTGAACACCCATGGGTGTTCAATTTTGGGGGGTGTACTATGCGGGGGATTACGGTATAAGAAGAGTGTTCCCCATGGCAAAGGGTGCAATGACCGAGGAAGGATAAGCAACAGAAATGAGCAGCAAAATGAGAGTGTGAGTGCTGCTGAGTGAGCGAGCAGGGGACTACGAGAGAAGTGTTGACTCACTGGAAGGAGAAGCATTGACTCACTGGAAGGAGAAGCGTTGACTCACTGGAAGGAGAAGCGTTGACTCACTGGAAGGAGAAGCGTTGACTCACTGGAAGGAGAAGCGTTGACTCACTGGAAGGAGAAGCGTTGACTCACTGGAAGGAGAAGCGTTGACTCACTGGAAGGAGAAGCGTTGACTCACTGGAAGGAGAAGCGTTGACTCACTGGAAGGAGAAGCGTTGACTCACTGGAAGGAGAAGCGTTGACTCACTGGAAGGAGAAGCGTTGACTCACTGGAAGGAGAAGCATTGACTCACTGGAAGGAGAAGCGTTGACTCACTGGAAGGAGAAGCGTTGACTCACTGGAAGGAGAAGCGTTGACTCACTGGAAGGAGAAGCGTTGACTCACTGGAAGGAGAAGCGTTGACTCACTGGAAGGAGAAGCGTTGACTCACTGGAAGGAGAAGCCACGTAGTTGGCAGGAAGTTTACTCACGTGAGCCCATTGAAAGGGTGAGATTTGGAAGAAGTCACGTAGTTGGCGATTGAAGAGCCACCAACAGATGCTGTCCCATACTCCCTCCCTCCCATCCCACACTAGCGCTCCGCATTGGTGCTCCACACGTGCAACTGGTGTTGTCAGTGGGCCACTCAGCTTCCTCTGCTGCATCACGAGTGGCCTGAGGGGATTGGGGCAGGGCGGAGGGAATGGGGCAAAGCGGAGGGAATGGGGCAAAGCGGAGGGAATGGGGCAAAGCGGAGGGAATGGGGCAAAGCGGAGAAAATGGGGCAAAGCGGAGGGAATGGGGCCAAGCGGAGGGAATGGGGCAAAGCGGAGGGAATGGGGCCAAGCGGAGGGAATGGGGCAAGGCGGAGGTAATGGGGTAGGGCGGATGGAATGGGGAAGAACGGAGTGAACGGGGCAGAGACGAGTGATTGGGGCAGAGCGGAAGGAAGGGCAGAAGGCAAGTGAGTGCAGGCCAAGAAAAAGGCACGAGATATGTGAGAATATAACAAGAAAGAAGGATGGGAAGAAAGCGGGTGGTTGGGGGGGATGGTGGGACTGGGGGGAAGGAGGCAAACAGCAAAAGCTGGAACAACAAAGAAGGATGGGAAGTGGGAGGGGGTTGGAGGGATGGGAGGAACGGAGGCATACAGCAAAAACTGATACTAGAGAAAGAAGGATTAGAATTGGGAGGGGGATGGAGTGAGAGGGGGGAAGGAGGCATACAGCAAAAACTGTGAACTAGAGAGAAGGATGGGAAGTGGGAGGGGCGGAAGTGAACTGGAAGCAAATGATCACATGGCAGCACGGAATGGGAGGGGTGGAGAGCGGTGTTTGCGACCTACTCAGGGGTGTAGAGCTGGAAAAAGTGGCATACCTTGATAGGTCATTGCCAGCCCCATACTCTCCCTGGTAAAAGCGCTGCCTCCCTGCAGTGAAAGGTCCCTCCGCTGTGCCACAAGCTCTTTGGAAGGGGGGAAATCTGAGCTCCCTGTTGCCCACTGCGCTTGGCTCCCAATTGCTGCTGCTGCTGCCTCTGCTGGCACAGGGGGAGGAGGTTGGAGGAACGTGGGGAAAAGGAGGCATGCAACAAGAACTGGAGCAAGCAAGACGCACGGGAAGGTGCAGGAGTGCATGAAAGCGAATGAGTCAAAACCAAAACGGCATGGGAGGGGTTGGGTGGAGCGTGGGAGGCAAAGGGAGTGTGGTGACGGCAGCCCGTGGCAGTTTGGCAGCGAGCAAGCTTGCAGGGTTGGGACTGAGGAGGAGGAGGACGCGGGCATGAGGATGAATGCATTCTATTCTACCCCCCTATAACCCTACCTACATGCGCTCAGCTGCCTTGTGCCACGGCCCACCATCGCCACACGCCCTCACACTCCCGCTCACACTCCTAACACACTCCTCAAAGATTGCGCATCAACCAAAGTGCGTCAAAGAAAGAGGAGGAAATGGGAATAGGTGCACTTAGCTGGTCGCTTGCTGGTCGCTCGGTGGCTATGGCAGATGGACGGCTCAATGTTCGCCGCTAGGTTGCTATGGTTGACGGATGGCTCGTTGTTCGCTCCCGGTTGCTGCTGCTGCTGCCTCTGCTGCTACAGGGGGGGGATTTTGAGGGACGGGGGGAAGAGGATGCATGCAACAAGAACTGGAGCAAGCAAGACGCATGGGAAGGTGCAGGAGTGCATGAAAACGAATGAGTCAAAACCAAAACGACGTGGAGGGGTTGGGAGGAGCGTGGGAGGCGAAGGGAGTGTGGCGAATGGCGGCCCGTGGCAGTTTGGCAGCGAGCGAGCTTGCAGGGGGGGACTGAGGAGGAGGAGGACGCGGGCATGAGGATGAATGAGTTTTATTCTAACCCCCTACAACTCTAATCTACATGCGCTCAGCTGCCTTGTGCCACGGCCCACCATTGCCACATGCCCTCACACTCCCACCCTCACTCGCACATTTTTGGAATAATTTAGGAATCGTATTGCGTGCGAAGAAAAGCGAGACAAGAGTAGAAGGAGTGGAGTTGAGAGCACTTAACCAGAAGTGGCTGTGACTGAACGCTCTGGCTGATCGGCATATCTTCTCCTCCGACCCTCTCGTCCGTCGCCCGTCACGGAGGCGCGTCGCTCGCAATTCTCCGCCCGCTCGTTCGCCGTGCGTCGCTGCTCGTGAGACGCTCGGTCGCAGTTCGTTGTTGCTTGCGGGTCGCTCGTTCGCCGTGCGTCGTTGCTCACGAGTCGTTCACTGACTGCAGCCACCACTCTGTGGCTCTGCCACCCGCAATCCATTCGCCTTGAGGCCAGAGGGGGACAAAGGCACAGGGAGAAGGAGATGCAAAGGAAGAGGATCGGCCTCGGAACTTGAAATGAATGGGAGCAGCAAGAACGTCAAGGTGGCAATAGAGCAGAAGCTGTGAAGAGCGAGCATTGAGAAACTTGAAAATGGAGCTCAGCAAAAACGGAGTGGTTGGATCGTGGTGGGAGGGGGAACAGGGAAGGCGCATGGCGACAGTGGCCCACAGCACTACGGCAGCGAGCTGAGCCAGCGAGGGGGGACTGGGGTAGAGTGGGACGCGCGCATGGCATGAGTGCACTCCCTCTCCGTCTCCCTCTACTCTCTCCCGCCGCTCCCACTACACTGCACTCTACGCGAGCTCTGCTGCCATAGCACCACGGACCACCACCACCATGCGCCAAGAAACAAATGTGCCTTGAGATTTGCTAAGAGTGAAAGAGACGGATGGGGAGCGATGGAAGACGGAGAGGAAACTTAGCTAGGGAGAAGCGTAGACTCGTCCAAGGGAGGAGCAGCAAGCAGCAGCGTCGCCGTTCCGCACATTGTCGCACACAGCAACTCGCCAGTCCGCACATCATCGCACCCAGCTCGTTGCAATTCCGCCTGCACTCCATTCGACCTGAGGCCAGACCAGAAGATGGATGGGGAACAAGGCACGGCGAGAGGGAGATGCAAAGAGATTGGCATAGCGCAGGCAATGAAGCTAGAATGATGAAGCAGCAAGCACGACGTGGAATTGTAAGAGCATTGGGAAACTTGAAGCAGATGGCAGAAAGGCACGGGAGGGGTTGGGAGGAGCGTGGGAGGCGAAGGGAGTGTGGCTATGGCAGGCCGTGACAGTTTGGCAGCGAGCGAGCTTGCAACGGGGGACTGAGGAGGAGGAGGACGCGGGCATGAGGATGAATGCGTTCTATTCTAACCCCCTACAACTCTACCTACATGCGCTCAGCTGCCTTGTGCCACGGCCCACCATTGCCACACGCCCTCGCACTCCACACGCACTCCTTACTCCTATCATGGGAACTGCACATTGACTGAAAGGCACGACAGATGAAAACAACTCTGAAACGGGAGTGAAGTTCGGAGCACTTAGCTAAACGTAGCTGTGGCTGAACGGCGTAGCTTTCCTGTCAACGATCCCGTCCGTCGCTCGCCATGGAGGCGTGTCGCTCTCCACGCGTCGCCCGCCGTTCGCCGTGCGTCATTGCTCGTTGGTCGGTCGTTCGGCGTGCGTTGTTGCTCGCCGGTCGCCGTTTCGGTCGCTATCGCGGACGTCTCAACCGCGGACGTCTCACTCGCGGACGCCTTCCGTCTCCCGTCGTTCGCTGCTTGTCGTCCATCTCTCGTCTTCTGTCGCTCGCCATCCGTTCGCTGCTCGTCGTACGTCTGTCGTCGTTCGCTTCTCGTCGTACGTCTGTCGTCTTTCGCTGCTCGGCGTCGGTCACTCGTCGACCGTCTCGCGTTGCGGGTCATCTTCCGCTGAAACTTGAAAGCTGGAAGCTCGTTCTTGCTTCAACCAGACGTGTCACCAAGATGCTACGTTGCGATTCACCAAAATGCGACGTTGCGATTCACCGAGATGAGACGTTGGCGATTCATCGAGATGCGACGTTGCGACGAGATGCGACGTTGAGATTCACCGAGATGCGACGCCCGCGTTTCACCAAGATGCGACGTTGCGATTCATATGCGACGTCGCGATTCACCAAGATGCGACGTCGCGATTCACCAAGATGCGACGTCGCGATTCACCAAGATGCGACATCACTAGCCATTCAACGAGCTCGGAAAGTAAACACCTTCACAATCCCCTACTGCTCCGTACCGTTCCGCACCCCCAACCAAGTCACGACGTCTCCAGTATGCAGGTTGCAATTCAACAATATGCAACATTTCTCGGCTTGAGCAGGGCGTGAATGACGTCGAGAAGGTGAGCACCAGCGGACCAAGCGTCGTGGAAAAACTGCTCGCTTCAAGATATGGCTCCCTTTCCTCTTCTTCTGCCAGTCACCACCACACTCCTACTGCTCCGGTCCGTTTTCACTCCCAGACGTTCGGGCTGGATGTTTGAGACAGGTGGAAACTTCTAGTGTCGCTTCTCCTGGTAACACCTGTCGCGGACGTCCAACTGCTTTCGCCATCAGGGTCGTCTCTCCTAAGTCTGAAACAGCGAAAATTTGCCTCCGAGCGGCTAGAGTAGATACGATCTCAGATATCAGGGCAGAGTCCCTTCTTAGAGTCTAAAACAGCAGAGAGTTGCCTTCGAGCTTCTACAGTAGATACGAGTTCAGTGATCAGGCAGAGTTGCACCGATTAGGGAGTCTAAAGCTGCTTCAGATATATTAATGTAATACTAAAGATACGACTGAGGTCGGTGCTTGCCGTGGAACGGCCCACTAAAAAGAGAAATTAAGGATGAAGGTGCCTGATACGGCCTATAGGATCGCACCCTTCGAAACTCAAGGTCCGCGAGGCCGCCATGAAAACGAGCCTGAGGTTCAGGGAAGAACTGGAAGGGGAGAGTGCTGTGGCAAACGAGGTAACTCCTAGGTAAGACGAAGAGGGGATTCTTGGGATGCCTGAAGGGCAGGAGAGCGGAGCTACAATTGGCTTCCGCAGCAGCTTGATTGCCAAACCAGGCGGAACCCATCGCTAGTCAGTTTCGCAAGCGGAAGGTCACGACCTGGCGAAGAGGTCGCTGAACTTCGTGAGAAGGGTTATGAGCCGAACGAAGCGGCTTCTTGCATCTTTGCGCGGGAGCCGCCCAATTGAATGGTGGCTCCTGACAGCCATGCCAGCGATGGCGGGAAGTCTGTTCATGCATCCAGCACCTCACGATCAACTCGATCTAACGGAGAGAGATCCCTGAGCACCAAGCTCATCTAAGATCCGTTTGTGCCGAGATGCGATATGGTTGTAAACTTCAAAGCGTTTTGAACTGCTGAAGGCCACATCATAATCGAGATTGATTTTGTGGTGTACTTGCAGGAGCCAGGGTTTAGAAGAGAAACCCTTCGAACTTTGTATCACCCCGCCACTCTACCGCAGTTCGCTTGGAGCACACCGAGTCGCATCGCACACGCAAGAGCGGGGCTAGGGGGAATTGCCGCTCCCGTCAGTGTAAAATCCCCATTTCCGCTCATTCCTGCTCTGACGCTGTTCGAGTTCCTGACATTATGATTATTGCTTGACAGTATGATGATGCTGCTGACGTCTCCATCTCTGCACCAGTTTTATTTAGCGTCTCTTGCAACTCGCGGCGCGTCGCGCGGCGCGTCATTCGCAGGGAGATTCACTTCATCGAGATATCGACTCAGATTCGCAACGGCGCGGAACAGATATCCCGCTCAAGCTACAATTGGCCGTGTTCCTTTCGCGTCGGAATCTGCAACTACAGGGATGGTGGAAGCAGGAAAATCGGCAGCAGGAAGAGGGAGGGTGGAACCAGGGAGAGCAGCAGCAGGGAGTCCCGCGGTAGTCGCGTCTTCAACCTCTGGAGAGGCTCCCGTTGAGCCTCCGCCGTTCGCGGTGGTGCACAATGGCCGACTGTTAACGAATCACGTCACGAGGGGAGATAATACCGCGGATGGATGTACGCGGTGGCCCTCGGGACCTCGAGCGTTTCTAGAAACCATGCCCAAAGGTATCGCCGCCTTGCGATACTCGTCCCATTTCGGTCCGTCTGTTGTGTGATCTATCTCCTTCCCTACTACCTGATATTTCTGGCTGTGCCCCCCTTCCTTCCCAGAAGCATGCACCGCACGTTCAGCAGCAGTTCTTTCGTTCCCAATGCTGTCAGTTCTCCCTCCCTCCCCTCTCTCTTCCTCCCTCCCTCCCTCCCTCCCTCCCTCCCTCCCTCCCTCCCTCCCTCCCTCCCTCCCTCCCTCCCTCCCTCCCTCCCTCCCTCCCCTTTCCCCCGAACCCTCACTCCCCCCCAGGTGCCTACACTACCACTCGCACGTTTGGCAACGGCTCCCACCTTCTCTTGTGGGACTTTCACCTCGATAGAGTCACTCGGTCGCTGCGTCTGCTCGCCAAAGCTCACCCGGACCTGTTCCCGAACCTGCCACCGAACCTGCTGTCAACCCGTCACCAGGAGCAGGAAGAAGAGGAATCTCTAGAGGAGTTTCAGAAAAAGGCGGATCAAATAAGAGATTTAGTTCTTGATTTGCGCAAGGATATTAGAGCGTCCGTGTTTGCAGCTGTGCAAGAAATGGTGGGGTGTGATTGGTGGAGGAGGAACGTGCAGGGAGAGCAGAATGGGGAGATCTGTCTGATGATTCTTCTCTGTGGTCAGGAAGCATTATTGGGTGAAGGTCCTACAGACTCTACAGCTTCAATGGGGGAAGAGACAGCAGAAGAATCTGCAGCGCATGCACGACGCGTTGAGGTGTATGTGCATGCCAGCACGGTCCACCCTTCGAACCCATTTTCATCCCACTCCCTGCCGCCACCCGTCTGTGCCGCTGTCATGGGGCCTGGCCGTCACACTCCACTCGCGAAATTCTCCTCATGGCCCCTGTGAGTGTGCCTTCCTTCACTCCTTGCTTTCCTACCTCGAATGGTCCTTGTATTAATTGGTGGGTGATACAGAGGAAGATGCAAGCACAAGCAAACATCAATATCCTGGGCTTTGATTATTGTTCTGCAGCACCATATACCATCTCTTATTCCCCTGTGTGCGAGCCGGCAATCAAGTGCAAGGCTGCCGACAAGTCCAGAAATTGTTTACTATTTCTTCCCTCTTGTGCGAGCCTGCAGCGTCCGCCGAGCCCTGGAGGCAGCTAGGCCAGCAGAGGCAAGGGATGTGATTCTATCGAATGACGGTAATGCTCTTCTTGAAGGCATCACCTCGAACCTCTTTCTCGTGGCTCGGACCGAGCCTGCCTGGTACGGCAACAGCATGTGCTACGCCAGATTTCTGGTTCAAAGGGCAATGTTGTGTTGCTTAAGGGTCAGCAGAGGTGGGTTTGATATCTAACTTTCTGCCAATTTAACGTTGTGTGTTTGTGTTCGTGAACCTGGCTCTGCTGGACAGTGAGAGCAACTCAAGCCGTGGTTCTCCTTGGCATGGATTCGAGCTGCAGACAGCATCACTTGAGAGTGGGATCCTTCCAGGAAGCATCCGCCAAGCCATCATTGAGTATGTGACCACCTTCTGTTTTTCATTCGCGTCTGTTGGCCCTCATTTCTCGCCTAAGTACATGCATTGCATCAAATTTTATCCCTTGCATTATTGCTTGAGACACTTCACTGTGTTGCACCCTCCCTTTGTGTTTTGCAGCACGTGCAACGAAAGGGGCATTCCTTTACAAATGAAGACCCCGCAGTGGAGCGAGCGTGCCTTGTGGGTGGAGGCCTTTGTAACAAGTGAGTGGCCCATTACTCTTTAATACAATATGATGCTGCAATGTGATGTTTTGTTCTTTGTTCATCCCTGTGCCTGTCCTTAATATACGTGAAGTATTTCAGAGACATAAATTTTGCTAAATATTCCCATTCGGCTCCATGTCCTTATCTTCCTTCCCTCCCCCATTGGCACGCATGATATCTCAATATCAAGCCAGACGCCCTGAGTATCGTCCAGCCTGTCGGCAGCATTCTCATGCCTGCCACGTGGCCTTCTGAGATCACGTATGACAGCTGGCAGTCTGTGGACAAGTGGCTGACATGGCAGGCTCCTGCAATCGAGGTGAGGTTGTGCTGACTTGCCAATTCATGGACACATTTATCACAGACTCGACTTAACCTTCAGTGTTGTCTGCCTTTCGATTCTTGAGCAGGATGCTGTAGATTCCCATTCAGCGATCCTCTTGGTAAGCAACAACCCTTAGCTTGTTCGTGTTTTTTGCGGAATTGACAGCTAAAACGTGTTTTTTCGTTTTTCATTTGTTGCAGGGACATGTTGTTGATTACATGATTTCTAGAAGTGCAAAAGCTGATGCGTTGTTAACAAGTGATGAGTAACTGTTTTTTTTTTTTTTTTTTTTTTTTGTGATTTGTTGGTTTGTTAGTTTGATAGTGAAGCAATTGGTGTCCCGTTTCTTGCTGTATCCGCGTTATAAAGCTCTTACTTGTTGTGGGTATTGGAGTTCCCGATTCTGGCCTGTCACAAACCCAGGTAGCTTTAGGGCGCGTTCCTGGCTGGTGTCAAGCTTCGGGCCTTCCCGGGAAGACCCGAAGCTTTGGGTTATACTTCCTGTCAAACTTTGTGTTTTCCGGAAACAGGGGCAATTTTTGGCCGGAAGACCCGAAGTTGGTCTCGGATGACCCAAAGTGGGTCTAACTTCCGGTCATCCGCGGATGACCGGAAGCTTGACACGCGCCAGGAACGCGCCCTCAGCATGACAACCAACCCGCACATTCTCTCTGGTCACTTCCTCTCATCACGAATCCGTTTGCCTGCTGTCTCGCTATTGCGATATCGCGAGGCGAATATGGTTTCGCATCTCCGCTGCAGCGATTCCGATTCCGATCGCTGATCCCGTCGCAGGCGACCAAAACGGTACGCACATGCGACGAACAGTTGGACAGGAATGGACGGTGGAGGTGACTCGTCGGTCGGTAAAGGCCGTAACTGTAAATCAGATACGATCTTAGTAGGTGGAATAGCTGATCACCTGCCGTTACCAGGTGACGCGTTACCAGATCACCGCCACGAGGAGTTTCGAATTCGCGAATTCGCGACAGAGGTAACGAATTCACGTGGCGAACTAGAGGAGGAACCGAATGAGCAGCGGCAGGAGGAGCTGCACCCGGAGCAGGACCAGCAGCAACGGCATCAGCCGCATCAGCAGACGCAACAGCGACAACGAGAACAGAACGAACAGCAAAACCAACAGCACAAGCAGCAGCAGCACCAACAGGGGAGGCGGGCGTTCTGCGTGGAGTGTCACAAGGCGACGAGCGTGTGCATCTGCGATCGTTTCGGCGACCCCGTAGACAACCGCGTGGGCATCACCATCCTGCAGGTGTGTCGCATGGGGCGTCCGCGAAGCGTTTACGTTAACGTTTGCGTTTACGTTTCCGCTGATCCCCAAACCCCTTGCTAAACCCGTTATTCGTTAGCGCTGTAAGTCCCTCTGTCACAATCCCCCGATCTTCCTATTTCCCTGTTTGGCAAATTTTCTCGCTTATCTTCCAAAACCCCCCACCTCTCCCCCCAAACCCCGTGCAGCACCCCAAGGAGAAGTACCACCCGCTGGGCTCGGCGCGCATTGCCCTGCTGGGGCTGCAGCGCGTGCGCGTGGTGGTGGTGCCGCTGGGGCGCGGGCGGCCGGGCCTGCAGCCCAAGGACCCCTGCTCCCGCCGCTCCCTCATGGGGCGCTCGGGGCGGGGGCGGTGGCGCAAGGGCGCGGGGAAAACGCAGGGGCAAGGGGGGAAGCAGGGGGAGGGGCCGGGGGATGAGCAAAGGAAGGGGCAAGGGAATGGGCAAGAGCATGGGCACGGGGTGGATCAAGGGGATGTGGTAGCAAGCACGGGCAGAGATGGAAGACTTGTGGTTGTCACTGCGGTTGGTGAAAAGGGTGTGGAGAGTGGGGGTGAATTGGGTGAGGGTGAAGGAAGTGAGGGTGAGGTGATAGAGGGTGAGAAATGTGAGGAGAATGGAGTCGAACGAGAAGGAAGCAAGGTTGGAGAAACAAGGGAGGCAGTTTTGGATGAGAAGCAGGGTGGAGAAAAAGCAAATGGGGCCACAACAGGTGATTCAAGCTCTTATCTTAGCTTTGACCTCCTGCCGTTTGCTGCTGCTGATGGGGCTGATAGTGACGATGGTGCCGGTGTCTTTGGTGGTGACTATGATGCTGAGGGCAGCAGTGAAGACCGTGGGGGTGGTGTGTGTTCTCAGGACAATACTGAGTTTGGGATAAATGAGCTTGCCAGCACTGCTTGTGGTGACGGTTGCTGCGATGACAGCAGCTGCAGCTGCAGCAAGGGTAGGAGGAGCAGTGGCATGAAGAGCAAGAGCACAGGGAGCAAGAGTAGGAGGATCAACAGTAGCAGCTGGCGTGTTGTTCCTGAAGAGTTTGCAGTTGACAACCGCCACTTGAGAATGTCCCTTCTGCACAGCAATCACAGCACATCTTCCATCAACCACAGTAGCAGCAGCAACGGCGGCAGCAGCAGCAGCACTGGTCTCAGCAACCAAGTGAATCGCATGCCTGCAGAAGATCGAGTTAATTCAACGAGCAATGCTACCAGTACCAGTAGCTTTGGAAGCACACAGGCTGTGAATGCAGGGCCTGAGGAAATTCCAGAGTGGATCAGTTTGCCGCCCGGAGCTGCGGTACTGTACCCCTCCCCCCGATCCATAGAGTTGCAGTCTCCACAACCATCCAATTCTGCCGAGCGATCTGCGCCGTCCATTGGTGATCAGTCATCTGATGTGTTGAGACCGTCTCACTTGATTGTGTTGGATGGCACATGGCCGAAGGCGAAGCGGATTTTGTGTCAGAATCCGTGGCTGCTGCAGCTGCCGCACTACCACTTGCCACCGCATGCTGCTGCCCCATCCAGATATGGTTTCATCCGGAAGCAACCCAAGGTTGGTTTTTATTTATTTATATATATATTTCTTTCTTTCTTTCTTTCTTTCTTTACTTTACTTTTCTTTTGTTTTCTTCCATCATGTTTCTCGAGATTTCTCTGCCACCTACCTTGTCCGCACTATCACCCCTCTGATTCCTTGGCAGTTCGGTTGCATGTCCACGATTGAAGCTGTGGTGTATGCTCTACAGATTCTTGAACCAGATAATCGTGTAAAGCTGGATCAGTTGTTGGAAGTCTTCAATTCCATGGTCATAGATCAGGTGAGTATGGTACTCTCATCCACCGTGACTCGTTTCTTGTTATCCACTGTGTTCTGATTGTTGATTCTCCTTTTTGCAGGTTGAGGGAATGCGACGAAATGGGAAATCTTCGCTTATTCCTGATGATTGGATTGCGCCAGGAAAAATAACAACCATTGTGTAAACGTTGTGCCTTTTATTCAATCTAATGGAAGACGGAATGAATGTTCCACCTGCTGGTTGTACAGTGTTATTGGAGGCCTTTTCCTCCTTGTCACCCAACAATCCCTTGTTGTGTACTTGGCCTCCAGGATTCTAGGGTGTGCGACCTTGTGCGATCAGTGTCCGTGCAGTCATTGGGGAATGGCGGTGCAGCCCCTGTTTTTCCCCTCGCCGGATGACCAAACCTCATTGGTTCGCTTTGTTCGCCCCACACTCTCTCGCGCCAAAAGAAAGAAGGCGTGGCATTCGAATTCAAAAGTTTCTTGCGGTATTCCCGGATCGCGACTCGATACAATGGCTGGGAGCAGCCAGCAACTCCCAAGAAGATCTCGCTGTCAGCTTCACAACACTCACAACTAGCACAAGGACCGGATGGGGATATCTGACGGTTTACCCGTAGTGTTGGTGGAAACAGCTTCAATTATCCAGAACCTCACAATTGAATTGTTGCTTCTCCTTCCGCTAACAAACCACCTCCTTGAAGCGGACACTCAGCTACTGAACGCCACATGCACACATCCCTTTTCCCACACGATGGACACTTCTTCCCCTAGCACAGCTTCTCGATTGTCCTGCAGAGCTCCCCTTCCCCCCATCATACCATCCGCTATATGACACCAATTCAGTTATTCCAGGCATCTTGTCAAGGCGGGAGATAATTCACAAATCTGGACGATGCCTCCTCTCCCGCCCGTTTTCGTCCCCCATTTTGCGTAACCACATGCCATCCCTAGGTAACTTACGCTAGTTTTGCGATTACGCGTCTACACCCTCATCCATATCGGTAATGCACAACCTTTAGTCAAGAATTAAGTTGGTCGAGCGACCTGGACTGCTTGTACGGTATCTGGTGAACACTTGGCCTCCATGCTTTTCCACCTAGACTGACTGGCTGATCAGGAGATTAATCATAGGGGGAAACTGTTGCCGGCTGACTAGGTTTCTACGACAGGACTAGCTCTAGCTCGAAACGTACACCGTCTGATGCTAGAGTAGCATGGCTCAGCAGGATTACGATGGATTTGTTGTGTCCGGTGTCGACATCAACAGCCTTTGCCATCAATGAGCAGCCAGAAATAAGGTGCTGACGAAAGTAGGCTCACGTATTGCCATTATTCTTTTCCGTGGCTCACGTATAGACGCTGATACCAGCTCCGTGTGCTCGCAGGGCTTATAAGCTTGGCAAACAGAAGTGTTCGTACAACCAGGTAGAGCTGGTCTTTCTCAATGAGGACCCTCGCTCTTCAAAGGCCGAGCTTTCCCTAACCGAAGCTATCGAGGTTCCCGTTGGAAGCGAGGTGGATACCTTTCTGCACGAGGGAACCCTGAAGTACAATCTGCGATTTCAGGATGATAGAAGAATGCGACTTTACGTGTTCCTGGTCTTCGCTAACCATCACGGAGCGACATTCAAAACCCAGGCTGAGTACCATTGGGTACCTGTTGTCCGGAGTCAGTGCACTAAGGGTTGCGTTGGTCCTATTCTAAAAGGGTTGCAGAGGTTCGGACGATTATCACGGCGTAGCGTGGTCGCTTCTCCGGATGACCCTGATGTGTGGAAGGAACCCCGGCATTTGTACATTGCCATTGACGAGGCTAGCACGCACATACGGCCCTGTTGCAACACTTCGAAATTTAGGCTTCTGTTTGCATTTTACTCAGAGTCTCAGCAATTTCTTGGGAGCTCTATTTCCAGTTCCATCAAGGTCGTCGCCAACAACGATGCGCCACAAGGAGCAGCAAACTTGCAAGTCAACTGCTTCTTGCAGGGTATGGCTCTGCCTTACTTCTCGCTTTCTTGGTCAGCTAGTCCAAGATCTAAGCGTCGGTTCCTTGTTTTTCAGGCCTGAGTGCATTTGACGTCAGAGCATCAGGACGAGATCGACCACCTTTCAAAGGTACTAATCAAGTGTCATCATACTTCTTGCAAGACGCAACGTGCCACTACTGTCCTGACTACTCTATCCTTGTGTGCGCCCCGTATCTTTGCAGCACTCTTACCAAAAACCCCGAGATTCCACCCTAACGTTCCTGACACGAGGCCTCTCGCATCCGAGGTAGACGCGGCTGCTGGTTGTTTGCATGATTCGTCCGCAACGGAAAACTAACAAATCCTTGTTTTGCACGCTGCAGGTTCCCACCTGTTCGCCACTTTTTGGTGCACAAACGCCCTTGCCGTTGACTCCTGGTTCAGGCATCCACCATTCAGACTTCCAGAATCGTCAAGGAAGAGCCTACCTTCCACCTTTCAGCCCAGTCCCTTTTCCGACGGCAGCCATCACAGGCACTCCGCAGCAACACAGGCCAGAGGCAGGTTTGGGGGAGGTTGGCTCAGCAACGGGTTCGCCCAATGACGCACCTCGTTTGCACAAAGTTCCCCACCCTATGCGTGTGGTAATACAGATAGGAAAGTCATTTTGCTGACTTACTGATCAGTTTTGTTACTTCACGATTTTTGTCTTGCCAGGAGAAACGCTGTGCTGAGGCCGACAACCAAGAAGATTACATCAGGAAGGAGCACTCGTTGGGTGCATTGACCCATTCGTATGTCAAGCCTTCGGATCCCTCGTTCCGTTTCAAGCATACAGTTCCTTAATCTTGTCACTACCACTTACATTGACTTCGTTGTTCTCCTCAGGGTCGTTGAAGCCTGTCTGATGAAAGAGGGAGGCAAGCTGAACCTCGAGGAATTGGAAAATCTTCTTGGTAAGTGAGTGCGTTTATCGAATCAATACATATAAATGAGCTCTTACATTCTTACAATGGCCGTGACTGCAGGGATACGAAGGAAAAAACTATGTGACATCTTCAATGTCCTGGAGTGTATCAGCATAGTGAAGAGTGAAGGCAAGCATGATTATCTGTGGCTCGGATCAGACAACATTGGTGAAGCGCTTGCCAAGATCAAGGTGTGTGCCGAAAAGTGTTTTTGTACTCTTTTCAGTATCACATGCTGCTCTTAACCAATAGGGTTTCTTTTGCAGGGAAATGCTATTACTGGTGGAGAAGGAAGTATGAGTGTGGGCGTGACTTCGCTGCAGAGCAATATCTCTCCATCAGAAAAGTCATCACCAAGAACGGCAGAGCCACACTGTGATGTTTCAAGCAAGGAAACTGATTTCAACCCAGATGCACAAAGAGGTCTGAACTTGAGGACTCTTGGAGTAAAATTTGTCCAGCTCTTTCTTCAAGACACGGTATGGTTATTTTAACAACCTTTCTCAGCTCTGTTCATATAATTTGATTTTAACACTTGATTCGCACTTACTCTTTCTGCCTTATTTTTCGCAGAATGCAACAGTATCCTGGGAAGATGCAGTGGAGGTGTTGCTTGACCCACCAGATGATCGATGTGAGCAGTCAACATAATGCCATCTATTTCATTCCTTCAAGCTTCTGACTAACGTGATGACTGTTTATATGCAGCTCGCACCAGGAGGCTATACGATGTGGTGAACATACTAAGCTCAATTTGTCTGATTGAGAAGGTGCAACAGGCTACAGTCACTGATCAACCGCTTTCCACCTCTCCCAAGGCAAATTACCACTGGATTGGAGCCAGCGGTCCTCAGCAATGTTTCGAGAGAATCGTCAAAGGTCGGTATTATATCTCTATTTCTCTTTATTGCCATTTAAACACCCGAGCGTTGCTAATCCCTTATTTCCTCGCAGGATTCACAAGCGCATCGGCTATCAGGCAACATGAGGAATCCACAACAAGCCACTTTCCTTTGAAGACTGGAATTACCCCTGCCAAGAGAGACCGCGAGCTTCCATCTATCACATGGCGAGTTGTGCAAACTCCGCTTCGCATGCCTTCGGCGGAGGTCCAGGAGGCATTTATGGCAAGGTCGGGCATCTCCATCTCAACTCCTGGAGCTGCACAACCACAAAACCCTGCTTCACGTACAACGCAACAGCCACAGCAGCTCCATCAGCATTCACCAGTTGCATCCAACATTCAATCTCAGCAATGGCAGCAGCAGGGGAAACAATTGCCACAGTCGCAGACGCCTGCTAAGCTGCTGAAGGTTGGGAAGAACGTTTTGGAGCCATCAGGACATAAGCGTTCCGCACAGAAGAAGCAACAGACCTTGCGGCCACGGCATGCCATGGAGCCTGATCAGGAACCAGCAAGCCCTGCTGAGCCTCTCGTAAGAAACACTGGCGGAACTCTAAGGCTTCGAATTACGGATGGAGTTGCTGTACCTGATGAGGCTGGTCGAAGGGTGCCAACTGGTGAAGATGTCGAAGCCTCAGCCCCTCCAAGCTCTCTCGCAGGCGTCGGGCGCAGCGAGTCCTCTGGGAAGCTTGTTTCGCTGGCCTCCTTCCTGCAAAATTCTGCCGGAGGACCAGGCCAGGCATCTGCACAAGAAGCAAGAGAAGTTTTCCCGGATTCGTTATCACAACCAGAAGCAGTCCCAAGCCCTGGTGCAAGGCAGGCTGGAGGAAGTTCCCCAAGTAAGAGGCAGAGGTTGTGCTTTCAGCAGCATGCGGAGGCCGGCCAGCCAGTACCTCTTACCTGTGCAAGTCAGTCCGGTGATGCACAAACGTCAGAGATGGGGCTTGATCTACTGCGGCCAGTTGCGCGAAGGCCAACTGAGGCAGATCTCAGCACACAAGGGGTTGTTCCTATGTTTCGGCCAGAAGGTGGGCATTTGCAAACATTGCCCGTGCCTCCTGGACTAGGCACTGCTCCGGAAGCAGGCTCCGCTATGGCAGTCGCTGCAGCTGCAGCCGCTGCTGCTGTTGCAGCAGCAGCGAGTACAGGAGGAGGAGCATTCCCACGTCCAGCCATGCCCGGAATGCCTCAAGCGTTTCCAGGACCGCCTTCTGTGTCTTTGCCTCATTTTCGCCCAGGACTGCTTCAAGGTGCCCCACTGGCAGTACCTTCACCTGGAAGTATTCCCGAGGGAGCGTCAATGCCAACAGGGCTGATGCCAGGCGGAAATCCCCCATCAATTGACCCTCTGTTGTGGCTACCTCACCTGTTCAGCCCTTCACAGCTTGCTGTGATGCAGTTTCAAAACCCAGGTGATGCATCTTCCTTTTGTTCCCGGTCCATTTAATTTATTTGTTGGAGCATTTTCTAATGTGGTTCCCTTTGCCTGTGTGCTACACTGCAGGCTTCATGAATTATTACCTGGAGTATTCAAGAACGCTCTTCTCACTATACCAGCCTGGTTCCGTGAACACATCTTCACCAACCTTTCCACCCTCACCCATTCTAACAACTTTACCACCATCAGTCACACCGCCCCTGCAACCAGCTGGCATTCATCCCTCGTACTTCCACACATCTCCATCAGCAGCTTTTCCTCCTCGCCCACCTCCAGTCCATATCCCTATGCATACAGCAGCTCCTGCAGGATACCAATTTCTCCTTCCACCCACCATACAAAGCACTGCAGCAACAGCACCTGTGGAGGCTGAAGCCCAGACCCCGTTACCTGCTCCATCCACACCAAACCTTGTTCCATCAGGGAGCCCTTTGAAGCCCAGTCAATTGCAGCTCTCGTTATCAAATGAAGCTCGCACTTCCAAAGACTCTGCTGGTCTTCAGGTGAAAGCAGCAGCACCCACAAGATCACTTCCTGAACAGCCACACACGAACCTGGAGCTAGGTTTGGCCATTCATACCGCCACGTCTCCACCAGCCAAGCAAGCAGATGGCACTGATAAGCACCGAGGTGAAGGAGAGGGGATCTGCCAGCCAGCTTCACCACTTGGAGAGGCAGAACCTGATGGTGCTAAAAGTTCTCCAGAAGCTCAAGTCACACCTGCCGGGGACGCAACTGAAGGGACCACGGTGTCCAATATCATTACACAGAAATTACTATAGACATAGGGGTATTTAATAGGTAGGCCAATACTAGGAGTAGGACTGGTGGAACACTGATTTTGTGTGAGAACATGGTTGATCAAATGGGCTAAATATTGTTTTGTTATCAATCAAGGCAATCCTACTAACTTGGATACTGAGCCCCGGAGACGTTTTGTTCACCTATGATGAATGCTCAGAAGACAAGAAGGTACATAACAGAGTGGATCTTGGACTGGTCAATACCTTCAAACAAGATGTTTCCACTTAAACAGGGCCAAAGGCTGAACATTTGCAATGCAACTACCGCCAATGCAGGCTATTAAGCCTGCTCCAAAGCAGCACCTACAGAATGCACGCATTGTGCATGAAGCCTATAAAAGCCCGAGGCAGCGGCCAGTAGATCTGCTAGTTCTAAGAAACCCGGTGCACTGCTTGAGCCTACATTGTTGGCTTCATTGAATAAATGGCGTAGTGAGTTGCATAGCACCCTTAATTAAAATCACTGTCTATCACTGCCTTGACATGGGGGGGGGGGGGGGTTATCGAAGCTGCTGCTGCTGCCGCAAGAACCCGATTATTTCTTCAAAGCTTGGCCGCAGCGAGGGCTCACTGGAAGCATGGGGAGAGGAGAGAGGGAAGAAGGGGGAGGGTTGAGGTGGGTGGGTGGTTGAAGGGGTTGCAGCATGCAAGTCAGGCCATCAAGAAAGTGGTGGGCGGAATGAGAATGACTAGGGAAAACCAGGGGGGAGGAAACAGCGAGGGACGGTGAGTGAGAAGGGGGGGCATACTCGCTCCAGCATGACTTGATGACTGCTGCAACTCTGCTGTCTATTGTGTCTGGCACCTCCAGGCGCCTGTTCTGATACCCCACTGCTCCCACCACCTGCCACACACACATGGCACACACACATGTCACATGGTGGTACAGATGGCTGGTACATGAGGACACAACTCAAAATGCCTAAAATGTGTATTGAGAGCATTTGAACCCACCTGAAGGGCGTTGAGACCTGTCCATGGCTGCTGCATGGTTGCAAGCTCCCAGAGAATCACACCAAAGCTATACACATCCGCCCTGCACCCAGCAGAGGAGCAAGCATGGAGAGAGAGAAGCATGGAGAGAGAGAAGCAAGGAGAGAGAGGCAAGCATAAGAGGACAATGTGCGTAATTGAATGACGAATCGTTAAAGGGCACTTATGAAAGTAACGTGAGATTCTTGGGGTGCGGGTGAAAGTACAACGTTTGGGGTAAAAGGCTCAAATCTGAGGGTGAAAGCCCTGGTGGTTATTATACAATGGAGAGAAAAACGTATTCATGAGTAGGACGGCAAAAGACTCACTTTTCATTGGAGGGTTCATTGCGTAACACTTCTGGAGCCATCCACTCAGGCTGTGATGGATGGAAAACCATGCACACAGATGCCATGCCATCATGACCATCATGACCCATCATGACCCATGCAAGCAGATGCCATGCCATCATGACCATCATGACCCATGCAAGCAGATGCCATGCCATCATGGTCATCATGACCCATGCAAGCAGATGCCATGCCATCACACGACATAAAATGACATGTGGAAACATTCGCAACAGGAAGCTGAATCAAACCAAGAATAAGTTGAGGCAAAAAATACAGCACACCTTTCACACCTTTCACGCCCTCTCTATGACTCATAAGGATCCTTATGGGACATACAGCAATTCTTCCACCCCTCCCGTCTCATCCTTCCACCCTTCCCATCTCACCCTTCCCCTTGTCCCCTCAAACCCAACCACCCCTTCCCCTTCCACCATTTTCTCCCCCTCTCACCGTGCCGGCACCAGAGCGGGTGGAGAGGAATGTTCGATGCTTCAATCTGGAGAGCCCAAAGTCGCACACCTGGGGGAGAGGGAAGGGTGAGGGGTGAAGGGTGAGGGGGAAAGGATGTGGGGTAAAGGATTTGGGGGGAAAGGGTCCAAGGGTGAGGGGGAGAGGAAGGGGGAAGGTTGAAGGGGAAGGTTAAAGGTTTGAAATATGCCACACCCACTTAAGTCTCACACGCTAACGTTGACTGACACACCCACACCCACTGCTGTCACACCTTCATTGTCACACCACCCACTATAGCCACACACACCTTGACGGTCCAGTCCTTGTCCACGAGCAGGTTGGGCGTTTTGAGGTCCCACATGCACCTCCCATGCCCACACCCACTAGAGTCACACCTTAACTGTCACTCTCCCACACCCCCTGCACTACAGTGACACACACCTTGACGGTCCAGTCCTTGTCAACAAGCAGGTTGGGCGTTTTGAGGTCCCGATGCACGATGGGCGGCTTGCGCTTGTGCAGATAGTTCATGCCCTTCGCCTGGTGTGTGGAAGGAGTAAGAAGGATGGCAAAGTGGGGGGCGGGGGAACGGGGAGTGGCAATGATAGCAAGTTAGCAACTGAGGTCCCGATGCATGATGGGCGGCTTCCGCTTGTGCAAGTAATTCATGCCCTTGGCCTGGCAGTGTATGGTGCGTGATGGGAGGCGGGGTGTGGGGAATGGGGGGGTGGGGCATGCGGAATAAAGGGAGGGAATGATAGTAACTGCGGCCGGTGAGCGATGGGCGGCTCGGCTAGCGTTGGTTGGTGGTGAAAGAAGAATGGGTGTGTGACTGTGAATCGATTGGGGACAAGGGGTGGCTCTGTGTGAATGCATTATACATCCCATGCACATCCCATTCCACCCATGCATAACCGACCCCACCCATGCACATCCCACCCCACAAGCACCTTGCTGCACCGCATCTCACCACATCAAGTGCAAAGCTCAGCCTCCGCTGAGGTGTCAGCTCGCGATTGGGCTGCTGCAGCAGCCTGAAGATACTTCCCCTGCAAAGCACACGGGCAGGCGGCGAAACTTACAATATCAGAAAGAGCAGAAACGTTAGAAAAAAAGAAAGAAAGAAAGAAAGAAAGAAAGAAAGAAAGAAAGAAAGACGAGACACAAACAGATGGCAGGTGCCGGCCTACCCTAGCTCGAAACAGCAACGCCAGACCTACCGTGGGCAAAATTCGGTGACTATAGAGAGGTGAGGTGGGCGGGTGACAGCACCCATGAGGTAGAGCACGTTGGGATGGCGCGCTTTGAACATTATGGCCACCTGATGGAGGGTAAAGGGGGGGGGAAGAGAGCACAGAGGGTGGGAGACACAATTGAAGAAGGGAGACGGTGGGAAAGGGCAAAGAGATGGGGATGGAAGGGCGGGTGACAGCACCCATTAGGTAGAGCACGTTGAGATGACGTGCCTTGAACATTATGGCCATGTGATTCGAGGGAAGGGATGGGGGTGGGTGGGATGAAAAAAAAAGGGGGAGGTGGATGACTGAGGTCCAAAGAACAACAAGCCTTTTTAGCTAAACGTCAGTTTCATATCTTGGTTTGTATACAGCCTAATTTAATCCAGAGAATGCAAAATTCTGAGAGATTACAACTCATCCCTGAACGGTCTCATCTCATGCGTGAACAGTTTCATCCCATGTAGGTACGGTTTCATCTCACCTCTGTTCTGAAATCCTCAAGAGCATGCGAGCCCAAGTCCTGGTCTAGAAAGACCTTCACTGCCACGTCCTGGGAGCAGGGCAGGGGCGAGGGGAGGGGAAAAAAGGGGGGAGAGGGGAGAGGAAAAAAGGGGGGAGAGGGAAGAGGAAAAAAGGGGGGAGAGGGGAGAGGGGAGGAGAGAAGAGAGGGCGCAGTGCAGTGGAGGGAGCGGGAGAGGGGAGGGATAAGAAAAAGAGAACGACCATGCTGTGGTTGCAGCAGGGGGAGGGGTGGGGGGTGAGGGAGGGCCGGGGAGGGCAGGGGCGGGCAATGTGACGCGAGGGGTGTGGGGCGGACAGGGGCAAAGGGCAGCACATGCAATGAGTAAAGTACAGGGCAGGGCGATGGAAAGAGGGCAGGGCGCAGGAGGAATGACAGGGAAGATGCAGGGATAAAGGGTGGGTTCTCTGCAAAGATAGGAAGCAGAGAACATAGAGTTAAAGAGCAGAGGAGGTAGGGGGTAGAAGGTGTGTGCAGTAGGTAGGGGTTCCTCCTCTCTTTAACCCTTTAACCCATGCCACCCAGGTTCTTATGATACACTCACCGATCCCTGCCATTCTCCCCGATACACCGTACCATAAGAACCTGGGTGGCATGGGTTAAAGAGAGGAGGCAATGCAGTGACACAGGAGTTGGATTGTGCATGCACGGAGTGCGGTGAGGGATGGTGCAGAGAGGTTGAGGATGGTGCGGGGAGAGTGGGATGGTGGTGGAGAGAGTGGGGATGTTGCTATCAACCCACCCCCCACCCTTTCTCTGCTGCCTTCCTCGCTTCCATCCCCCCTTTTCCCCGTTTCTCTCAACCCCCTTCCTTGCTCACACCTTGCCCTAATCTCTCCTGCAAGTGCATGTCAGCCCAGTCAATCTCAAGTTCTTTCATTGCCCATCGCAGCACCATCAAAACACCCTGACCCACTCAACCGCTGGCACCCCATCTCCCCCCTTCCTTGCTCCCCTCCCCTCTCCCCTCTCCCCTTCCTTCTCACCTTGCCCTATTCTCTCCCGCAAGTGCAAGTCAGCCCAGTCGATTTCAAGCTCTTTCATTGCCCATCGCAGCACCATAGCCCCCTCATCCACCATCTCCCGCGCAGCCCCCGCCCCTCCCCGCTCCTCCTCCCCCCTCTCCTCCTCCGCCTCCCTCCCCTTCCCCCCTCTCCTCCCTCCCCTCGTCCTCCCCATCCCCTTCTCCCCTCCCTTGCCTTTCCTCCCCTTCCCCCCTTTCCCTGGCGCCACCACTCCCCACCCCTCCATAATCCCCCCTTTCCCCCGGACGCCTCTCCCCCCTGCTCCCCCCTCTCCCCCTGCTCCCCCTGCCCCTTGCGCCCATGCCCCTTCCCCCCCTGCGCCCCCCCAGAACACCCGCTCACTGCCTGCGGGACTCTTGAGCCATCTCCCCAACATCCCCCCGCTGCTTCCCCCCCCTTCCGCCATCCTCCCAGATGCGCCTGCGCCCCCCCCTCCCCCACTCCGCTCCGCCCCCCCAGCACCACCTGCGGGGGGGTTATCTTCTTGCCCCCCGCTTCCCCCTACTCCCCCCCCTGCCCCTCCGCCCCCTCCGCCCCCTCCGCCCCCTCCCCCTGCTTCCCCCAACGCGCTAAGCCTGCCTGAGCACCTCTCTGCTACTCCGCCAGCACCATCCGCGCCCCCCGCCCCTCCCCCCGCGCTCCCCCTTCCCCCTGACGCTCCCCCCTGCCCCCACACCCCCCTCCTTATCCCGCAACCGCAACTGCTCCGCCCTGCAAACCGCTGCTGCGTTGCCAGGGCATAAACAGACGGCTCAGATTCAATCCCCGCGCCTGCTGCCCCCCCTCCTCCCCCTCCTTCCGCTCCCCCTCCCCCTGACCCTCCCCTCCCGTCCCCACTCGCCCCTTGCCCTCCCCCCGCCCCTGAACCCTCCCCCCTTGCGCCAGCGCCCTCCCCCCCTCCCCCTGCGCCAGGCTGCTGGGGGGAGGACCCGGGGGGGCGGGGGGGGCGCGAGTGGAGGTGCAGGCGCGCGGATTGGGCGGGGGAGGCGGACCAGGGGGAGGGGAGGTCGAACTGCAAGGGGGATCTGAGGAAGGCGGGACCTGCCACTGTGCCATCATGTGAGCGAGAGGCCATCTGTCCTGGATGCCTCATCACATCTACCAGCCACTCCCTGGGAGAGGGGGAGGTTGGGGTTGGGGAAAAGGGGGGGAAAAGGGACAGAGAAACAGGGGGAGAGAAAAGGAGAGTGAGAGGGAGGGAGGGGATCTGAGGAAGGCGGGACCTGCCACAGTGCCATCGTGTGAGCGAGATGCCATCTGACCCGGATGCCTCATCACATCCACCAGCCACTCCCTGATACACCAGAGGGCGGACAGAAAAACAGGGGGAACAGACGAGGAGGTGACCGGGAGGTGAGAGGGAGGGAGGAGCGATCTGAGGAAGGCGGGACCTCCAACTGTGCCATCGTGTGAGCGAGATGCCATCTGACCCGGATGCCTCATCACATCTACCAACCACTCCCTGGAAGAGGAGGGGAGGTATGGGGGAGCGGACAGTGACGGTGGGGAGGCTCGCATGTGCTGACGTCATCACTAACACGCTGTGCCCGCTGTGTTGACGTCAGCTTTTGCAAGCTGTTAACGCTGTGGTGACCTCTGCTCCAGACTCCGTGTGCACATGGTGCTGACGTCACCCGTTCTGCTGACGACAGGTGTGGCACTCTGTGCACATGATGCTGACGTCAGCCCTAAAATGCTTTCAATGTACCTGTTGTGGCGGCAGCGCGTGGCAATGAGTGCCTCGCCATTGGTCCCTCGGATCATGCGACACGGTATGCCGAAGTAGTCTGCTAGGGCCTGTGAGCGAGCAGGGGAGAGAGACACACACGCACAGCACAGGAGGGGCAAGACAAAATTCAAGAATCGAATCAAGCCCTGGTTCCTCGGATCATGCAATATGGGATGCCAAAGTAGTCTGCTAGGGCCTGTGGGAAGGAGAGACACACACAGAGGTGGGTGAGAAGACAGGGGCAGGAATCTCAATGGCGGCATGAAGAAGGTACGAGTGGGTAGGAGCATCAGCGCGTGGCAATGAGTGCCTCCCCATTGGTCCCTCGAATCATGCGACACGGGATGCCAAAGTAGTCTGCTAGGGCCTGCAGGCAGAAAATTCAACACACAGAGAGGGCGGTGAGACCAAAGTATTAGACTTCAAATCGACTCAAGACCTTATCCCTCGGATCATGCGACACGGGATGCCAAAGCAGTCTGCTAGGGCCTGCCAGCAAGCAAGCAGGGGCAAGACACACACACAGGGCGAGCAAGAGAGGTTCCAAGTCAACTCAGGACCCAGCTCCTCAACTCATGCAGTTCATCCATGCAGAATCATCGCCGTGTGATAAGCCGATTTTTGAGTCGACTCAAAAATCGATTTCAAGTTGACTCAACACCCAGCTCCTCATCTCATGCAGTTCAGCCATGCAGAATCATCGCCCTCACAAATGCAAGAGAGAATCTCACCTTGAAGAGCAGTGCGCGGTGGCGACTCAGACCCAGCTTGATGCTGCCGATGAGCATGATGGGCGACCCAGCCCGCACCCTGCTCTCCCGAGCCAGCTCCTGCCAAACCTCCTGAACAGGTTCGGCGCCGAGGCAAGGCGTGCGTTGATGGGGAAGGCAAGGGTGGGCTCAGTGAGGGGAACATTGATGGGGCTAAGATGGAGTGTGCAGGTGTGACTTTGAGCGAGCAAGCGAAGCTATGTATGGGGTTTTGAAACGTCTCGAAACGGGCAAAGAAAGATGAGTGGGAGAGAGGAGGGGAGGTTGGAGAGAGGGAGAGGGTGTGGAAGATGGGGAGGCGGCACAAATATGGGAGACAGAGTGAGAGGGTGAGGACTGGAGTCGAATGGAATGGAGAGTGAGGACTGGAGTGACAGGAATAACTCACATAGATCTCTTCGTCGTTGGGTACGGGTCCCCCCATGGCCTCTGCTACCACCCTGAGAGTGCGCACAGGAGCAGGAATGAACAGAGAGGAGAGGGAGGGGATAGGGAGAGAAGAGGGAGGGGATAGGGAGAGGAGAGGGAGGGGATAGGGAGAGGAAAGGGAGGGGATAGGGAGAGGAGAGGGAGGGGATAGGGAGAGGAGAGGGAGGGGATAGGGAGGGTGGGTGCGCCGCTAGCAGTCGCAGCATGTCCAGCGTCGGCATGTGGCCCTGCCCTCTCTCCCACACCCACCCGTCCCACCCCACCCAACCCAGCCACAGTCAGCCTACCTTGCAACGTCACCCACTGTGGGCTCCCCACTCGGCTGCCCCGCGCCATTCCCGTCCGCTCCCCACTGCGCCTTCTTACACCCAGCAGCCAGCCGCGCAACGAGCCTTCTCAGGCCGCCCGGGATCCTCTTCGCTGCCAGCAGTCGCAGCATGTCCACACCCAACAGTACACACCCACGTCGCCATGTGGCTTTGCCCGCTCCCTCCCACACCCATCCCACCCCACCCCTTCCCATCCACACCCAACAGTACACACCCACCCACCCACCCACCCACCCCACCACGGTCAACCTACCTTGCAACGTCGCCCGCTGTAGGCTCGCCAGTCCTCTCCCCCTGCCCCTGCCCCTGCGCCTTCCCACGGCCCGCGGCCAGCCTCGCAAAGAGCTTCCTGAGTGAGGAATCTTCTTCGAAGTCAACGAGCACCACGTCCACCGCCGTGTCATGCGGAGCCAGCGCGCGCAGCATGTCCAGAGTCGGCATGTGGCCCTGCCCTCTCCCTTACACCCACCACCCCACCACACCCACCCAACCCAGCAAATTCAGCCTACCTTGCAACGTCACCCGCCGTAGGCTCGCCAGTCCTCTCCCCCTCCCCCTGCTTCCCACACCCAGCGGCCAGCTTAGCAACGAGCTTCCTCAGCGAGGAATCTTCTTCGAAGTCAACGAGCACCACGTCCACGGCCGTGTCATGCGGAGCAAGCGCGCGCAGCATGTCCAGCGTCGGCATGTGGCCCTGCCCGCGCGCCTCCGCGCACACGCCCCACACCTTGGCGTTTAGTGCCGACCCAAACACCCCGTAGAACCGCGAGTCCGCCGCGTCGCTGTACTCCAGGACTTGGGTGGTCTGGAGAGGGGTTCGGAACGGTGGCGAGTGGTGAGAGGGGATGAGATCACTGAACGCACACGCCCCACACCTTGGCGTTTAGTGCCGAACCAAACACCCCGTAGAACCGCGAGTCCGCCGCGTCGCTGTATTCCAGGACTTGAGTGGTCTGGGGAGCGGTTGGGAAAGGTGGGAAGAGGTGGACAGAGGTGGGGAATGGTGTGGGAGCAGTGACGGGGAATGCGGGGCCCTCACGAGCTACGCGTTTTCAGACGTCTTAGGATCCAAACCCTAAGTGCGAATGCGTTACGATTCCCGCACAAGCGATACAAGCCTTGCTAGGAGCGCGGCGCACCAACCGAATCGAGTTGCGACACCAATCCGATTCGGTTCATTCAGTCAAATGCACTGCGACACACGCGCACCCAGCGAGATGCATGCACGCACGCACGCACGCACGGATGTACGCAGCTAGTTAACCCTACCTGCATCATTAGTACACGATACCACGATCGCAACGGACGTCGCCGCTAGAAACTGACATTGCTCTCCATCTCCCATGGGGCGGGGGACACAGACGACAACGCGGGATGCCACAGTGTATCGTTGCAACAGAGCGCGCTACAACGCACGCATTCTCGACGCGCGCATTCTCGAAGCGCACGGGCGTAGGTGATCAGAACCCCGCGCTCACCCAGAAGTGAAATATACACCGCTCCAGCTCCCACGGATGCTACACGCAACATGGTACACTACAATGCGCTAGGTCACACTATAACGCGCACGGGGCGCAGAACCTCGCGCTCACCCAGAACCGGAAAATGCATCGTTCCAGCTCCCACGGATGCAGCTTATGCCCTGGCCGCCGCTCGTCCTCCTCCCTCCCCCGCGCGACACTCCCCTCGTCCCTTCCCCCCTTCCGCGCGCCCCCTCTCCGCCTATCCCCCGCGCCAGTCACCCCCTTCCCCCGCGCGTCGAACTCCGCAAAGTCCAAACCCGCCCGCCCGGACCCGCGTCGCCTCTCGCTGGCTTCGTCTAGAAACGACGCTTCGGCGGCGAGGCGAAGCGCGAGCGCAAGTTGAAGCCGGTAATCTTCGCCGGCGCGCTCGAAGTTGATATCGTTGGACGGTTTCGCGTCAGTTACTAACGAGGATGAGATGGAGGAAGGAGGTTCGGAGGCGGTAACGGATGGGACGGCGGGGTGGGAGGCGAGGGAAGAAAGATGCTGCTGCTGCTGCTGATGCTGCTGCAGTAACTGCTGCTGTTGAAGCTGCTGCTGCTGCTGAAGCTGCTGCTGCTGCTGCTGCTGCTGCATGTTCTGCGCAGCGCGCATCTGAATGCCTCGTTGCATCGCCGCGTCGCCATCGCCGTGCGTCATGGCGTCTCTATCCGTTCCTAACGGGTCGCCTATACCGGAGTACCCGGCGTCTCCTGCGTAGTAGTGCCTGGAATCAACGGCTAGATCATCTTCGAAGCTTCTATACCCTTGATGATGATCTCCTATCAATCGGACGGCCTCCATTTCGTCTGCGAAGGCGCCGGTCGCCCTATCTGAACGATGTCGGTTGGGCTGATCGACGAAGTCTTTATTCGCGAGATCCATATCGGTAGCGAATATCAGAGCTCTAGGTAACACCTGTTGCATCACACTTCTAAACTTGAATTCAAAGAAGCAGGTATGTGGACTTGAGTAAGGAAATAATTCGCGACCACACCGAGTGCAAAACGGTGAAAATAACTAATTCGATACGTAGTTCAACAGATGCGAGTGACCGTAGGAAACTAATTCAGCCTTTCCACTATGAAACACGCGTTGCGACACTGAAACGTCCGGCCGAATCAAACGGCTTCGCTTGCGGAGCAAGCTCCCTCCGTCTGACGCGTCGATGGCGGGGAATAAACGCCACACCCGTAGGGTTTTGCAGCATTCAGCCTGCGCGCGTGGGGTAAGTTGGGGCTTGTGTTTTGTGGTGGAGCGGGAGGAGGAGAAGCGGCTACTGTACACCCGAGAAACTGCACTGCAGTCTGCTCACCCAACTCCAACACTCTCGTTTTTCACTTTATCCTCCACGTCACTCTCAATATTGGTGTTGACGAAGCGTCAGTTACGTAACATTATGAGTTACGTCCAGTCGCCTACAAAAAAAAAATCCCTGACAGGTGGAGATTGGGTAGGGCGAGCTGAGCTGAACGACGTTTGCGAAGCCATGGTCTAGAGTCAACGAAAGTTCGCAAGACCCTGCTCCGGTTTTAAGCGTGGCTGGCGAGGCGAGGCGAGCAACCCAAGGAGTCTCCACACTCCAGCACGACACAGCTCATGGCGCATTCTGAAGTTTGCCCACCATCCAAAGTTTGCCCACGCGACTCGAAATCTTGACGTGGCATTTATTCACATTTGAAAGTATGCCCATGCGGTTCGACTTTTGCCCGCTATCATTTGAACCGGCCACGATAGCTACGACTGCTCTGTCCGACAGCGTGCGACAATACTGGACGTGCCATTTTTTGTATGTTTTGGCATTTTTTTGTTGAAATGGTTGACTCGTGCAAGTCGCCGTCAAAATACATTTACCCCGCTGCCCACGTCTGCGTATTCGGTTTTGTTCAAGCGGGAAATTTTTTGAAGAGCCGCGGCTGTCAGGGTTGGCCGTCTGTGTTCTGCGTAGCAAATGTCGTTGAACCATGCGTATGCGAGCAGTGGCGCGAATTCCATTGGGGGCGAAGTCACTTCGGTTGGATACCTCACATGCGAAGACTGCGACCCCAGTCGCCCGCCAGAATGAGGTTTGGTGGTCAGAGTGGGAGCATTGCCACCAAATTGCCCATCAGCTTCGAAAAAACGGTCTTGTGGGCAAACTTTGATGGTGGGCAAACTTGAGACCGCGGTCTAAGCTGCCTTCAGTTACGACTTGATGAATCACCGCAATCCTCGCAGGCAGAGGCGGTGAATGAGTGGCCCCCTCATCGTCAAACAGTGCTTGGTTCGCCGCGGGCTGGCCCACGAACGAACTTTTTGCGAAAACCGCGTCTTCCCAAAGTCGACGACACACACCGGATGACGACGAACAAACGCATGGCGTGGTTGGCGGTGTACCGCCACAGACAAATCGACCTCATGCAAGTGGGTCCGATTTCATGGATGGGTTCGTGATGGGATTCGCTCGTTACACCGCGCTGAGAATGGGATTTGGCAGCCGCTGGTTGGCTGAAATAAATTTAGGCAGCAGGTCCACACCCGCGGCAGAACTGCACACGGCGAACCAATCAAACATTTCCGCGGGACGCGGAAAACATCACTGGTGCTTGCACGAGGAATTGCCAGTACACCTGGTCCGCGGTATTTTAACCGAGCGAAAATGGGTAGCACGTTTTTGGATTATCTGGCCGTGGTGAAGATAGGGGTGCAAAATTTGGGTCGCTATTTTCACCACCAAATATCTGAACAGCATGGAAAGTTCCGACAGTACTCCTCAAAATGACCACCCTGGATTATCTCGCCATCTGGAATGTTCGAGTGCCAGAAAAAAGTAGGAACATCGACGGTGGAGATTCTGTCGTGAAAATCCTGGTGGAAAAGTGGCCTCCCACATGCATGGCTCGAGCTGAACTGTCGAAAAAGGCTCTGCATTTTTTCCAAGTTGGTTCGGTCAAGTGTGAACAGCGATTTCTGGCCACCCAACAGAAAACGCCCAGAATGCAGACAAAGCCGGTTAAGATACCGGTGGTTAATTTACCGCGGACCAGGTGTACTTCCTGGGTAGGAACCCTACCATTTTTAACATCTAAGGTACAGTTTATTCCCACCACGAGGTGCCATTTTGGGAAAGTGACATCTATTTGCAGGAAACATATACGGCGCCACACATCAATACCAAGGGTTTATCCCTGCAAACAGCATCCTAATTTTAGGTGACTAACCGCGCACTAATTTCTCTGCTTGTGTGGGCTTTGTGTAACAGCTCCAGGTCGATTAACCAGAATGTATATGATGTTTGAATTGTTCCAGCCCCTTCTTACTTGTTTCCTTTCGTTCATTCCCCTCGTAATTTCTCTCTTTTAAAACCCAAAAGTGTTTCAAAAAAACTACATGGATCCTCCAGAGAACCTATCACTGCCACTCGCAGTGCCTCCCCCAGTCCCACCTGCCCCTCCGCTCAACGAGCCTGTCCCAGATGAACCTGCCCGGGCCCTCTGCAGCTGCCTCAGCCGGAAAATATCTCGCACCGGCGGGGGCTTGCGTGCCCTTGCCTCTGCGTTCGCTATCTCCTCCTCTGATTGGTTGGTTGGGGAGGAGGGAGGGGGAACGGGGTGGAAGGGGGGGAGCGGGGGGAAGGAGGGGGGAGGGGGGAAGAGGGGAAGAGAGAGGAACGGGGAGGAGGTGGCTTGGGCAGCCGGCACACCGGTGGGGGCCTGCGTGCCCTGACCTCCGCATTCGCCATCTCCTCCTCTGATTGGTTGGTTGAGGAGGAAGGGGGGGGAAAGGGGAGACGAGAGGCGAGGAGGTGGCAAAGGGGAGAGGAGGGGAGATGGGGAGGTGGGGACGTGTACACAAGAGAAAGAACAAAGAACAAATCTCACCGAGACTCTAGATATCATTACAAATGCCAAAACGAAGCCGCACCTTCCTGCTCCTTGCGCTTGCTGCCGGCCAATGGCGTGGCGCCACCTGCCCCAGGTGCCAATCCAGGTGGCGTAGTGCGGTGCAGACCACCTGATTTGGCTGCTAGCGCCTCAGGTGGGAGCTCAGCTTGAATGACCAGCGACATGATGAAATCCACATCTGGGTAGGGACCTGCAAGGGGTGGCAGGGAAGGGAGAGGGGAAGGGGGAGGGGGCGAGGAGGGTAATTACTGAAGATACAGACGGAACTGTTGGGTCGCCTCAGGTGGGAGCTCTGCTTGAATGACGAGCGACATGATGAAATCCACATCGGGATAGGGGCCTGGCAGAAAGAGGGCGGGGAAGGGAGAGGAGTACCGGGGAGGTTGAGGGGAGGGATTGTAAGGCAACTTCGCCATACACTAAAAAGACAAGGAGGACAAAATATAATATATATGTAAGTAAATATAATTTATATATGTAATATAAATCTTCATATATATATATATATACACCAAAGACACAATCACTCACCGGGCACAGGTGGAGGAAGCTGGGATACGAAGTGCGCAAGGGACCTGGGAAGACCCTCTAGAAGCTTCGAGGAAGCTGCAATGCCGTGCTTGCGACCGGAACCTGGCAGGGCAGGGCAGAGCAGGGGAGGAAAGGGCAGGGAAGGGTGTGTCAAATCAGGTCAGCGCAGGTACGATACGATCAGGTCAGGTGAGAGGTAAGAGCACCAAAAGAGCAGCGGATTGGCTTTAGGGAAGATCCAGGTCCACTCACCCACCCACCCACACGTCACTCACTCACTCAGTCAATGACAAACGCCACCCACTCACCCACCCACGAACACACCCACCCACTCACCCACCCACGAAAACACCCACCCACTCACACACCAGCCAGCCAGCCAGCCAGCAACTCACACACTCACTCACCCGGTTTCCACTCCACAGCAGCACTCGCCACAAACTGATGTGTCTTCACACCCGTTGCCCCTGCCGTCCCTTCCCTCTGCTGTTGCTGCTCTCCCCTCTCCGCCCCACCCTTCTCCCCACCCTCCTTCGCCCCACCAGCACCAGCAGTGCTGCCATCAGCACCACTAGCAACCGCCCCAGACTCCTCCCCACCCTCTGCTTCCTCCTTCACCCGTCCAGAAACCCTCTCCTCTTTCTCCCTCCCTTCACCCCCTGCTCCTGCTGCTGCCCCTGCTGCTGCCCTGCTGCCCCCTTAGGAGGCATCAGCACAGCAGCAGCAGCAGCCAGAGCAGCCGAGAGGGAGGAGACAGCAGGGGGTGTGGGCCCTATGCCTTGAGACAGAGACACGGACGGAGGCAGAGGCGGAGGCAAGGACGATTCCTGAGGCTCTGCCTTCACTCCTGCTGCTACTTGTGCCGTTGTCGCTTCAGCTGCTGCTGCTGCTGCTGCTGCTGTGCCTGCTGCTGTGCCTGCCGCACTAGTGCCGCTCCTTGTTTCTTGCTCCTTTGCTTCTCTTTCTCCTCTCTCTGCCCCCCCTTGACCCGCTTCCCGAACCTGATCCTCCCCTAACCTTTGCCGAGCCTGGGTTGCCTTCGGACCTGCCAAGCCTGCTTCTAGGTTCGGAGGGAGAGCTGATGCCTCACAAGGCAACAGGCCACAGTAGCTGAACCGGTCTACCAGGTCCTGCTGCTCCCGCCAAACCTCCACCTCAGGCTCGGCAACACCGCCGGGGCTTGCTACCGAAGCTAGAGCTTTTCGCCGACCCTCTTGTGCCTGGAGAGACAGGAAGAGCGAATGTGAATGGAGGGAATCAGACACTGGGAATGAAAATTGGTCGTTGATGGGAGGACGACGTTTTTCTATCTTTCAAAATTGTAAAGGAATGAACCTAGGGATTGTTTAGGGGGGGCCTGGTGCGTTTCGTTGATAACCGTCTGAAATTGTCTCGCGTTACAGATCATCCGTCGTGGTGCAAGACGATTCCAGACGGTGCACAGCGGTTATCAAGCTTCACCGTTTCCAACCGTGACGCAACACGAGTAACCGCACAGAAAGAACGAGGGACGAACTCGCCGGACTTGTCCTTAGGCTATGGGAAGCTCCGAACCCCAGATGTGAACCTTAGTGCCGTTTTCAATGACCCACGAATATCGAGTCTCAAAATACGGAAACGGGATGCTTAAATCAATTGCGTGTTAGAATGACGAGGTATGGTACCTTTATAAGCGAGTTGAGGTCCCCAAATAGCTGCTCGCATTCTATTAGCTCCTCCCACAGCTGAAAGTGGTGGAGAACGGTGGACAAAGGTGGGGAAAGGTGGAGAAAGGTGGAGAAAGGTGGAGAAAGTGGAGATTTAACGGGTAGTGCAACACACAGAGCCTCGTTTCGGCATCATGACAGAGCAACTCACCATGATTGCGGATTGCGGGGGAAGGGACGGGGACGCCAGAGCGCCTTGCAGCAGCTCCCGCATGGCCTGGCCGTCATTGAGTCGACTCAAGAAGCGCGCAAACCTGGGAAAGGGACGGTGGAGGAGCAAGGGGGGAGGGAAATGTGGCATTGGAACGCCAGAGCTCCTTGCAGCAGCTCCCGCATGGCCTGGCCGTCATTGAGTCGACTCAAGAAGCGCGCAAACCTGGGAAAGGGACGGTGGAGGAGCAAGGGGGGAGGGAAATGTGGCATGGGAACGCCAGAGCTCCTTGCAGCAGCTCCCGCATGGCCTGGCCGTCATTGAGTCGACTCAAGAAGCGCGCAAACCTGGGAAAGGGACGGTGGAGGAGCAAGGGGGGAGGGAAATGTGGCATGGGAACGCCAGAGCTCCTTGCAGCAGCTCCCGCATGGCCTGGCCGTCATTGAGTCGACTCAAGAAGCGCGCAAACCTGGGAAAGGAGAGACGGGGGAAGGGAGGAAAGTGCGCGCGAACATGGCATGGCATGGCATGGCATGGCATGACTGCTGCACCCACGTACACGCCACCCACTCACTCGCGCACCAACCCGTCTGACCACCCAAACACCCTCTTACTCACTAAACCACCCATCCACTCACCTACACCCCCCCCTCTCACCCACCCACTCACTCACATCCGCCCACCCTCTCACTCACTCGCGCACAAAGGCAGGGTCAGACCCAAACTTCTTCATCCCCAGCTGAAACACGTTTCGTGCTACCTGCACACGCGGCGCGGGGGAGGAGGAAGGAAGGAGGTAGGGATGAGGACGGGGGGAGGGTGAGAGGGAGGTAGAGGGGGAGAGGAACGGATTTCTTTAGAATTCTTAAAAAAACCCTGCAACGTAGAGGAACAGGGGTGAGTTGAACGAACACCCGCCGTTGACTTGACTCACTTGTTCACGCACTCGCCAACTCCCTTTACAGTCACATCCATGCCTTTTGAGTCGACTTATAAGTCAACTCGTTCACTCACTCGAAACTCCCTTTACAGTCACATCCGTGCCTCACCTTGCCTCCGTTCCCATCTTGCTCACCTTGCTCTCCTTGTTGTGCCACAGCTCCATATAGGCAGACGCCACATACACATGGAACGAGCACTCCCTGTTACACTCACTCGTCGACTCCCTGTATAAGCACATCCACTCATCATGCCCTCTATAATCACCTAGCTCTCCTTGTTGTGCCACAGCTCCATATAGGCAGACACCACATACACATGGAACGAGCACTCCCGGGCCTTCCTTGCCTTTCTTTCTCTTCTTGCCCTCCCTGCCCCCCTTGCTCACCTTGCTCTCCTTGTTGTGACACAGCTCCATGGAAGCCAAAGCCACATACACGTGGTAAGAGCACTCCCGCGCCTTCCTCGTTATCCTTCCCCTCCTAGCCCTCATCGCCCTTCATTTCCCCCTTTCTCACCTTGCTCTCCTTGTTCTGGCACAGCTCCATGTAAGCAGAAGCCACATACACGTGGAAGGTACACTCTTTCGCTTTCCTCGCCGCCAGAAACGCCTTCCTGGCCGCCTCCATGCCCTCTGCGCGGCGCAGAAAACGCATGAGCTGAGGGGGGTGGGGGGGGGTGGGGCAATGGGGAAGGGCAACGAAGGGTGCCATCAGGAGCGAGCATGCACGCGCCTTTCTGGCAGTCTCCATGCCCTCTGTGCGGCGCAGGAAGCGCACTAACTGAGGGGGTTCAGGGGTGGGTATAGGGGTGGAGGAGGCGGTAGGAGGGGTAAAGACGTGGGGGTAGTGCCCTCAGCTCATGCGCTGCCAGGACCGCCTTTCTGGCCGCCTCCATCCCCTCTGTGCGGCGCAGGAAGTGCATTAACTGAGGAGGGGGGGGGGGTGTGGGGATGGGGGGTGGGGCAATGGGGTAGGGCAAGGGGATAGGGCAAGGGGATAGGGCAAGGGGATAGGGCAAGGGAGTAGGGAGGGCAAGGGGATAGGGCAAGGGAGTAGGGAGGGCAAGGGGGTAGGACACGAGGGCAGGGCAAGCTGGTAGGGCAAGGAAGGCATGCGTGCAGTGGGCATGAGTGGGGAGGGGATAATACATCGATGTGTGTGAGGGGCACCTGTGGGGTGGGGTGCGGTGGAGTCCAGTGAAGTAGGGGGAGGGGAAGATACCTGGATGTGTGCGAGGGGGCAGCGTGTGGAGGCATCTCCCACCAGCTGCTCGTACACTGCTTTGGCTGCCTGCGGGGGTGGTGTGCGGTGGGGTGCGGTGGAGAGGGGCGAGGTGGGATTTGGTGGGATGGCGTGGGGTGGAGCAGGGTGGGGTGCGCTAGAAAACGGCCTGTGGAAATGTTAGTGATGACAGGAAGGCCGTCTCTCACCCAGCCAATCATGTCCTCCCCACACACGCATCCCTTATTTTTCCTCATTCATTGCACTCAACTGCAACTGTCTCGCCCCCCTTTGCGTTCCCCCCTTCGGTCATTTAGCCCTCGGGCCTTAGAGACCATTCGCACACCCTAGAACACCGCCCTTCCTCAACACCTGCCCGTCTCTCCCAACCTGCCCGTCTCTCCCAACCTGCCCGTTTCCCACAACCTGCCCGCCCGTCCCCCGCGCACCTTAACATTTCCGTTTCGTTCCTCCGCTTCCGCCTTCGCCGCCGCCGCCAGAAAGCTACCTGCGCTGACGGAAACCGTCACAACCGGAGTTGACGGAAAGCGTCGAAAATAGAGCTCAATTAATTACGGAAGGCACAGCGACGAATGCGGAGGGAGATAGCACAGGAAAGAATGTTGCGCTCACCGGGAGGCGGGAATGCCGATGATGCCGCCGCCATCAGCGCACAGCGTGAAAGTGCGGAGAAAATCGGCTAGATAATCAGTTCGTGCCAAGGGTTGAAAAAAACAAAAGCAAGCGATCTGAAGCCGCCGATGCCGGGGATCGAACCCGGATCTTCCGCGTGACAGGCGGAGATACTGACCATTATACTACATCGACATGTTTGGAGGTATTGACTATTCTGTAAAAAACAATATATTTTAAAAAAATATTGATCTGTTCTTGATATATGTATCATGATCTCATAAATATAAAATATAGAATCATCTGCATGCTTTCTTGTCTTGGAATTCGCATTGAGATTCTTGGAAAAGGTTAGTTGTCTTGTAAATATGATGAATGCAATATTACAAGACTATTGCAATACTTATAGTATGTACCGTGCATATCCATTGCGGAACGACCACGTGGCTTTACTTATTGGCGAAGAAAGATGCCACCTTGTGCCCAAAAACCAGGACATCGTGGCTCCCGCTCGTTTACAAATTATCTGGTGGCTGAGATGCGCGCCGAGATTTTCACACCGTGTCTCTTATGATTCGCTTGCTTCTCGAAAGTGAATGATTGGTAGTGACTTTACTACCAGCTGTCGAGTTGACGGTGGAAGATGAGTGATGCAACGGAAGGTGTTTCGATCTTGTCGTTTCTTGGTGTTGCTTGTGGCTCACGTTCGATTTCAAAAGAACGTGACGTGAGCGCGCAGCCAACGCTTCCTGTCCTGTCAACCGATTTTATGCGGTGAACCTGAACCGGACTTCCGCGAAAGGAGGGGAGAAAAAAATCCACAAGATCGCAATGCGCGCTTCGGAAGCACTTACATGTCCGTGGACATTGCCCAAATTCCTTATTTATCGCGTCGCGCTGCTCTTTCACGCTGATGCTACAGTTCGATGCCCTCTCTTCCCGTCCGTCCATATCTCCCCTCGCCTCGGAATTTCAGCAGATTCCTCGGCAATTTGCCAACAACGCGTTTCATAGCCGCTCCTTCGCTTCTCTCGTCTCGTAACAAGACAAGCTTCTGCTGCTTGTCCATCGATTGCTGCTGCCCCTTCCATAGAATGACGTTTCAGATGCAACCTGTATAAAACGTTATTCTGGGCGCGAACGCTCTGACTACTCCCTAGACGAGCTACTGACTTTATTCCTAGACGAGCTACATCTGCCATTCTTGCGCCAGGAAGTCTTCGACAAAAGTCCTGACCTCAGGTGCTCCCCTAGCCATTCTAACTCATTCACCGCGAGTCTTTGAGCAAGTCACTCAGCGAATGTGAGAACAACTCGTGAGTCTACTCGTAGTTCTCTCTGCGAAGGAGCACGGCTTAGTGAGTGTGAGAACAACCACAGTCTGGTTGAGTCTCTCTCACACTCGCGAGAATGAAGCCGACGGGGAAGATTCTCGCGATGCTGATCGCGCCAGACACCAACGTCGCGCCCGCCTTTTCGCAGCACCAGTCTGTGTCGACGCGCCGCGGCTCCTTCTCGCGTCGCAGCACGTCATCACTCATCGCATGCCCACAGCCGCTGCACCACACCGACCCCTTCGCCAGCAGCTCCGTCGCCAACTCCGCAATTCCGTCGCACTCCTTCGCCACCCACTCGCACGCGGCGGCGACGACGTCGCCCTTCCCGGATTTCGCCGGCTATGGTAACCAGGCGACAGCGGGACTTAGCAGCCATTCGCGAAGGTCGTCCATTTCGTCCACGGGGCGACTCTCCCTCGCCGCACCAACCGCGGCCTTAACTAACCCCTTCCTCGAGCACGCCGTTGTGGAGCCGGAATACACGCCGCCGACTGCGGCGCCGACGGCGCTTCCCGAATCGACCGTCCAGGCAATCACCGACGAACTCAAATCCGCTTCCGCCCCCGGCGCGGAATCCGCCTCCTCCGCCGCGCCCGACGCGCGCAAGCCCGCGGTAGTTAACACAGAGGACGCGCGCAAGCGCGCAATGGACGCCGTGATCGGCGCGGGGTACTGGGAGACAGAGTTTCTCGACCGTCTGATGTTCCTCGAGGCAGATCCGACGTTCACGCAGCTCCCAGCCGACCAGCTCCACCAGATGAACCTGTCCCAGGAACTACCCGCCCCTCTGGAGCTTCTCGCGCTCGGGCTCGGCGCGGAGGTGGTATCTGAGGAGGCGATTCGGAAGGACCTCCACGCGGCGCGCATGCGCGTGGTTGACGCGCTGATGGAGGCGCAGCATCTGGAGCGCGTCGCGCAGATGTATAGCCACAGCGCGGGCGCCGCCGCGGCGGGTGACATCGGCGGCGCCGCCGCCACCGCCGCCGTGACCAAGTCTCGCGCCCCCGCGCCGCGCGCGGCGGCTGCAGGGGCTAAGTCCGATGGCACCGCTCGTAGAAAGGTGCCCAAGGGAGGGAAGGCCGCGGCAGCGGCGAGTCCCAAGGCAAAGAAGGCTTCCCAGGAAGGTTCCGCAAAGCCCGCGGAGAAGGCTGGAGAGCTGAAGGCCGCTCTGAAGAAGTCGCCTGCGCTGAAGCAGTGGCTCAAATTCGCAGCGACCATCTGAGTCACGCTGCTCTGATGAAACGCAGGTTTTGAGATGTCTCCGCACTAACTTATTACCGAATATCGCGCTGCTCGTAACCAGTGGCTCTACCAGTTTGCCTCCACCGTCTTGAGAGCTGAGATTTGCAGCAGGTGGTACTAGTGTGCAGAGTGTGGTGTGCGCGTGTGTGTGCGTTGGTGTGTGCGTGTGTGTGTGCGTTAGTGAGTGTGCTAGTGTGTGTGACGTGTGTGTGTGAGGGGTATAGATAAATGGATCCATTTGTTCATACCTTCCTACTAATTTCTGCTAAGCATTAGAAATTCGTGAATCCTAACATTACAATTCCACTGAAACAACTAATGAAACGCTTGATATTCTGGATCTGTATGCAAACCGACCTCTTTTGACAACGCTGCTGGAAATATACTGTACACGCCCCTGTCCCGAACCTCCATGGACATCAGAAGTTGTATACCTCCAGTGTTAGCACAAGAATCACACGCCCCCCCACCACTTCTTCAGCCTACCTCTGCTTCCAGTGGCGCACTCCTTGTCATCCCCACCACTGGTTTTGCCGCTCATACCGTCCATCATATCCCCACTCCCTTGTCCAACATGCGACGCTCTTGATGCTTCCCCACTGCAGGCACTCTGTTGCATGTCACCCCCTCCCTCATCGTCTTCCCCAGCCCTCCCGCTGTCACATCCCCTCGAGCACGCTCCTCTTCCTCGGGTCCCCTTCGCACCAATCCAGCATCCCAACAGCCGACAGAACTTCCTTGAAAGCTGTTGCCGAGGGGAAACCGGATTTTCAGATTTCATCTTGCTGAGCGCTTCAAAGTGTTCCAAGTGGGGCTGATTGTCCCCCTCAGTGTCCTTGGGAAAAACTGCAGCATCTGGAGAGATCTTGCTGTCAGCTTCAAGTTGTTCCCCAGGAAAAAACGAGGTTATCGATTCGGCCCTGCCCTCTTCTTCCCGAAGCAACGTTTGCGAACAGTAGGAGGACATTTGAACCGTCCAGGAGCTGTCTTCCTTCCTGGAAGGCGAACCTCGCGGTACTGCCACTGCTAGTCCATCGGCAGCAATCGAGTGTTTTGACAAACGTTCTTCCTCCAAAGTGGGATCAACTTGTGAGGTTCTGAATAATGTCGGGTGTGTTTGCCCGATGGTCGCGACAGCAGCACCAGAGCAATCTGACGAGCCTGCTTCGTCTGAATCCAGGGACAGATTTTCAAACGACACCTCCAGCCTGCTGCTCCCCCGCGTTTCACCTGCTGCTGCACCCGCACCTGAAGAGGCACCTGAAGAAACAGGCTTTTGTCCCCTGGTCACAGACACGTCTGGCCGGCATTCTTTGTCGGCAAGTGCCTGATGAGACAGCCTTTCCGCTTGCCATGGGTCCACTGGCGTTACGCGGGTCAACGAGGAAGGGGGCCGGCTCGCGGCGGCGGAAGGGGAAGGAAAAACGGCGGGGGGCGTGGCGGGAACGCAGACAGCGGATTCGGAGAGGCGCCTACTGCGAGAAAAGCGGAAGAGGATGTTGGGGGGAGGATTGGCGGCGGGGAAGTGGGGGAGATGCGCGCGCGCGGGGGAGAAGAACGAGGGGCTGCGGCGGCGCGACGAGGCGATCGAATGACGCGCCAGGCACGAAGTTTCGGCAATGTCGGTCTCGTCGTAACCCGTTTCCAGAAAATCGCTCTCGCTTTCGCCACTTTCGCGACTCTCGCAACTTTCGCCCACGCGAAAAAGCGTCTGGAAGTACGACGAGGTAGAGAGGCGTCGCCCGGCGAACCCAGAAACCGCTGCTGCTGCTTCCCCCGCCCAACTCCGCTCGAGGGACGCATCCAGCGCGGAATAATCTCCGCCTTCCCCCCACATGCGCGGGCCGAACTGCGCGGAAACGCGCCGCTTGGCGTCCGCGGGGGAGAAGAAGGAGGGGGAAGCGGGAGTCGCGGCGGAGCTGGTGCTGCTGCCGCGATCCAAGCTGGGGTGAGAAAACAATGTGTCGGATCTGGAATTTCCGCCCGGCGTGATCCCGGAGAAAAAGGGCGGTGCGGCGGGTTGAGGATCCAGGCTGTAGCATGCTGCGCGATCGGCGGCGCAAAACTCGCTGGACGAGTCGACGAGCGTTGAAAGGGATGACACTCGCGGAAAAGCCTTTTGTGCCTGGCTACTAATCCTCGATTGGCTGATGCTCGATTGGCCATAACTGTAACTCCGCCTTGCCTTCATCGTCACGAGCGCGCTCCGCGCCGGCGCCGGCGGCTTCGGGGAACGCGGAAATGCAGGGAATCTCCAAGATGTGTAAGCACCGCGGGAAATCGCGCAAAATGAGAAGAGCCGTACAAGTTTCGGACACAGATTCTGAGGCGCCCTAAGAAAACGATAGTCTTGAAATGTATGACACGTATGACTAAGGAGATTCAGGAGTTTTCGAAAGAATGAACCGCTGAGAAGCCTAGTAATAGCACTACCACTGCAAAGGCGTCTCGCAGGGTGATTACGCTCAGATATTTTTAGAAGCTCCGATGAGAAACGATTCTCATCGCTCGCGAGGTTGAGCGATGGGAAACGATTCTCTGTTTGCGAAACCCGTGAGATGCGGTTTTCCTGCTTATTTCCTGCGCGGTACGCTTCTACAAGCGAAAGCGCTCAAGGCATTGGGCGGGGAATGAAACTCAATGTTAGGTCGAAATCCTGCCGTGGTGGGGCTGAAAGTTTTGGCCAATAAAACTCAATGTTAGAATCCTAACTGAAGTTTTGTGGGGCTCCTGCGCAACGCTACCCGAGATCCCATAGATTACAGGGAGAAAATCCACACTGGGAAGCGAGAGGTGATGCAACAAGAGGAGCACTGAGGCGAAGCAGCAGAGGAGAGGAAATTCTGTCAGGAGATTCGAATTCTGGAAACAGGATAATCCCGTCTAGCCGTCAATTCTCCAGAATTTGCTGCCCTAGTCCTTATGTCGAGCTGCTGTAGAAAGCTGGCAGAGCAGATCACCAACCCGCCCAATGAAAAGCGCTGCGCGAATCGTGAATGCGCGCCACCGCTCTTCGAAAAGCGTGGTTGGGGGGGAGCGTGTGTCGCAACGCTAGGCCCAGTGACGCAAAAAGAAGTCGAGTCCACCTGAGGGGAAATGGGCTCCACAGTGGGTGCACCGACCGACAAGAAATCAGACCGGAGTCAAACATTTCCCGTCTGCTTGGTGCCCTTTTGAACTCTCTCGGATCGAATCGATCGAAAGATGAGAACAGCCGTGCGTGATTTGGACGGTGTTCAGCAATCCAGGTCCCTTTTGCCGCCATCTTGAACGGTGTTCCGGAGCTGAGGGGCAGGTGCATGTCACCAGCTGTTGAATAGATTGGTTCGCTTTACCCGTTATTAAACGAAGCGTACGTGCTCTCGCACTCACTGTATGACCAGCACACCCAGCTATAGTAGTGGCTAAATACAAAAAGGTTGCAGCAAAGTTACACTTTGCACCTACATACTGGCACACCTTTGTCGCCATTGTACTGTTGCCAATCATACAGTATTGCTTGGTAATGAGTCCCCAAAAGCAGCAATGCCCTACCAGTAGTTTCTCGTGACAAAAACATTGGCAGTTGCACATGTAACATAACGTGTCATAGATCACATTGAGTTGCGCTCAAACCGTGTTGAATAGAGCAAAACAGCTACGTGTAGTCACCTCGCCCCACCATAGCATCAGGTCCTTTCATCCTGGCTTTGAGAAAGGCCAGCCAAACATGTTGCTGCGAGCGTGGCACCAGCCACATTACAACGCCTGGACGGCAATCTCATCGAGCGGCATTTCCGGCACTACTCCTGCTTCGCTGCTCAGCTCTCCTCCATTGCTCCCTCCCTGCAGCCACAAGCTCACTACAGCTGTGAGAAGCAGCACAGAAGCATCCAAGGTTTGGGGGGGGATCAGAGAAATAAAGGGGAAACTGCAGCCAAAACATACCACCACCCTTGCTTGCTGGACAGCGTAAACTGAGGAGTTGGAAGGAACAGTAAGCACATAATATATGTACCTTTTACCACTTAAATTGGTTTGTATGAAAAAGGCCCACCTTTTTTTGGGAGGGTTCGGTGGAGCGTTGGGGCCAGGAGTTGAGATCAATCATACCACCCCTCCCTTGATTCCCTTCCTCTCGCTTCTGCTGCTGTTGCTGATGCTGCTGCTGCTGTTGCTGCTGCTGCTGCTGTTGCTGCTGCTGCTTCTGTGGATGCGTTTGCGCCTGCTGTTGCTGCTGTTGTTGCAAGTGCTGTTGCTGATACTCCTGTGCTTCTACGGCAGGTGACAACAACGCAGGGATCTCATCATCCCCCACCGCTATAGCCACAGCAGGGGCATCACTCACATTCCCCATAACCATACTCCTAACCCCCCCCTCCTCTCCTCCTCTTCCTCCTCCTGCTGTCCCCGCTTTCCGAACCCCCATCCCAGTCCCCATCCCCATCCCGATCCCCAACCCAGCAGCACCGGACCGTAATCCATACAAACCGTTCCCTGCCACTGCCCCTGCCCCAATCCCGGCCCCACCCCCTACCCCTACCCCTATCCCTACCCCCGCCCCTGCCCCTGCCCTATCCTGAACAGCGCCCCCCCCACTTCCCCCCTCCCCCCCACTCCCCCCTCCGCCCACGTTCAAGGTCAGAGCCTGCATTGTCCCCGTTGCTGTGCCTGTCAATCCCCCCGACCCTCCCCCTCCCCCTCCCCCTGCCACCCCCCCTCCCCCTGTCCCTCCCCTTCCCCCGCCTCCTGTCACCCCTCCTCCACCACCTCCTCCCCCGCTTCCTCCCCCCCCTCCCCCTCCCCCTCCGCCTCCTGCTGTTCCGCCCGATCCTCCCTCAACCCCATGGGTAGGAAGCACCACGCTCATTGGGGTTGGTTCGTTGTCCTTCCCTCCGTTCTCCCCTCCTTGCTGCATGTGCATGATCTCGTCCTCTTCTCCCCCTCTCCCTCCTCTCCCTCCTCGGCCCACCCCTCCCTCTCCTCCCCCCCCTTCTCCTCCCATTTCACCATCCTTACCAGCAGCAGCAGCACCACCACCACCAAAACCGGCACCATTGTCAATACCTCTCCCTCCCTGCCCCTCCACACCACCCCCTACATTCCCCCCACCATGCCACATGTCACCTTGCACGTTCCCCTGACCCGCCCCCGCATGTCCCCGCCCACCACCATGCATATTATTCCCCACATTCCCGTTCCCCATGTTACCCGTGTGGTTACCAGTGGGGTTACCAGTCGGGTTACCACCCCCACCTCCCCCCTGCGCGCCTGGGCGGAGTAGGTGGTCCGGAGGGCCCCCCCCTGGTGAGGGGAGGGCGGGCTGGGTGAGGTCCTCTGCCAGAGTGGGGGGAGTCTTGGGGAGCTGGGGAAGAGGGGGAAATGGGAAGTGGGGGAGGGGAGAGAGGGGGAGGTACGGGGAAGAAGGAAGGAAGGCGGAGAGAGGTGAAGGGGAAAGAAAGGGGGAAAACAGGACAAGGAAGGGAAAATGAGAACGGGCGAGGAGCGAGGTAGGTCGGGATGGGGTTAGCACCCCCACCCCCCCCTGTGTGCCTGGGTGGAGTAGGGTGGGAGTAGATGGTCCGGAGGCCTCCCCCCCTGGGGGGGGAGGGCGGGCTGGGTGGGGTCCTCCGCCAGAGCAGGGGGGGTCTTGGGGAGCTGTGACAGGAGGGGGGAAAGGGGAAGGGGTGAAGGGCGAGGGAGGGGTGGGGACGGGTGTGGAGAGAGGGGAGGTAAAAGAGAGGAGAGGGATGAAATTCTGCCCTTTACCTTATCGATTCCAGCCCGTTTCATCAGCTTGCCCCACTTCCACCCGTTTCATCTGCTTGCTTCACTTCCACCCGTTTCATCTTCTCGCTTCACTTCTAGTCGTTTCATCTGAGTGGATTCAAGGCGTGATCAATCCAATTTTCCAGAGCAATTTTCTCCCCCACGAGCAGGCATCGCTCATTCGCCTTCTGAGTAAATTTAGAATCAAGAGTCCATCAATCCCCTCTCCCATGGCATAAGCCTCACCTCCACGCGTTGTCCCATGAGCAGGTATCGCTCGTGTGCCTTCTTGCCGCCTATGTGCACGTCCAGGACAAGTGAACCCGTGAATGCTCCCCACGGGTTACTGGGCCCCAGGAATCACCCTGACCGTTCCTGCCCCGTCCCCGCCTCACCTCCACGCGTTGCCCATGAGCAGGTATCGCTCGTGTGCCTTCTTGCCGCCTATGTGCACGTCGAGGCAAGGTGAACGTGTGAATGAACCCCACGGGTCAATGATGCCCCACTCCCTGACAACCCCTACCACACCCATACCCTTGTGACCCTCACCTCCACTCGCTATCCCATGAGCAGGTACCGCTCGTGTGCCTTCTTGCCGCCTATGTGCACGTCCAGGTCAGATGACATGAGCCCCCAACCCCTGACAGCCTGTGCTGCATCCCCACCACCATCCCTTGTCTCACCTCCACGCGCTGCCCCATGAGCAAGTACCGCTCGTGCGCCTAGTGCACTCAAGAGTGGATCGATTCCCAACCCCCTGAACATCCCCTCTGACCGCCTCAAACCCCTCTACCATCCCTTGTCTCACCTCCACGCGTTGCCCCATGAGCAGGTACCGCTCGTGTGCCTTCTTGGTGCACTCAAGAGTGTTCCCAAACTCCTAAACATCCCCTCTGACCGCCTCAAACCCCTCTACCAGCCCTTGTCTCACCTCCACGCGTTGCCCCATGAGCAGGTATCGCTCGTGTGCCTTCTTGCCGCCTATGTGCACGTCCAGGTCGCACTGCAGACAGAGCGACGTGCCGTCCACTGCACAGTAGAAGAATGCTGCAGAGAATGAATGGGGGGGAGGGGAGGGGAAGGGAGAAAGGCTGTATGAGGATTGGGGTGCGTGGATGAGGATGGGAAGGGGCAGAGGGCGTATGTGCACGTCCAGATCGCACTGCAGACAGAGCGACGTGCCTTCCACAGCACAGTAGGAGAGAGGAGGAAAAGGGGACGGGGATAGACATTTGGGGGGGGTGGTGAAGAGGGCCTATGTGCACATCCAGGTCGCAGTGCAGGCAGATGGACGTGCCATCCATTGCACAATAGAAGAAGGCCGCGAAGGAGGGGAGAGGGGAGGGGACCGAATGGGAGTAAGGGGCAAAGGCCCTATGTGCACGTCCTGGTCGCACTGTAGGCAGAGACATGTTGGCGCAGGAGCAGTGAAAGAGGAGGAGAAAGAATGTGTAGGGTCAGGCATAGGTCTTTGTGTTTGAAGGAAATGCTGCCATGAGCAACAAAATGTCGGCACTGGAAATTGAACTCGTGACCTTCAATTGTCCTGAAGGTGTCTCGGGACAGATTCATGGCCTGAAGGCACTATGGCGCGGCCGATTGAGCCGTCTGCAAAGGCGCTGGTTAAAATGCACGCGAATTATGAACTGGAGACCTTTCGATTTAAGTGTTTCGAAAGTGTCATGTCAGCACAGATTGGGGACTGGTTGGAGACAGTTTGGCGAAATCGTTCTCGGGTCGCGTTCGGTTTGAAACTCGGGGCAGCAGAGTGTCGAAGTCAACAGAATTCGCACGGGAGTTACAGTCGGTGGTCGACGGAATTCTGGTCGCAAAAATTCTCGTCTTTGGAATTCGCCCGGTGAAATTCAAGGCTCGGAATTTCGCGTCGACGAAATTCAGTGCGTGACCCGGGTCGACACTTTTTTGTGTGCTTTGTTTTTGTATAGCGTCCTAGTATAAAACCAGAAAGGACATCAACCAAGTCACTATCACTGCTATGTTTATGTGTATCTTTGGCTATAGTGGACCGTTTTTTTGCAATCTTTGGTGCGTTGAAATCGTGCTTTCAAGCTCTATCAAGCTGCTATAGTAGAAGAATTCTACACTCTGATAATCTTCACGTAGACGCAACAAGGGTTTATCCAAAGTTGTCAGCGACGCTACCCACCAGTTCTGATATACGCCCCCTCCCACCCACTCACTCACTATGCGCGTTCTAGCATGTGTCACCTTGGGTGATGAATGGTCCGCGCCTCTGCACGTATAAGCACGCTACTCACCAGCCCCGCTATAAGCACCAAGCACGCTGCAGTCCCCTTATAAGCATGCTACTCAATCCCTTCCAAGGGCTAATAGGCAACTCACCAGACGCATCCTCGCAGGTGTCACAGCGGGGGATGGCGTGCACCTCTACGAGCTCCAGGCACGGCACTCACCAGTCCTGTTATAAGCATGGTCCCCTTATTAGCACGCTCCTCACCCGCTTATAAGCCCTCCCAGGAACAACTCACCCGGCACGTTCTCGCAGATGTCACAACGGGGAATGGCGCGCGCCTCTGCGAGCTCTCAGCACGCTACCCACCAGTCTTGTTCCAAACACGGTACTCAAATTGTCCCGCTGTAAGCGCACCACTCACCAGGAGCATTCTCGCAGATGTCGCAGCGGGGAATGGCGTGCGCCTCTGCGAGCTCTAAGCACGCTACCCACCAGTCTTGTTCCAAACACGGTACTCAAATTGTCCCGCTGTAAGCGCACCACTCACCAGGAGCATTCTCGCAGATGTCGCAGCGGGGAATGGCGCGCGCCTCTGCGAGCTCTAAGCGCACGTGGCGGCTGGCGAGCTTGTTGCAGCCATGCACCTGATGGGAGGGGGGAGAGATGGGGGACGGGGAGGGAGACGGGGAGGGTCAGGGAGAGGGAAGTAGGGGAGGGAGGGTGAGGGAGGGTAAGATAAGGGTCAGTCAACCTGTCTTGGCAGCTCTAGGCGCACGTGACGGCTGGCGAGCTTGCTTGTTGCACCCATGCACCTGAATGGTGTGGGGAAGGGGGAAAGGGGGAGCGGTTGTGGAGTAAGGCACTTCTTGCTGTACGCGTTATCCGACAAAGCACCTGCAAACGGGTGGAATGAGGCAATGAAGGGATACTAGACAGCAGTCCACTTCCACTGGCGGGGTTCAATGCAGTGGAATGCAGTGCAGTGGAGTCCAGTGCATTGCATTGCAGTGCAGTGCAGTGCGGTGCGGTGCGTTACTTGTAGCAGGAGTGCGGCGGCGCTACCTTGTTGTCGCACGCCAGGCACAAAGCAGCTTCATCTGCAGCACAGAACACCTTGGCGGGTGCTGATTGTGTAGACTCAAAATTCATGAGCAGCCGTATAAACGTACTTTGTTGTCGCACGCCAGGCACAAAGCAGCCTCATCTGCAGCACAGAACACCTTGGCGGGTGCTGATTGTGTAGACTCAAAATTCATGAGCAGCCGTATAAACGTACCTTGTTGTCGCACGCCAGGCACAAAGCAGCCTCATCTGCAGCACAGAACACCTTGGCGGGTGCTGATTGTGTAGACTCAAAATTCATGAGCAGCCGTATAAACGTACTTTGTTGTCGCACGCCAGGCACAAAGCAGCCTCATCTGCAGCACAGAACACCTTGGCGGGTGCTGATTGTGTAGACTCAAAATTCATGAGCAGCCGTATAAACGTACCTTGTTGTCGCACGCCAGGCACAAAGCAGCCTCATCTGCAGCACAGAACACCTTGGCGGGTGCTGATTGTGTAGACTCAAAATTCATGAGCAGCCGTATAAACGTACCTTGTTATCGCACGCCAGGCACAAAGCAGCCTCATCTGCAGCACAGAACACCTTGGCGGGTGCCGCCTCACACACGTCACACAGGATACGCATCGCTGCTGCCGCCAGGCGCTGCTGCTGCTGCCGTTGCCAGGCGCTGCCGCTGTCAGGTGCTGCTGCTGCCGCCGCTGCCGCTGCCGCTGCTGCTGCTGCTGCCGCTGCCGCTGTCGTGTGCTGCTGATGCCGCTGCTGCGTGCTGCTGGGTGCTGCCAGGTGCTGCTAGGTGCTGCTAGGTGCTGCTGGGTGTTGCTGGGTGCTGCTGGGTGCTGCTGGGTGCTGCTGGGTGCTGCCGCTGCCGCTAATGCCTCTCCTCACGGTGGGTGCTGACTATTATCTGCCAGCTTCCCAGGTAGTGGCGGGGAACAGCCTGGAGGTATAGCCTCCGCGTACAGGCTCGGCGTGGCACAGCTTGGGGCTGCAGGCTCGGCGTGGCACAGGGCGTTGGCTCCTCACGTTCGAGTTGAATATGAGATGACTGGCGGTTGTTCGTTCTAATAGCGTCAGAGCCAGAACAGGGCTTTCCTCTAAGCTGTTCGACGCGAATGTTGGTAAGAAGTGGGTGTTACTTCAAAGCAGTAAAGGGTGCCAATTAGAAGCGGGTCTTACTTGCGGAGACGAAAACGGGTGCGTGAGACATTCTTGAAGGCGGCTCTGGCGAGAAACGCAATTTCAGAACCAAAAATCGGATAGAACTTAAGGAGGGAATTGAATGGAGGGAACTAAAATGGAGAAGCAATGGTGAGTGCAGTATTGCGAGCACCGGCGAGATAGCCTATCCGAGGAGGCTTGCCAAGAAAGCCTATTGCTTGGTGAATATAATGGGGAACTGTCTGGAATGGCAGGATATACTGTACGCCGGCTGAGCAATCAGCAATCACACAGCAACCTTGGATTCTACTAGCCGGAATTGCAAGAGTCGTTTTCGCGTACTAAGCGGCAACGAAGGCCCGCAACATGTTATTGCGCTCATGATGGTGAAATTGCAAGGGAAGGAATTCGCGGCTGGTCGTTCATGAGCCTTCTTGTCGCATTATTTCGTCGCATTTGTCGCAGGTCTGTTGGAGGTGATCGCAAGCGAAGGACGCTTCAGGTTTCTTTCTTTCTCATGAGGGAATTGAAACGCGGAATTCGGATTTCCGACTTCGGATTTCTTCCAGGCTGTCAAACCCAGCGCATGCTCGCACTGACGCGGTCTAAACCGCGTGACCAGGACACCCGCGCGTTAAATAGAAGGGCATGTAAGTGGAAATTCCTGGTTTATAAAACCTCCTAAGGCTGAAATCAGCCCCTGCAGTAGCACTGTACAGTCAATTTGGGTCACTTGACATTAGGAAGATCCCACCGGGCGATGAGGAAGGACGAAATTAGTGGTCTGGGAATACGCAACCTAAGAACATGACGTGGATTCACGTGATCGCTGTGCTGTACAGGAGCTCTGTGTGGAAAACGGAAGGAACTAAATAAGGATTGGCTAAAATTGAGCAGCAATGAGAAGAGACCCGCTGAAAATCTAAGAAGATTGTTCGGTACGCGAAGGCTGTGGCTGAGCTCGGGAGTCTTGGATAGGGTACAGCTATGGCGGCTTTGTGATGGCTGAAATCATTCCTGTGGTTGAGAGTCGCCCTTGAGAACATCCGCTCGGCACAGCAAAATGAGGGGGAAGAGCTCTCAAGGGTAAATTTACCCTGCAAATGAGAACATTTAGCACGTAAACTCACGACTACAAAAGGCGTCTACGTTTCCACTGAAAGAATCTCACAGGCAAGTGCAATTGCTGCACGCTTTGCTGAACTTTGAAAAGTTTCTCAGCCTTATAAAGGACCGAAGCGCGCTGCAGAGCACAGCTAAGCCACGAACACCAGGCAGTTGACATGAGGCCAATCTAGTTCTGAGGGTTGACGTGCCACGCTGGCTTCAAAGCATCGCCACATCTCACCCGCGTTTTCCGCAAAAGAGGATTTTGCCTTTCAAAAAGGAGGTCAGAAAAAGAAATGCGTTGCATGAATGACTCGTTTTGTTGTATAGTTAACAAAACTCGAAAATGGTGTGGTATGATTTCAATCATCTAGATCCATCATTTGTCTAAAGTCTCCCCAATTTGCTTTATGGCTGTGGAGTATATCGTGTCGGTGCAACCCGATTGGTTGGGTTAGCTGGTTTGCTACCGTGGCGACCGTGTTGATGATTTGCGGAGATTTCGATGAATACCGCCGAAAAGATGCTTCGATAGCAGGCCCTGGCTCGTATCGGATGCATCGCTGCAAGTGTAACGAGCTCGCTGTAAACTGACAAGATGGATTCAGTATGCCCAGAACCAACCACCCCCGCAATATCGATGCTCTTGTCTGAAGCTTTTCCTTGACGCTTGTGGCTCCGGTCATTGCTTCTTGGTGCTGGGCTTTCCTTGTTTGCTGAGTTCCGCCATAGCCGACCAAGTGTACCGGGTTGTCTGCATGACGTCGAGACAGTTTCATCAGCTTCATCGTACGACTCGATTGAGTAGTGCAGTTCGACTTGGCGAGGCGACGTCATTGCGTCTCCTTCCCTGATTGGCTCCGTGAGACCCTGGTTTTAAGTATCGACACACAGATTCTCAACGCGTAGTGGACCGCCAACGGCACCGAATGCCAGGCTTTGATTATCATGACATATTCCACACATATTCGCCAGTCGCACAGTTGGCATCAGCCTTCCCGTTCCCGCTGACCCTGCTTCGCTTTTCACACTTAGCCCTCCCAGCACCACTCGAATCCCGTTCTTCCTACCACCGTTATGACAATCGGGTAATAAGCGTGTCCTTCTCAAGACAGACTAGCGCGTCCCAAATCCCGTTCCTCTTGCCGCCTCCATGACGTTACCTTCCTACGACCAGCCCTCTCAGAACATCACTGCTGCTCCTAGAATCCGCTCCCGTGCAGCTTCGAGAAAGGTGCGAACCCGACCTCAAGCCTGGACGGGCTCATTACCGATCAATGGCCATCATATGCCACCAGAAGTACGGAGTATCTATAGAAAACCAGAGAGAAATCCGGGCCTGGATGTAAGAACGACCCAACACGGGTCCATTGGAGCGCAGAGATTAGAGATTTTGCCGGTGAGAGGCAGCTTGGGGAGTGTTTCCGGTTTTTGCAGAACCAGACATGAAGATCCCGGCACCTGCTTTGGTCCATCAGGCACTTGTTTTGAAGCACCAAGCAAGTTCTTTCGTCCATCCGTCGCGAGTGAACCTGGTAACTCAGCTCGCCATGCGCTCGCCGGTTTCGCCACGTCAGCAGGCCAAGGGAGGCGGAGAAAACGGGCTCGGTTTTCAGTTTCCGCTCTGCCTGCTGACTTCTCCACTGCTGTTGGGAGCAGCAGTGACACGTGGCACGCCATGATCGGAGGTGTTGAGGATGTGGTATTGAACGTGGCACCGGATGTAGCATGGACTGGAGCACTGGATTCAGTGAGTGGCCTGCTGCTGGTGGGTGCGTCTCTGGCTCTCGGAGGCTTCGCGATTGGTGCTGCTGTTCGTAATGGTGACTCACTTGGAGAAACAAAAAGAGCTGCTGCTGGTTCTACTGATGCTGGTGCTGCGGGTGCTGGTGCTGCTTTTGATGCTGCTGCCACTGATGATGCGGCTGATGATGATACAAACACTGCTGCTGCCTCTGCATCTGGCTTTGGTCCTTGTAGGTCAGATGGTTTGGAGAAAGAGGGGGAATATGGAAAGGAGTCCGGAAAAGGGGCGTCCTGTGGTTCTAAAACAGAATCAAATCAGGGGCTGAGAGCGGAACGTGATGTGGAGTTTTTCTTGCTGCCCGAGTTTGACAAAAGCGGACTCCAGAAATATTTTCTGGCTCGGTGCCCGTCTCTTCCTCCTGCTGCTGCACCAAACACTCTCTTCCATAAGCCGCCTGATAATGCTCCCGTTGAGAGTGCTGATGGGATTAGGAATGCTAAAGTAGGTATTGGGATTGAAGATGATAACGTGCAAAGACTCGAACCCCAGCAGCAGATGCTTCTGCCAGAGTTTCACTCTCCTCCACCACCAGAGGGTTCTGACATACATAGAGAGGTAACCAATGGGAGGGACATTCTTGGGCGGCAAGTGGACGGGAGTCACGGGACAGCAACACTGAGACAACATTTGGGGCGGCAGCAGCTGGATGGAGCTGCAAGCCAAAGGCGGTTGTTTGGGCGGCACTGCATCTCCACTCCAGATGGCGGGACGTTATCCCTGGATTTTCTCAAGAACTGGCCCTCGGGATTGTCGCAGCCTATGGGATCGCAGCCTTCAGAGCGACATCAGGTGCAGCAGCAGCAGCAGCAGCAGCAGCAGCAGCAGCAGCAGCAGCAGCAGCAGCAGCGGCTGCAGTTGGGCTTGTTAGAGCAGCTGAGGGCAGGTTCGGGCATGGTGGTGCTGGTGGTGGCAGGCACGGCAGCAGGCAGCGCGGACCCCTTCATTCAGCGCCTGGCGTGCAGCGTCGCTGCTAGAGGCCACGTGCCTGTGGTGCTCAATTTGAGGGGTTGCGGTGGCAGCCCCGTTACCTGTCCCCGGTGAGTGCTTGTGGTGAGGTGGTGACTTTTGAGTCGTCATGGCAGGCACGGCAGCAGGCAGCGCGGACCCCTTCATTGAGCGCCTGGCGTGCAGCGTTGCTGCCAGAGGCCATGTGCCTGTGGTGCTCAACTTGAGGGGTTGCGGCGGCAGCCCCGTTACCTCCCCCCGGTGAGTGAGTGTGGTGAGGTGACCTTTGAGTTGACTGGAAAGGCATGGCAGCAGGCAGCGCAGACCCCTTCATTCAGTGCCTGGCGTGCAGCATTGCTGCCAGAGGTCATACCCCCGTGGTGCTCAACCTGAGGGGGTGTGGCGGCAGCCCTGTTACCTCTCCCCGGTGAGTGATTGCGTTGACTTTTGAGTCGTCTTGGCAGCACACAGCACGCAGCAGGCAGTGCGGATCCCTTCATTCAGCGCCTGGTGGCAGCCCCGTTACCTCCCCGCGGTGAGTGCCAGTTTGCTTGGACGCGTGAGCGTGAGAGTCCACTGGAGAAGCATTGCATTCGGTCGTGAGGCTGAGGAGAGTCATTGCTTCCAAAGGCCATGTGATGTCATTCCTGTTTCCTTGACCACTCTCCCCGCGACTCCCCCTGTCACTCACCTTGTCACTTTCCCCTGTTGTTATCCTGTTCGCCACTCCCCGTGTCTCTTCTTGTTCCCTTCATCCTCTCCTATCTTCTTCCGTCCCTTCCTTCCGCTCTCCTTCCCTTTCGCCCCCCTCTCCCCCCCCCTCCCCCCCGTGTCTCCACGTCTTCCCATTCCCACCTGTCAGCTTCTTCTCACCAGATGACAGCGCTGACGTGGCACTGGCAGCCAATTTCCTCGCAGCTTCCTACCCGGATTCCCTGCTAGTGGCCGTGGGAGTGGGCCTGGGGGGGCATCTGCTGCTGCGGCACCTGGGGGAAGCAGGGAAGGAGGCGAGAGGGGAGAAAAGGGGGCCGGGGGGAGTAGGAAGTGGGGAGAAACGGGGGTTAGGAGCAGGAGGGGTAGGAGAAGGAGAGGAAAGGCAGGGAGGGAGCTGGATGGCTGGGGAGGGGCTGGGCCTGGCGGAGATACTGATAGTGGGAGTTGGGGAAGTTTTGGTGGTGGGTTGCTGAAGCAAGGCGACGGGGTGTTGTACGATGGTTGGGGGCATAGGGGTATCCAAGCAGCTATGGTGGTTAACTCGCCCACCTGCTTGCACCACCACAATGGCTGCTCCAACCATCTCTGCCCTGAGGAGAAGGAAGAAGTTTCCAGGAAGATGGTCCACGATTACCAGCATCTCCTGCGCACCCATGAGGTTGGTTGTCCTGTTCAACCTCAACTTCCTCCCCTACCCTTGTTGTTGCCGGCTGTTTTTGACGGTTCGCAGAACTTCCTCTATGATATGACCCACACTCGACCAGTGACAACTCTTGCACCCACAAACCCCTCCCCGACCTATAAACCGTTGTTTTTTTTTTTTTTTTCCTCACAAACCGCCCATTTCTGGCCCTCCCTGCAGATGATATTCTCTGGCGCGTGGGGCCCACACGAGCCCCTCGACCTGTCAGCAGCGCTGGCGGCCTCGTCGCTGAGCCAATGGGACGACGCCATGTCGCGCCGTGCTGCGGGCTACGGGTCGATCTCAGCGTTCTACGATGCGTGCTGTGCGTGCGGTGTGCTGGAGCATGTGTCCGTGCCCACTCTGTGCGTGCAAGTGAGTGGGAAAAGATGAAGGGGCCGTTTTTTGAGAGCTAATTAGAGACATAGAACAGCACGGGCTACGGGTCGTTCTCGGTGTTCTACGATGCGTGCTGTGCTTGTAGCATGTTGGAAAGCGTGTTGATCCCCACTGTGTGCGTGCAAGTGAGTGGGAAAAGATGAAGGGGCTGTTTCTTGAGAGCTCATTAGAACAAATAGAACAGCACGGGCTACAAGTCAATTTTGGCGTTTTACGATGTGTGCTGTGCGTGCGTTGTGCTGGAGAATGTGTCTGTCCCCACTCTGTGCGTGCAAGTGAGTGGGTGGGGTGGGGCGAATGGGGTGGGCTGGTTCTGTTCCTGGGAATAATATGAATCAAAGCTTTTACAAAGCGTGCTGGGCTGAGGGATGTGCGGGAAGACGTGTTACGTCCCCACTCTGTGCGTGCAAGTGAGGGGGGAAAAGGGGGAAGGGCCTGCACATTGCACAGGAACGGGTTTCTGCTGCACCCAGCTCTCGCCCCTCCCAAGCCTAACCTGCTCCATCTCCTTCCCCTGTGTGCTTCTTTATCTGTTTCTTTGAGCAGCAAAGAAGTGTGATTGCCGAGTGCAGCACTGCGTGCGCCACTGCTGTTCCCTCCTCATCCTCTTCCTCCCCTGACCAATCTGTCCGGCGGCCCTTCCTCACCAACAGCAACCTCTCTCTCTGTGTACTCTCCAACACAAAAGCCGTCTCAGGCACTGCGGTTGCTGCTGCTGCTGTTGCCACTGCTGACGAGTATTCTGCTCCTGATCCTACTGCTTCTGCTGCTGTTTCCCCTGCAAATTCCGCGTCTGTTCCTCTCTCGTCCGCTCATGGCTGGAGCTCTGCTTTCGCGAGCCGTGTATTGCAGATTGTGGATGAGGTGAGTGAAGATCATTCGTGGTGGGCTGAGCGATTGTGCATTATGTCGGAGAGTGTACTATGGTGAATAGTGTACTATGTTGAAGAGGTTATTAAGCGGTGATTGAGTGCGTTTGGCAGGTTTCTGTTTGCGACTGAACCCACTTCCAGCAGTAGCATCATACGAAAGTAGTACTCATGGGAGAAATCAAGCAGATGAATCATGCGGAAGGGAACAAGCAGTACTTTAGCAGTTGGCCCTTCAACCGTGTCATCCCGTTGCGCATTACCGTCCACCTCCCCATTACCTTCAGCAGTCCCCACTCTCCCTCTTCCCCCCACTCCCCTCTCCCTCTCCCCCCCACTCCTCTCTCCCTCTACCCCCCACTCCCCTCTCCCTCTTCCCTTATTTCTCTCCCCGCTCTGCCCTCCCCGCCCCTTGACTCCCTGTGTGCAGTGGTTACCAGCCGTTGAGAGTGCTCTGCTGCAGCAACGACTGAGGGAGTACAAGCAAGGCCAACGCAAGGGAGGAGAGTGGCGCAAGCGGAAACCAGGCAAGAGAGCATCATCAGCGGGAGGCGACGGTAGAAGCGTGAGGAATGCAAGTGAAGGAAAGGGGAACATAAGCGCAGTGAGTGAGGGAGAGGGAGAGAGGAGTGCAGGTGACGGAGAGAAGAATACTACAGGGGGCGGGAGTGAGGGAGGGGGTGAGGAAGAGATGAGTGGGCATGCACTGGAGGGTTTTGGTGGCAATGCACTTGACTCTCCTGCTCCACCCACATCACCACCATTTCCACCTGGCAGTTCACCTTCTCAACCTGCCCCTCGGCCTGCTCCTCAGCCTGTTCCTCAGCCTGCCCCGCAACCTGTTCCTCAGCCTGCCCTGCAACCTGCCAAACCTGCTGCTCCCGCTGTTCAACCTTCCCCTCTGCCTGTACAAGCTGCTGCTCCCTCTGTCCATCCTGCCAGCTCACTTGACCAACCTGACTCAACACCTTCGACTGGTACTGTCAGTGGTGCTTCAGTTGCCCCTTTAAGTGCTCCTTCAGGTGCTTCTTCAGGTGATTCTTCAGGTTTTCCTCCAGATCCTACTGATGCATCAGGGGTTTCGCTGCCATCACCAGCAGAACCGCACAGGAGTTCTGTGAACCCAGGGAGGGTGATGCTGGGAGGCGCAACACAGGTACCTGCAGCAGTATCGGTTGCAGATGTTTCAGCAGAACCAGCGGCAGCTAGAAAGGAGGCAGCAGCAGATGTAGCTTTAGACACAGCAGCAGGTACCATTGAAGCAGCAGAGGCAGTAGCGGTTGCAGGTTCAGGAGAAAATTCAGCAGCAAAAGTAAGCGTTGGAGGAGTACAGGCAGCAGCAGAGGAAGGAGCAGCAGCAGTAGCAGCAGAGCTGGCAGCAGCAGCAGCAACAGGAGCAGAAGATGAAACAAACGCAGAGGCTGCGGCAGCAGCAGCAGTGGCAGCAGCACCGTCGGTGTCTCAGTGGGCAGAAGTTGCTTTGAACCTCGTGGATGCTGCCATGCCTGGTGCTGTGGGCTCAAAGGAGAGGGCGCAGGTGTGTGTGTATGGGTGTATGTGTGCGTGTCTGTCTGTGTGTGTGTGTGTGCGCGCGCGCGCGCGTGCGTGCATGGGTGTGCTTATGCTCGTCACTGCATTCCCCATGTGCGTTCCTTAGCAGGTCCTAGCAGCCATGAGGAGAGGGCAGAGCACAGCAGGCGTTTAGCAGCAACTACAGTTAGAAATGAAACCAGTCACTACTTTCATTTCCTTGCCCCCTGCCTTCCCTGCTTCATTGTGTGCCTTCGCTCCCAGCTCCTAGCGGCCATAACGAGGGGGCAGAGCATAGCAGACGCAGTGCAGCAGGTGTTGCCACCAGAGCAGCAAACAGCAGTCGCCGCCACTCTCAGACACTTGACTTCATTCACTCTGCTCCCTGCCCCTCGCCCCTGCCTCTGCCCTTCCCTTGCCCCCCGGTCTTCCCCGTTTCACTGTGCCTCCTCTCCCAGCTCCTGGCAGCCATAACGAGGGGGCAGAGCATAGCAGACGCTGTGCAGCAGGTGCTGCCGCCAGAGCAGCAAACAGCAGTCGCCACCACTCTCAGACACTGCCTGGAGGCCGCCCAACGCTCAGCAGCCCTGGATAAAACTCTCAAGCAGGCGGTTTCCCTTCTTCCCCAGACACGAGTGATGCTTGAGGCGCCTCAGAAAGAGACACCTAAAGAAGAGGCGCCTCAATTTCTTATACCTGCCGTGGAGCAGAGTGAGCAGGAGCAGCAGCAGCAGGAGGAGAAACAGGAGGAGCATGAGAATGGACAGCGGCAAGAGCAGGAGAGAATGCAGCGACAGGCAGAGAGGGAGGAGCAGCAGCAGCAAGAGAAGGAGCAGCAGAGACAGAATGAGGTGCTTGACGAGTTGTGGGGCGAAATACCCGAGTACGACCAGGCAGATGCGGGCCCTTCTGCTGCGACTGCTGCTGCTGGTACTCATGATGGCGAGAAGGATAACGAAAGTGGCAGCATTAGTAGCGGCAGCAGTAGTGGGAACGGCAGCAGCAGCAGCAGCAGCAGCAGCAGAGGCAACCGCAGAAGAACAAGCAGCAACAGCGCCCCCTCTGTGTCTTCCCAGCCTTCTGGCACATCCCCACAGCCCCCTCCCCTCCTCCCTCCAACCCCACCTAGCTCCCCTCCTTCCCAGGTCTCACCTCCATTCTCCCCAGCCGTCACCCCTCCCCCTGCCGCCTCACCTCCCCCTATCGCCTCCCCTCCCCCTGTCATTCCCCCTTTCCCATCCTCTGTTCCACCCTCTCCCCCATCTCCCCCTCCCCCTTCGTCCACCCCCTCACTTCCCAGTAAGCCTTTTGCTGGCAGCAGTGCCCCTGCTCCTCCCCCCACCTCCCCTCTCCCTCAGCCCGCTTCCTCTCCCCCCAGTTCTGCTCCTACTAGCCTCTCAACCTCCACTTCTATTCCCCCTACTTCCCCTTCCCCCAGTTCCCCTTCCCCCAGCCCCCCGCCCTCCACTTCTACCCCACCTATTACTCCCTCCTCCAACCCCCCTTCTTCTCAACCCTCTTCAGTCGCCTCCCCCTCTCCTGCTCCTACTCTCTCCAACCCCCCTTCTGCTACCCTTCCGCCCTCCAGCCTTCCCCCAACCTCCCCTTCTCCCCCTTCTGATGCGCCCTCCCCTCTACCCCCTTCCCCAGATCCTTCCCCCGCCTCCCCTCCTTCGAACCCTCCCTCTTCCCCCAACCCCCCTCCCAATCCCTCCCCACCTGCATCCTCCGCTCCTTTATCTCTCGGTGGGCTGAATTTGTCTGTAGCGGTGCAGGCGTTATCTGGGGTAGATGACAACTCACAGGTGGCTGTGGCGAGTGTGTTTGACACTGTGAGTGGGATCTTAGCAGAGCTGAAACAGGAGAAGGAGAAACGGGAGGAGGAGGAGGAAGAGAGGAAGGAGGAGGAGGAAAAGAGGGAGGAGGAAAAGAGGGAAGAGAAGGAGGAGGATCCTAAGGACAAGGGAGAAGGGAAGGAGGCAGGGACAGGAAAGGGCAACAAAGCAAGAAGCAGAGGAGAGGAAAAAAGAGACGAGAAAAAGGAGGAGGAACTAGAGGCGAAAAGGGAGCAGGAAAAGGAGGAGTATGGAGGGGGGGCCTTCTCAACAGGCTCTCCCATGGGTAAGATGGTGGGATCTGCTACAGCCATGGCTGCTACAGCACTTGCAATGAATGCTACCGGCCAGGGCTCTAGAGTTCTGGCTATGAATGCTACAGACAGAACTGGTGGGACTGCCACAGAGGCTGCTGCTGGTCGAACGGCAGGGGAAGCAGCAGAGGACCAGCAACCAAAGCGAGAAGCAGGGGGTGGAGGAGGAGAAGGAGCAGAGGGAAGAGGAGAGGGAGGAGGAAAAGGGGAAGCAGAGGGTGCAGGAGAGGGGATAATGGAGATAGCAGAGAGGGCGATAGAAGTGGCGTCTCCTGTGATTCCGAGGAAGCAGGACGGACAGATTGACCTCAAGAGGTGAGTCAAGTTGGCGCAGTACGGAATTTTAGGGGTCTGAATAATGGTGAAATCGCATGAGTATGATACAAGTTGCGTACCCTCTGCGAAGCAGGACGGGCAGATTTACTTGACAGACTGAGTCGAGCTGAAGAGGTGGGTCGTCTCAACAAGGCAAGTTGGCTCAACACCCTTCCCAACCCTCCCACAGGTTTTCCGAGATTATACCGCAGTGGGGGGTGCATAGGCTCATGCTGCAGGTTACACAGTGAGTCAAGGTGTCAAACGGGTCTGCCCAACCCCCGTCTTCCCCCGCTCCACCCTGCAAGCAGGTTATCCGAGATGATACAGCAGTGGAGGTCACAGGGGCGCATGCTGATGGTGGTGGGTAAGGCAGCTCGCTTCAAATGCCTTCCTCCACTTCCCCCGCTTCCCCCACCGTCCCCACTTCCCCCACTTCCCCCACTTCCCCCACTTCCCCCACTTCCCCCACTTCCCCCACTTCCCCCACTTCCCCCACTTCCCCCACTTCCCCCACTTCCCCCACTTCCCCCACTTCCCCCACTTCCCCCACTTCCCCCACTTCCCCCACTTCCCCCACCTCCCCCACTCTCCCCACCACCGCTCCACCCTCCCACAGGTTATCCGAGATGATACAGCAGTGGGGGTCGCAGGGGCGCATGCTGAGAGTCGTGGGCAAGGCGGCTCTCTTTGCGGAGGGGCTGTACGGCGCCGTGGGGCTGTGCGAGCAGCTCATTGCTCTGACCGACATTCACAAGCGGGGACTCACCACCAGGTGAGGTGGTGGCAGCACTGCAATGCGCTCTTTACAAATCACACCCAAGGGGGCTGTGCGAGCAGCTCATTGCACTCACTGACATTCACAAGCGAGGGCTCACAACCAGGTAGGTGGCTGAGAGAACTGTGATGCGCTACACGCACACAAGAGGGGCTGTTCGGCGCTGTGGGGCTGTGCGAGCAGCTCATCGCCCGCACTGACATTTATAAGAGGGCCCTCACCACCAGCTAGGTAGACAGCTGAGAGCTGTGATGCGCTTGCTACACGCACACAAGAGGGGCTGTACGGCGCCGTGGGGTTGTGTGAGCAGCTCATTGCACTCACAGACATCCATAAGCGAGGGCTCACAACCAGGTAAGCAGCTGAGGATCCTGGTTTGAGCTCGTTAGTTACACCCACAGAAGGCGGCTCTCTTTGCAGAAGGGCTGTACGGAGCTGTGGGGCTGTGTGAGCAGCTCATCGCCCTCACTGACATTCACAAGCGAGGGCTCACAACTAGGTGAGGTGCTGACAGCACTACCGCAATGCGTATGCCACCTCTTTGCAGAGGGGCTGTACGGCGCTGTGGGTCTGTGCGAGCAGCTCATTGCCCTCACTGACATTCACAAGCGGGCACTCACCACAAGGTAAGGTGGTGGCAGCACTGCTATGGGATCTGTACAAATCACACCCAAGGGGCTGAACGGCGCTGTGGGGCTGTGTGAGCAGCTCATTGCCCTCGCTGACATTCACAAGCGGGCACTAACTACCAGATGGGTGCTCGCTCACTCTCCTCCTCCATGCCCTCTCCTTTCCACTCACCATTTCACCACACTCATCAGTACACTCATCACCCTCACTCTTCTTCTCTCTCCCACCCCCCTCCTTACTCTCACCCTGCAGGCTCCTCTTCTCACTCCTCCTCCTCATCCTCCTCTGGTCGCCCATCCTCATCCCCCTCCTCCCCTCCCTCATCACCACACTCACCTCCGCCTCGGCCAATCCCGCGGCGCCACCTGTCGTCACCACAGCGCTCCTAGCCGTGGGTCTATACATAGCCCTGCTGCTGCTAGTGCGCATCTGGGGCAGGAGGGTGAGGAGATACGAGCACCCAATCGAGCAGTATGGGCTGAGGATCTTTGAGTCAACGCAAGAGGTGAGTTTGTGCAAGCTGTCACCACAGCCCTACGAGTAAAAACTGCTGTACATAGCCCTGCTGTTATGCTGTGGGTCAGTGTTTCTGTACACAGCCCTCCTAGCCGTGGGTCTATACATAGCCCTGCTGCTGCTGGTGCGCATCTGGGACAGAAGGGTGAGGAGATTCGAGCACCCCATTGAGCAGTACGGATTGCGAGTGTTCGAGTCAACACAGGAGGTGAGGCATGTTGTTTGGCTGTTAGGTTGTGGGTTTGTGAAGCTGTGATTATGTGGGCCTGTGGGTCTGTACATAGCCCTGCTGCTGCTCGTGCGCATCTGGGGCAGGAGGATGAGGAGATTCGAGCACCCAATCGAGCAGTATGGGCTCAGGCTCTTTAACTCAACCCTAAACTCTGGTCATGGAAGGAAGGAAGAATCGATATGCATTGGCTTCCATTGTCGTCTTTTCTACCCCATTCTTCTTACAATCTCTTCCCTACTCCCAATTCCCCCTTTTTCTTCCCCTCTCCACCCCCGGCATGGTTGGCACAGGGTCTACTGCTAACCTCATCCTTGCTGCTGCTCCTACAATCCTTGCAGCTACATCTCCACTCCCCCTCTCGCCCCTCCTTTTCCCCCTCCATTCCCATCACCAACAGGTCGCATGGTTGGCACAGGGTCTACTGCTGGGATCCTCCCTGCTACTGCTGCTACACACCATTCTACTCCATCCCCTCTTCCCCCATTCTACTCCATCTGCGCCTCACCGCCCTCACACATGCGTGCTCTCTCCCGCGCCCTCCCATCCCCTCTCCAACCCCATTACTACCAGCTGGCATGGTTATCACAGGGCCTACTATTGGGATCGTCCCTGCTGCTGCTGCTCCACGTCATTCTACTACCATCTGCGCCTCACCGCCCTCTCCCCCATCCCTCCCTCCCATCCCTCCCTCTCCATCCCTCTCCATCCCCAGGTGGCATGGTTGGCCCAGGGTCTACTGCTGGGCTCATGCCTGCTGCTGCTGCTGCACGCCATTCTACTACATCTGCGCCTCACCTCCCTCACACATGCATGCTCTCTCCCGCGCCCTCCCATCCCCTCTCCAACCCCATTACTACCAGGTGGCATGGTTGGGCCTGGGTCTACTATTGGGATCGTCCCTGCTGCTGCTGCTCCACGCCATTCTACTCCATCTGCGCCTCACCGCCCTCTCCCCCATCCCTCCCTCCCATCCCTCCCTCTCCATCCCTCTCCATCCCCAGGTGGCATGGTTGGCCCAGGGTCTACTGCTGGGATTATCCCTGCTGCTGCTGCTCCACGCCATTCTACTACATCTGCGCCTCACCTCCCTCAACCTTCCCTTCAACACCCTCCCATCCCTCCTCCTCCCATCCCTCCACCTCCCAACCTTCCACCTCCGATCCTTCCACCTTCCAACCCTTCACCTCCCAACCTTCCACTTTCCAACCCTTCACCACCTTCCCGCCCTCCATATCCCAACTCTCGCCCTCATCTCCTCACACATCTCCTCTGGCTTCCACTCGCTCCTGCTCCTCCTGCACCAAGCCACCTCCTCCCTGCCGCATTGGATACCCCTTCATTTCCCCCCTCCCTCACCACTCTCAGTTACCCAACCCCTACAAGCCCCAATCCTCGCTGCTGCTAGTGCTGCTGCTGTTGCTGCGACAGCTGCGGCTGCCACCACCACTATTATCACACCTGCCCTCCTAATCTCGCTCCTCCCCTCCCTCCTCCCTTCCCTCCTCTCCGCCCTCCTCTCTCTCCTCCTATCCACCACTCGCATCCTGCGCCTTGTATTGGAGTCGCTACTAATGGGTACGGCCGTAGCAGTGGTGGAAGAGCTGGTCTTCCGAGGCTGGCTGTTCGAAGAGGTTCGGCAGGACCGAGGCTTGGCGTTTGCTTCGGGATTCACTGCTCTGCTGTTTGCTCTCGTGCACTGGTGAGTGCTAGTGCTGTCCCTGTCAGTCCTACTTCTCACCGGTCAGACCCACCTCTCATCTACCTTGTCCCACCTGGCTCCACACACCTCCCATCACCCCTCACCTCTCCCCTTTTTCTAGGTCCATCCAGCCATGACTTCTGAGACGTCTCAGAAGTGAGCCCCACCTCTCATCTGCCTCTTGTCCCACCTGGCTCCACACACCTCCTATTACCCCTCCCCTGCTCCACCTTTTCCAGGTCTATCCCAGCCATGCCTGGTCTCTTTCTCCTCTCCCCCATCTCCACCATCGCTCAGCAGCAGTCTCTCATACACACCTTTTCCCCTCTTCCCCCTTAATCCCCACCCCCTCAGGTCTATCCCAGCCATGCCCGGTCTCTTCCTCCTCTCCCTCATACCTCCTACCACCTACCACCTACCACCTACCTCCTGTCTCTCATACACACCCTTCTCCTTCTCCCCTGCTCCCCATATTCCAGGTCTATCCCAGCCATGCCCGGTCTCTTCCTCCTCTCCCTCACTCTCTCCTTCCTCCGCCATCGCTGCTCCACCAGCCTCTCCCTCCCCATCGGCCTCCACACCAGCCTAGTCGCCGCAAATCAAATCATATCTTTCTCCGGAATCATATCCTACCGCCCAGGCGCCCCTGTGTGGCTCACAGGCGCGCATAAGGCCAACCCTCTGGCAGGGGTGATCGCTCAGGGGCTCTTGCTGGTGATGGTTGTGATGGTGTGCCCTTGGGGGGAACTAGTGCGGGAAAAGAAGGGGTATTTGCATGGCGATAGTGATATTGATAGTGATGATGGCAGTAGGGATAATGAGTCTGAGGATGAGCACTTGGACTCATCCTCACGTGCTACAAAATAGTTAGTGGGTAGGTTTTTGCGAACAGACAATAATGTACAGTGCTGTTGTTTCTAGTACCGTATGTATGGTGGTATTGGTTTTTTCATACAATTTGTATTAGGAGATTTTATTTCAAGGTATTTCAAGCAACCAACTTATCCAAAAACTTCCTTCCCACCACTCAAGCCTGCTGCAGCCCCATCTTCCGTGCAACCTCTGCGTTGGCTGCAATCGCCTCCTCCACACTCCAGTTCCGCACTTCCTCCAAAGGCAAACCCTCTGCACATACCACTTCTATGCTCCCTTTTTCTCTTATAACCCCCTCCTCACTTATCCCCTCCTCCATGTTCCCCTCCTCTTGAATTACCTCCTCTTTGCTCTCTTCTTCTCTGTTTCTTTCTTCCCCTTTATCATCGCTGTCCCCATCTTCTTTACTACCCTCGGCTCTGCTCCCCACCTCCCTGCTCCCCACTCCTTGACTCCCCACTTCCTCTCTGCTCCCCTCTTCATTACCCTCCCCTTCCTTTCTGCTCTCTGTCGCCTCGCTGTTACCTGCCTCATCTCGGATCCACAGATGCCCATTCCCTTGCCCATTCCCATGCACACACCTATCCTCTTGACTCTCCATATTCTCCTGATTCTCCACGCCCTCGTGTCCCGCAAGAGCAGCAGCGGCAGCGGCAGCATCAGGCGTTGCAGAAGATCCTGTGCTGTTGTGTGCTTCAGCAATGGGTTCTTGGCTCCGTGCCAGGGTTTCTGTGAATTCCCTTGCCTTAAGGCTGCTGCTGCTGCTGGTGCTGCTGCTGCTGCTGCTGCTGCTGTTGCTGTTGCTGTTGTTGCTGTTGTTGCTGCCTCCTGGCAAGTCTGCTACCGCTATAGAAATGCCATCAGTAGCAGCCGCCTTGGAGCTTAAATAATTCCTCAGAACCCTTTTAGAGAAATCAAGGTCCTTCCTCGAGCCTTCCTCTTGCTTACTCCCATTGCTCGCTTCATGCCCCCCACCACCAAACACTCTCCCCATCCACCCACTTACGCCTCCCCCTATCCCTCCCTGTACACTGCTGGTTGTGCCTGTAGCTCCTCCTGATGCTCCGCCTACTGCTCCCCCTGATGCTCCGCCTAATAATCCCCCTGTTCCCCCTGCTGCTCCCCCTAATGCGCCAACCCTGCTGCCCAGAGCCGCCCCTCCAGCAGCAACGGCCACAGCCACACCAAGAGCCACCGCCCACCCCCACCGTGCTGCGCCCCAGCAAAGTTTTTTGTTTCGGGCAGCAGGAACTGTTGCTGCCCGACCGTGGCTGTACATTCTCGGGCAGAGCCGCCCAAAAAGGAGCTCCTGTGTCGGTTTCCCGCTGATCCCCCTCCCACTTGCCCACCTGCTATCCGCTGCTGCTGCCCGTCCTTCCCTCCTGGTTGTTGAAGCAGCTGCAACTGCTGCGGCTGCTGCGATGGCTGTTGCGGTTGCAGCCGCCGCAGCTGCAGCTGCGGCGGTTGCTGCCTGAATGCGATAGCAGAGAGGCGTGAAGGAGCAGCGGCAGCAGGCGTGCAGTCAAGGTACGGGATCTGAAGGGCGCCTCAGGAGGCAACAGAGGGATAGGGAGCGGTTGAGAGGGATATAGAGAGGGTGAGGAAGAGGAGAGTAAGGACAGTGTGGGGGAATCTGAGGCATGGGAGACGAGCAGCACGCAAAAGGCGCCATCGGGGCTGCACGCGTTTAAGGCAGCAAGCCAGCCCAATTCCAGGAAAATTTCTCACCTTGGGAGCACCCACGCTAGCAAAAGCCGAAGCCACCTCCCTCTCTTCGCACACCTCTATTCTCCTCAAGCCCGCACCACCAGCAACTGCCCCTCCTCTGCTCGCCTCCTCTCTCCTCCCGGAGCTATTGCTTCTCAGCCACTCCTTGCTGCCTCCGCCGCCGCTCTCTGTGCGTTCTTTCCATCCCCCCAACAACACCCCCTCCATTCTCCCTCCGCCTCTCGTCTCCCTGCCCTCCCGCGCTCCAGAATTGTTTCTCTGCTGCCCGACATTCGGACCGGCCGCGTATTTTCCAGGGTAGTTCCCCCCGGGTTTCTCTCTAATCTTCAGGGCAAAGTCCTGCGACACCTTGATTTCCGAGTCTTTCAAACCCAGACGTTGACTGCCATGACTTGGTTGACTTGATTGACTTACATGCTGCTGTCGCTGCGGCTCGTGATTAACATCCCCCTTCTCTACAGCCACTCCAGCCGCGTTACCACCTCCTCCCTCCGCTCCATTCCACCCACCCAAGTCACCGCCTTTCGCGGTAACTCTTGGAGTCGTCGCGAAACTCGTCACGTCGCCGACTTTCGCCGCGGCCGGCAGGAATATCACCTCCCCCACTCGCACCGCGGGCGACGGCTTGTCGTTTACCGCGAGGAGCGCGTCCAGGGGGAGGTGGTAACTGGCGGCGATGGAGAAGAGGGTCTCGCCCGGCGCTACCTGGTGCAGGCGCATCGACACTGATACGCTATCTGCTTTTGTCGTTTTCCCGTGGAGTTTTGAGTGTTGATTTCGCGGGAGTGGACCGGTGGAGGTGCGCTGTGGAAGTGCGGCGCGAGCTTGCGACGAAACCTGCAAGGTCGGTGAAAATAATAGAGTAGTAGAAGAAAGGAAGAGAAAAAAAACTAAAGGCGGCATTTAAGGAGTCCACGCGTCCACGATCCTGGGGGGGTGTATGGGGGAGGGGTGGGGGGGGGGGGGGGGGGGGGGGGGGGGGGGGGGGGGATGGGGGGGAAAGAAATAGGAGGGGCGGGGAGAGGAAGGAGGGGAAAAAAGGGGGGGAAGAAAAGGACGAAGGAAACAACGAAAATGGCAGTGCAGGTTTGCAACGCACATTCTTCTGCTGCGCTGTGCGAATGATCGAAGGATCCGCACCCGTTGCACTGCGGAAACTATTGGAATGAGCACCTGCGGTGCCCCCGCCGCAACCATCGGCCCCGTAAGAGCGAGAATGGGAGGCTAGAAATCCCATGTCTGAAGCCGCGACTTGTTTGGCGGTGAAAGGAACGGATCGAAGCGCCATGCTCGCACCACGATGGTCTCAAAGTATAAGAAAGTGAAGTAGAGGCCAGCAACGATGTCTGAAAGCAAGGAAATCAGGAGGAATAATCTAGAGGCGGATATGAGAAAGGTGGTGGGAAAAGAGAAGGGAAATGGCACATAAAGCGAGCGGGAGCGCAAATATCCAGGGTACCCATCAGCTCTAGGCTTCGCTTGGGGTCGTTGCCGCAGCAATTGCTGCCTCTTCGCTACGCGAGAGACAAGGGAGGCGTTGGTTCGGGGCCATACCCAGAAGTTCGGGCAGCCCAGCAAGCATCCCTAGAAGGCTCGGGCAGCCCCGAGGGAGGGCGCCAAAAGCTTGGATAACTGCGCGGAGGGTAGATCTGTCTCCACAGTAGGGTTCATTAGGATTATGTTCTTTTTATCCACGGTTATGACGGTTACAAAGCGGTTGTCGGGCTTCAGGGACAAATGGTGGTGAGGGCTTTGGTATGTGAATTGTGTACCCAAGGGCAGGCGGAATTTGAGGTTTCCCCAATCAGGTGTGGCCTCGAAGCGCAGATGCAAGTTCCGAACCGAACGAGAAACTGTTTCAGTATTCTTGGGAGAGCCCAAATCCCTTAGAGAGGATATAGACCGAGATTGTTATCTCGCGAGGAATATAGCAACAGTCTCTACACATAACTTTAGAATATAAGCACACTAGTGCTAAGTTTCCTAAATAAGGAAGTCCAGCACTACCAGATCACCATACTAAATTCCGAACTAAGAAAAAAAGACCACATTGCTAATGGAGACCTAAACTTCACCAGACGCTATTACTGTTGATTCATAGGGTTCTGTGCTGACTTCTTCCACGCCTTCCAAATCTGCTCCTTGTACTGCATGAGGGTCAAGCCAGGCCGCTCCTGCTTCATGCGCGGAAGCTCCGCCTCCTCAAATGCCTGAAGAAGGTATACCACAGGAAAAGGTTGGAGAAGCACGGAGGGAAAGTCACGTGGAAGAGGGTGCATGCACACTGTCAAGCATGGTAAAGAATGCACTGCACAGAAACCAGCCGACAAGGGACTGGACTAGAAGATATGGTATTTGGCTCCAAGCACGCAGCAGGCAGCAGGCAGCAAGCAGCAGGCACGAACTTCCCTTATCACACCCACACACTGTTTCAGGAAATCCCACAAATCTCTCAAAACTCTTCTCCTCCGTTCCCCTTGAAGCCTGACCTTCCCAAAGCCCATGATTCATTCAACCCTGACCCCTCCCCTTGACCCTGTCCCTTCAACTCTATTCGCACTCACCCTCCTCTTCTCACCTTAAAGGCATGCTCCGTTCTTTTATCCAGGCACATTCACATGCTGCTGCTGCTGCTCCTTTGCTGCTCCCTGATTCCCCATTACCTTCACCCTCCTCTCACCTTAAACGCGGCCTTCATTCTCTTCTCCGGGTGCTTATCCACACTCCCGCTCCCCTCCTCCCCCGCAGCCACGCTAAGCTGGCTCAGAGCCTCCCCCACGTTCCGCGCATCTACTGCCACCGCCATGCGGTTCGTGTTCTCCACCTCTAGCATGCGCGCATACTCCGCCTCTTCCGCCACCCGCGCGGCCTTCTTCCGCCTCTCCGCCTCCGCGCCCTCCAGCTCCTTCTGCTCGCGCTCCTTGATCCGCGCAAGCTCCGCCTGAGTTACTTTCGCGCCTCCCCCGCCGCTGCTTCCGGCGCCTGCGCGCCGAGCCCCTGCGCCAGCGCCCGCGGAGCTTCCGCCTCCTCCGCCACCGCGGGAGACCCCCTTCCCCGAGATCTTCGCCATCTCTCCCGCCTCGATCTCCTCGAGCCGCTTCTTCTCAGCGCGTTTCGCGGCGGCTTCCGCGCGCTTCTGCTCGTCCTCCTCCTTTTTCTTCGCGGCGCGGCCTTTGGGGGCGTCGTCCGCCCATCGAGCGTCCTCCTTGGCTTTCTCCGCCGCGCGCTTCTTCTCGTCCGCCGCCGCCGCCTTCCGCTCGCGCGCCTCCTCCGCCTTGGTGTTCGGCGTCAGCTTCTTCGGCATTTCGCCTCACGCGGGGGAACACGCGCGCCCGCCTGGTACGAACGCGATTCGAACAACTATACGTGCGGTTAAAAAGGGTCTGCGCACTATTTCGAGCGAGCAATTTCAAGGCTGCTTTGGCGCTGGAAACGACGAAGAAAGGCGGACAAGAAAAGCACTCCGGGGGCCTACACGTGGCGGATCCAGGAGAAGGCAGGCTCGTGGGCTGAGGGGACGATCGGCGACGGAATGCACGCAACAGGCATGCCGGCGACCGTAAAAAACCAAACGGTAGTCAATATGCGAATCGTAAGTCTGGCCCGTGTGTATTGCGGGGAAGCGAGAACACGCGGAAGGCCAGACATGTTCTGCATCGCCCGCGCTTCAGCACGGAGGAGTTTAAAGTACGCGATACAAGATTCCGTTCCCAGCAAAGAAGAACCAGCGCGCGGAAACTCGGACCAGGCGTGCGTGTAGTCCCACTGGATGTTATTCCCTTACATGGGAAAAAACTGCACGAACTAATCCTACTAAATATCAATTATTCAACTTCCAAAAAGAGAACCTCTACTATGCCGCTACCTATATATGCGGCTATTAGTTATTATAATTATCTAGTCAAAAACCGAATCCAAACATCTTCATCAGGCTAGTCCCTCTCTTCTTTTCAACAGGCGAGTCCTCCACAGCTGCCACCTTCCATGCTGCGTCGCGGGCTCTCAGCATTTCAATGTACTCCTTCTCCTGCTTCTTCCTTGTATCCTTTAGTTGCACTTGCTCATCAGTAGCCACCCAGCTCGTCTCAACAGGCACCTCCTCCAAGACTCCAAACGGCCCCTCCAAACCCAACTCCGAATACGCATTGTTCTCACCCAATACACTCTTATTCCAAGCGCCGCCCGGGCTACTACCCCCGGGGGCTGCTTTGATCGAGGCAGATTGGGCGAACTTCATCCCCCATCCTCCAAGGTCATTGTCTCCAAACGAACCGGACCTGAAATCAAGCTCCGGCTGCGTATCTCCTGATGCATAGTAAGGAACTCCTGACGCGGAACTCGACTGGGTCAATGGAGAATGCTGCATCAACTTATTCTCCTTCCCACCTCGGCTCCCCTCCCCCTTCCAGTACTCCCCCTGGTTCTGCTCCCCTCCTGCCCCTGCCTTCTCTGCTCCTTTCCACCCACCCTTGCCTCCAGACTGCACCACAGGCCCTTGCCTGTTCCCAGCAGGCAGCAAAACAAGCTCCTCTGCTCCAGCGATCGTAGACAGTTTAGGGTCATTAGGTGCATTCATCGCAGGCGAGTTCTCAAGCTTATTAGGCTTGAGATCCGAAATCCACATCCTTCTCTGGACCATCTTCTTTTCACTAGCCACCTGTTCGTTCTCCTGCTCCTGCTGCTGCTTCTTCAGTTGCTGCTGCTGCTGCTGCTGCTGTTGCTGTTGCTGTTGCTGTTGCTGTTGCTGCTCCTTCTCCTGTTCCTGCTGCTGCTGCCACTGCTCCTGCTGCTGCCTTTTCTTCTGCTGCTGCTGCTGCGCACCCAGTCCCACCTCATCCCTGCTGTCCCCACTCTGCATCCAGCTGAAATCAGCATCCGAATCCTTTCCTCCCTTTGCTGCCCCTAAGTCCGCCTTCCCCACCACTTCTCCCACTGCCTTTCCATATTCGCTGAACTTCCAGCACTCAAGAGAAGTCACAAGCAGAGCCTCCTGACTCGGTCCATCCCCCCCCTTCCCACTCCCCACACTGGCTTCCCTTGCTCCTCCTCCTCCTCCGCGAACAGGAGACTTGTTCCTCATCAGGACCGGATAGTCATTCTCCACCATCTTCCCTGGTATTTCCGCTGATACCCCAGCTCCTGCTCCTGCTGCTTTCCCTGCTGCTCCTGCTACCACTGCTTTTCCTGCTCCTGCTGGTTCCTTCCCTCCCCCACTCACAGCAGCAACGTGGCCCCGAGCAGCAGACACTCCTTCCCGTCTGTGCTGATCTCCGCCCCGAGTGCCAGACGCTCCTCGCTCATTGTTGGACACCTGCTCCTGATGCCCCTTCTCCTTCTCCTCTGCGCCCTCCCTCACAACCACATGGGCGCTTTGGGACCGTACCACCCGGCCTCCCCTCACCAGCCCTTCAACGTCCCTCCCACTTCCACCTCCCCCAGTACCAACTCCCCCAGAACCACCTCCCCCGCTGCCTGTCCTCCTCACAGCCAACCCGCCCCTTATCCCTGCCGCAGCTGCTCCCTGCAAGCGGCTTCCGGGAACGTTCTGGGAGACGGAGATTCGGTGCTGCCCGTTTTGCTGCCCGAGCTTGCCTGTGCGGTAGAGATCAGGGCTGGGAGCGCGCGCACCGGCACGAGACACAATCGCAGCGGAGGCAGTTGCAGCAGAGGTGGTAGCAGTGGACCCTGCACTTGAAGCGGCTGCTTTGGCTGCAGAAGCAGCAGTGGGAGCAGTGAGAGACGAGGAAGAGGAGAGCGTGCGAGAAGCACCACCACCACCACCACCGCCAGCAGAACTAGGCCTGGAGGTGCGAGGAGCAGAGACGGGACGACGATAGGCAGTGGAGCTTGGGGAGGATATCTGCTGCTTCTTTTGGTTAGCAACCGTGCCGGTTGGGGCGGCAGCAGCAGCAGCCGCTGCTCGTGCGGCCCTGGCTGAAGCTGCAGCCGCAGCAGCAGAAGCAGCAGCGCCAACGGGTTGGGAGGCGGAGGAGAGGGAGCGGCGGCGCTCAGAGAGCGAGGCAGAGGAGGAGGAGCGCACGAGAGAGGAGCTGCGCCGCAGCCGCTGCTGCCTTGCCTCCTCCTGCCGACGCTTCTCCTCCTCCTGGACTCACACGTACAGGGTAGACAGGGAGGACGGGCAAAGAGAGCAATGAGAAAAGAAGTCAGGGAAAGTACAGCCAGGAAGTCGCTGCTGCTGCCTTGCCTCCTCCTGCTGACGCTTCTGCTCTTCCTGGACTCACACATAGGGTGGGTGCAGGGAAAGGCAAGAAGGCGGTGGGGAGGGGGGAAGTGGGGGAGAGGGGAGAAAGTGAAGGGGCAAGGCGCATTGAGTTAGGTTACATTCCTAGCTCGTGTCTGACATCAGGTCATCCGCCCTTGGATGCTCGGAAGACCCGAAGTGGCTCGAATCAGGGGCAAATCAACATTGGGAGAGACAAATCAGAGACTAAGGGCGGATGACCTGATGTCAGACACGAGCTAGGAATGTACCCTTAGGGCTCATAAGCATACTGACACAAGGAGATTAAGATCGATTATACCCTGAATCAATCAATGAAACCAGGAATAAGGAGGATCTAAACCAAGGTCACGCACCCTGCGCTTGGCGGCTTCCTGCTGCTTCCTCTCCATCACCATCATCGCCCTCTCCTGCACACTCATCACCCCCGTTCCCCCTCCCCCTCCCCCTCCCCCTCCCCCTCCCCCTCCCCCTCCGCCACGCCCCCTGCCCGCTCCTCCCCCTCTCCCCGCGCTCCCAATGCTCCTGCTCCGCGCTAACGCGCCCATCCCCCCAGCGCCCATCCCCCCAGCGCCCATCCCCCCAGCGCGCATCCCAGGCGCCACCCCCCCGCTACCTCTCCCCCCCGCTGCCCTTCTTGCTTCCGCCACTCCACCACCTCCTCTCCCGGCACCTCTCCCCGCACCTCTTCCCCCGGCCGCCCCTCCGCCTCCCCTTCCGCCCGTCCCCGCGCCAGCCTCCAGGGAGTTGCGGAACGCCTCCCCCTTCATCACGTCTTCTTCCCCCTCCTCTTCCGCCTCCCCCCACCCTGCTATAATCTCCATCTCCAGTTCCCCAGGCACCAACCTACGGTCGTTCAGGGCGGGCGTACCTCCCCTAAGCTCCACCTCCCCCAGGTAATCCCTGCTCTCCTCCGCGTTCGCCCTTGGGGAACCCTTTTTCGGAGTAGTGGCCGTTACCATTAAAATATCAACCGGCCCTCCAATACCCCCTGTGCCTTCAGTTCCCCCTGTTCCGCCTGCTCCCCCTGCGCCCCCTGCTCTCCCTCCTCCGCCATCCCCCCCTCCCTCCGCGAATCCCGCTGCAAATCCCCCTGCTTCTCCGCCTGCTCCTCCGCCTGTCCCCGCGCCCCTTCCCCCGCTCCCTGCTCTCACTTGATACGCGGACTGGGAACGGATGATAGGCGAGATTTGCGACGGCCTCCCATAGGCACTCCCGCTCCTGATCAACCCTCCGCCGTCCGATTTCATTCCCATCGCAGCGGCGGCTAAGTCCCCCCCGCCTGCCGCGTCCCTCCCCGCGCCGGTTCCGCCGACCCCCGCTTCCCCCTTCGAGCCTCTCCTCTGCAGCCCTGCGACGAAATCCCTCAGGTCCTGCGACGTCGCGTGCGACATGGGCGACGACGCGCGCGACCTGGGCGACGTCGCGCGACTGTTCACTGGTCGCAGCGGGCTCGCCGAGCAGCTGAGCTGATTCTCTGCGACGGAGCTTGCGACGCTGCTGTCCTCTATAAGATTCCTCCCCGGAAAAAGCACACTCGGTTCAGTCACATCGTCCCTTCCAAATACCGCGCTGCTCGTATCTGACAAATCCGTCGACGCCCCCGCATTAGTCGCCGCGAATCCCGCCGCGCTCCACGGCCGCTGCTGCCAGGGCATTAGCCGGCTAGCCGACTTGGACTTGAACGGCCGGCGCCGCCTAGCGGCCGCGGGCGAATCGCCGCGATACGCGGCCGGCCCAGTTCCGTACCCGCTCCTAGTATCATCCGTGCTCCATTCTGATTGGTCCTCCCCAGACCAACCCCCGGGCGTGGAAAAAGGGCTATTGTACCCCCCAAAACCAGGGGCACTTCCCCAACCACCCACCCCCCCGCCGCCGACGGTACCCATTGCGCCGCCTACTCCGCCGCCCATTCCGCCGCTGCCGCCGGCAACGGCGTAAATCTCCCCATTAGGACCGACGAGCCCGTACGTTATAGGTGTCCCCGCAGGGGGAGATATCCCTGGGCCCATTGCGCCGGGGATACCACCGGGCATAGCCCCGTTATACAGCGGGACGAAGGGGTAATAGCCCCCGGGAGTCCCAGTGACCGTGTTGCCTGCGACGTGGCCGTCGGGTAACCAGATTCCGCCGCCTCGCCCTGCCGGCAGCCCAAACGGTTGCTGCTGCTGCGTCAGCGGCGCCGCTGGCGGTGCAGCGCCCGCGCCCCTGCCCGCACCCGCGATTGCGCCGCCGCCGGTCTGCGCGGCGGCCTGCGCGAGTTGCGCGCGCGTGAGGCTTTCCGCGTAGGCGGAGTCTTGGCGGCGGACGAGGGAGGAGAATTTCACGCACGCGTGCTTCAAACGGACGGCTCCGAAGCAATCCGCGAAGCAGAGCAGCAGCGGCAGCACGTCGGGGGAGAATCCCGCCGCCGCTGCGCGCGCGATCGCCACGCCTTGCTCGCGCTTGAGCATGGCCGCGCGCACGTCCATCGCCTTGCGCAGGCGACTGCGCGGAAACAGGGAGGGGCGAGCACACACAAAGAACGAGTTATTGGGACGTCCCGAAAGAATTACAGGGGGAAGACTGAGGAGACGTTTTGACGCTCGTATTTAGAAGAATGAAGCAAGGTAGCGTCATGTAGCAGTTCTGAAGCCAGAGGCCATGCATCGAGATGTATCAACCCCAGCCTCACCTCTCTCGTTCGCCGTTGTCGCTGAACGAATCTCCCCTGAGTCCGTTCTGCAGCATTTCACGCACACACGCACGGGATCACGCACGCACGGGTTCACGCACACAACCGTTTCGTTAGAGGGAACGGAGGCAGCGCAAGCCTTGGGACGTCCCAAACATGAATGAGGCGAATTCGTGCACGCAGCAGCAGCAGCAGCAGCAGCTCAGCTTGCCAGGTGGGCGAACGCAGCTGGGACGGACAGGAGCAGGCACGCACGCGAGCGGGCATACACGCGAGCGAGCGGGCACGGACGTTAGTGAGCAGGGTACGGACGTTAGTGAGCAGGGCACGGAGAGCAGCACTCACAAGGCTTCGGGCGGGAGACGGCGAGCGAGACGACGCTCGTCGGCCCGAGAGCCGGTCTCTCAGCGGCGTTGCCCCTCTCGGGCCCTCCTCCGCTCTGCCGTCGCTGCCGTCCAGTTGCTGCTCCGCCTGCGGTGACACGGGGGTGATAAAAGTTGGGTTTTGAGACGTCTCGAAATCTCAGGCCCTCCTCCGCTCTGCCGTCGCTGCCGTCTAGTTGCTGCTCCGCCTGCCGTGGCACAGGGTAGTGCGTCAAGCATGTGCGACGGGGCAAGCGATCGATCGGGCACGTGCGACGGGGCAAGCGATCAATCAGGCACGTGCGACGGGACAAGCGATCAATCAGGCACGTGCGACGGGGCAAGCGATCAATCAGCCACGTGCGACTTTTGAGACGTCTCAAAAGTTGTTCTCACGAGCATACAAGGCGGGTGGACGAGTTTTTGGACGGGAGAACGGGACAGCCTTGCAAGTGCGACTCGGTCCGGAGAACCTGGAAGAACTCTTCCTGTGCCTCAAAATCGCCTCACATAGTCTAGCGAGTGATTCTTGAGAATCCGCAAAAATCACTCGTCTAGGACCCTCGCGTACCTGAAAGTGAACCGGCGCTCCTGGAAGGGATTGGCCTTACCTCTGGAAGGGACCTGGGCGTACCTGGAAGGGTTCAGACGCAGCGGCGGGGGTATGGATTGTGTCGTCGAGAGTCTGCAACTCCGCCTCGATCGTCACCGCGTGCTCCAGCAGCCCGGGCGACTTCACGAACGTTATTATCCTGCGAATAATGCAGAGTTGACATGGAGTTGGGGATGATTATAACGAGTTACTCCACGTTAATAGAAGGATGATCGTCACCGCGTGCTCCAGCAGCCCGGGCGACTTCACGAACGTAATTATCCTGTGAATGGCGCAGACACGGTGACGCGGATGATTATAACGACCATGGTTGTAAACAAAAGGGCATTTCAGCTAAGAGACGAAAGGATGAGGGGGGGGGGGGGGGGGGATCTACTACAGGTTGGGGGAAGGCGAAGGCGAGGAACGGAGGGGGAAGAGGGGGGAGTGGGTTGGGGGGTGGGAAGGGGAATGGAACCGAGGGAAAGGGGAAGGAGGAGAGAGCGGGGAAGAGAAGTCTACCTCTCAACGGTTTTCATGGTGAACCATCCCAATAGTGTGTCTTCTTCGGCTTGTTCCTCCGCTGCTGCTGCTGCTGCTAGCGGGTTTTTTAGCCGCTGGCGATCTAGAAATTCGCGGCATTCGCGCGGGTCGAGCTTAATGAGGTGCGCGCCGCTCTTAAATTGGTCGTCCACGGACTTGATGTGCGACGCGAAGGGACGGATTAGCCCACTGGACACGATAGAGACTTCTCCGCTACAAGATACGACCACGTCGCATCTGCATCGGGACAGGATCGCATGCGGAGACAGATGGATCAATGACAATGACAATGCCTGTTATCGAGGAGACGCGAACCGAAGCACAAGCTGCTGTAATATCAAAATATTCCGGAAATCTCGGAAATATACATGCTCGCATGCATGGAAGTCAACGGGGAAAAGGAAAAGCAGGTTCAGGCTTCGGCTTGTTCGATCGCAGTATCGTCCTATGCTGTAATCAAGCCCTAGACGAGTATTGCATGACGAGCAATTCTTTGGCTCATACTACGGGAAGGAAAATAAATGATTGGATTTACTGACCTGCTCCTGGTCGTGTTGAGTTGCAGAAGGACGTGGTCCAAGATGATCGAGTCTCCCATCGTGATCAGATTAACAATTGCTTCCCGTTATTTACTTTCTATGTCAGTTTGTCTAGATATCTTTTCATGTTATTTATCAAAAAAAGATCTGAGAAAAAACTCGGTCTTTTCTCGAAGTAAATAAATTGGGATAAAAACTCGATCTTTCTCGAAGGCCAGTCCGCAATTCAGCACCAAAGATACTTCAGTACCTTTTTCAAGGCTCTGTAACACTATGATAAGGCTAATCCATGAGCGCCGTTTAATCTACATGTCGTTGAAAGAGAGAGGCCTGAAAGGAATGGCTCTCCTTAGACAATGAGAGACATGGAAAAAGGTGGTCGAAATCAGAGGAATCCAGCTCTAGAATGAACTATCGAGACATGCGGAGTGCACAGTGCGAGATGCGCCAGCGGTAATCAAGTATCAACTGCTACGTTGAGAGGGCAAAAAGGTACGTTGACGGCATTCCCAAGGATAAGCTGAACTGAGCTCAACATCTGAGCCAAGCCAAGCCGACGCGAACATCTGAGGTTGAGGCTTCCCAACGGGCATGAAATGTTGCCAGGCCCGTCGCTACGCTACGGTGCTTCATGTCTCCAATTCACCCATGCTGGGATGCGACGCGAGCCCCCGCTATGTGTGACGGGGATTGAAGCTGGCATGGCATGGCATCATCATCGAACACAGGGCACGAAATCGTAGGGATGAGATGGAATGGGATGGGATGGGGATGGATGGGATGGCGGGGGAGATCATGTGATGGATGTAAAATGGGCTGGTGGGATGGTTGTATCCCCCGTCAATTTGTACCAGTTTGTTGACTCGGGATTTGGGAAAAGCTTGGGCACAGCCATACAATGGCAATGCAGTCATTTCCTACGAAAACCCTTGGGCAGCGGAGACTGTCTTTATGGAAAGGAGAAACCCGATTTCACGCCCAAAAATGTGTCGGTCTCGGCCCAAGCGCGACAGAACCTAGTCGAGAGGACCGTCTGACCAAATGACAGTTTGACAGGGAATGGAAAGAAAATTGTCCCAGGTATGCCCTCACATCTCGAAAAATAGGCGCCGAATTTGATTTCCGAGGGAGTGAAATAGAGCGGCGAACCACACCCGCAAGAGTCGGCAGCACAAGAAAAAATTGCTTCAAAACGAAATCTTCCAGAAATTCTTCCAGCCGAAGCGCTCAGCTACAATGCAGTCGGGCGCCATGGGCGGGAAAGGGCTTCGTCAGAGGTCGGCACCTCCATATTCGCTAGAGCGACGACGACCGACTCCGAACGCCGCTGCGCAGATCTCGCCAAGCACACCATGAACCGCGCTCTGCGACCAAACAGTTCGCAATGCCCATACCAAGGACGGTGTGCGATGCAGAACTTGGCAGGACGTGGCACTCCCTACCGACTGTAGCGACAATCCCTGCGAGTCCACTTCCAAGCCGAATGTGCGGCTCGTATTAAAAAAACTCGTTGTTGACCTGGTAACGCTGTTACAATAAAAAGGTGAATTCTACGTTAATATCTTAACTTGATTTCTTGTTGGGAATGTGTTTTTGGTACGCATGTGGTCTGTACTGGGTCATCGGGACCTTTATTCCCAGGTGGCCAATATGTGAAACCAGGCCAGGCCAGAGGTCCACAGCATGCAACTTTCACTTCATCTCCACATGCCTGCGCATGTGCCAAAACGCAGTGCACCAGCTTCCAAATGTAACAGCTCAATGTGTTCCCATGCTCTCTGCATTCATTCACACCCTTTTACAACCACGTGAGAAGGACGGCCTGAGCACAGCTTCTAAATCTTTAAGACGGACTGGCTTTGTGAGAAAAGCGTCCATTCCTACACTTGCGCACTTGTCGCGTTCATGCTTGAGTGCACTTGCCGTCAGCGCAATGATGAGCGGCCTACTTAGTGTCCTGGAAGGATTGAAGAAGTATTTGTCATTGCTGCAAACTGCTGCACCCTGCTCTGAATGTCTCCCAGGTGCTGAAGAATCGCTGCAGTTAGTTTCAGAAATCTCGCGTATCCTTCTAGTCGCCTCAAACCCATCCATTTCGGGCATGTGCACATCCTGCAAGTATAGTTTCCGGGCATCAGCAAAAAAGGAGGCTGAGGAGGAGTGAAACAAACTAACAATGCCCATACCCCACAGGATATTCACGGTGGGTACCTGGGTGCAACAAAAAAGAGCCAACAGTTTGTATCATCACAACCCATACAAACAGCAAGCACAGTTGCATGACAGCTGAGACTGCATATTGAACTTCCCGTAATAACCACACACAACATCTCACCATGAAGATGACGTCATACTCCTTGGCCTGGCACGCTTCCACGGCCTTGACCCCATCATCTGCCACGTCACAGGTCACCTGCAGGCTGCCCAGCAGCCTCACCACCACCATTCGGTTCACCGGATTGTCCTCCACCACCAGACACCTCAGCCCGGCAAACGAGCGCACCGCCGCCGCTGCCACTGAAGGCAATGACTCCAGGGAGGGTGAGCGAAGCAGTGTTGCCACTGATGCTGCTGACGGTGCTGCTGACAGTGCTGGTGATGGCGCTGCCAGTTTTGCTGGAAACGGCGCTGCCAATGTTGCTGGAGATGGTGCTGCCAATGGTGCTGGTGAATGTAAGCTTCTGGGTGCAATTCCAGGTGAAATTAATGCCAACACTGCAGCAGGTGGAATGGCAGGTGGAATGACAGGTGGAACCGCAGATGCAGGCAGACCGGACAGTCCAGGTGAATGGAACCGGCTTGACGGGTGGCTGTCAGGAACTGGGGAGTCATGCGGAACAGGCATCTGTTGCTTGCCTTCGCCCACAGCCATTCCTGGCGACCCACTCAGCCAAACCATCCCAGCCGTCCCAACAGTCCCACTAGTCCCACCTGCAGGTCCATCCCTGCCTGCCTCAGTGCATATAGCAGTAGCACAAGTGTGTGTTGGATCCAGTGTGTGAGCACCACCGTCAGGAGTCTCCGAGGAGGTCCCAGCGGGGAGAGCGAAGGGCAGGGCGAAGGAGAAGCAGGAGCCGTTGCCTGGGCGGGAGGAGGCGGAGATGGTGCCTCCCATGAGCGCCACCAGCGACCTGCAGATGGCCAAGCCAAGACCCGTTCCTCCGTACCTCCTGGAGGTGGACTTGTCCGCCTGGAGTGGCAGGGTGGGAGAGGGAGAGAGGGAGGGAATGAGTGGCGCACGAAAGGAGGGCGGGGGAGGCAGAGATGGTGCCTCTTATAAGAGTGGGAGGGAGCGAGGGAGAGTGGAACGATGGGGGGCGATAGCAGCGGGAGTGAAAGTAGGGAGAGAGGAAGGAGGGAGAGGGACAAGGGGGGAAGGCAGGAGGGAAGGCGGTAGAGAGGGCGGGAGGCAGGGAGGGAGGGAGGGATGGAAGAGGAGTGGGATCAGCCATACAACTATTGTGAGATGAAGGCAATTGGAAGACGGAAGAGATGGACTGGACGTGTGGCTACACAAGAGACGAAGGGAGGGAGGAGATTTGGAGGCTGGAAAAGCAAGCAAGAAGGGTAAGAGACAATTGAATTAGAAGCCATCAGCTGTGTAACCATACCTGAGTGAAAGGCTGGAACAGCTTGGGCAGCATCTGCTGTGGAATGCCGATTCCAGTGTCCGTCACCTCAAAACGCACTGTCACTGCCAGCGACTTCTCCAGGGAAAGGGTCCTGCTCATCAGAGTGCCATTCTCAGGAGGGCATGCAGTTGCAGCTTGCTTCTCCATGCTGGTTGCAACGGCTTTGTCTTCATGTTGTGTCTTCCTCACTGCTACGGCTTCAGCTGCAACGTTTGAACCTGCTGCTGCTGCTGCTGCTGACAGGCCTGACTGCTTCTCCTGTGAAACAACTGATGCTCCTGCCGATGCTGATGGGTCTGATTGCTCCCGTGACACATCTGCGGTAGGTGCCAGCCAAGCACTCGTTTCTCGGAGTGCCTCAAAAGTCGAATCTGCTGCTGCAGACTGACCTAGTTGCTCCCGTGACACATCTGCTGCTCCTGATGGCCCTGGTCGCTCCCGTGAAACAGCCTCTGCGCCTGATGGTCTTGCCTGCTCCCTTGAATCACCAGCTGCTCCTGACGGGACTAATTGCTCCTCCCCTGAAACATCTGCATTGGCTGACGGGCCGCAAGACACATGCTCGCAGCATGCTCTTTCAATCGGCACTCGCGCTCTTTCAACTGGTACTCGCGCTCCACCATTTCTCTCCCTCCCGTCCGGCGGATTGCTAAGTCCTTGTCTCACCCCGTCCCCTTCCTGTTGGCGACTATTGAATCCGTGCCCAGGCCTAGCAGTCCCCGTTCCTGCCATCTTTGCAGCACCCAGACCTTCCAACGCCTGGCTACGCATGGGATCACACTTCCCAACAACCTCGTCGTATCCTGCCCTCTCATGCCCCCTCTCCCCGTCATGGAGTCTTGCCCTCTTCTCAACATCCTCCGGTCCTGCCCTCTCATCCCCCGTTTCCCATCTCTCCCTCTTTCGGCTGGGCTTTGTAAGAGATGCTTTGGGTCCTGCTGATGCTTCATCCCGCTTTGCTGACGCAGTTTCAGGCTCTGCTGAAATTGCTCCTTGCTGTGCTGACACGGCTTGTGGGACTGCTGTCACTGCATCGGGCTGTGCTGACGCTGGTGAAATCTCAGGTGCTGTTGACAGGCTTACACGTACCCTCACATGACCCCTGGTGCAAGGAGAGAGAAACATGGCCTGTTAAGATGTATCAGCGAGCTTCTGGACTTTAATATGACAGCAAACAAGGACCTGAGAATGAATCAAGCTGGTGCTTTCATGAACATCTCCTCTATCCCCTGACGTGCCTGAGAGAAAATGCAGGCATCAACTCGACAGGTCAATGACTCACCGGGAGGTGAACTTGATGGCGTTGGATAGCAGGTTGAGCAGCACTTGGCGAAGCCTGCTGGGGTCCCCAACCACAAGTGAAGGCACGGCTGGATCCACATCGACCAGAAGCTGCACGCACGGAGGGCGACGGGAGGAGGTTCATGCATGGATGAGGGGGAGAGGGGGGGGGGGTTGAGCTGACTCAGAGCAGCACATGGCGCAGCCTGCTGGGGCCCCCGAATCGACCTGAAGCTGAATGCAGGGAGAGTGGCAGTGAGGAGTCGTGTGCAAAAGAGAGAGGCGGAGGGGAGGGATAGGGGGAGATAGGTATAAATATGCAGGCGAGACGGGAAGGGAGAGTGGGGCGAGGAGAGCAGGCCAGGGAGGAACAGTGGGAGGGACAGCGGGGGCTAGGGAGGTCTAGGGAGTGCCGCGAGTGAGGGAGCAATGAGTGCACCTGAATGCCCTTTTGCAGCACAAGCACATGCACCGTCGACTCTGCTTCGGCCACCGCAGCCCGCAGGTCAAACGGCACAGCCTCCAGCTGTAATGAGTGCGCCTCCATCTTACTGATATCCAACACGTCCGATATAATTCTCAGCAGCGAGTCCCCTGACGTGCGAATCACTTCGAGTAGCGACCGCTGCTCGTCGCTCAGCGGCGTCTGCAGCAGCAGGTCGGCTACGCCGATGACTCCGTTCATGGGGGTGCGGATCTCGTGGCTGATCTGCGCCAGGAACTCGCTCTTGGACGCGTTGGCTCGCTCTGCGTTCTCCCGCGCCTTGAGCAGCGCCTGCTCGTGCTGCTTCATGTCTGTCAGGTCGTGCCACACCGTCACAAAGTGGCTGCGCCCGTTGGCTTGCACGCACTGCCACGTGTGGGGTGGGGCGACCGGTGCGGGAGAGGGAGGGAGAGAGTGGGAAGGGTGGGGATGGAGGGGAACAAGCGGGAAGGGTGGGGAGGGAGACGTGGGAAGGGAGGCGTGGGGAGGGGTGTTACAGTTGGAATGAGAGTACAGCACCACGTTCTCCCGCGCCTTGAGCAGCGCCTGCTCGTCCTGCTTTATGTCTGTCAGGTCGTGCCAGACCGTCACAAAGTGGCTGCGCCCGTTGGCGTGTACGCACTGCCATGTGTGCGGTGGGTGGGAGGTAAGGGAGAGGGGGGAAGCGGGGAAGCGGGGGAAGCGGGGGAAAGGAGGGGTGAGAGGGGGGAGACGGATGGGGTGGGGTGGGGAGGGGTGAGAGAGTGGGTAGGGAGGGGTTGCGAGGAGTGTATGTAGGTGATTGCAATGAAAATCAGCCCAACATAGTCCACTCCTCTCTGTTCCCGCACTTCGGGTACCATGCCCCAGACCACACCACCCAGGCATACCACCACCACACCATGAAAACACCAACATCACGCACCTGAACTTTCACAAGCACGGGAATGAGGGTTTTATCCGACGTATAGTGCCACCACTCGCCAATGGCGGAACCTTCCCCAGAGAGCACCGGGCGGCTGAACTCAGCCAACTTGTCGGCAGATCTTGTCCCGTCTGGCTGGAACTCAGGCGTCAGGCTGGCAACGTCCACCTTGCCTGCAATCTCGGATTTGTCCTTGAACTTCAGCATCTTGACTGCTGCTTCGTTGCAGTCCTGGATCACCATGTCGTCAGAAACGATAAAAACCGGATCCTGGGACAAGCAGGTAAAGGCACGGAGAAACATTCCAGCAACAAAAATGCAGCTTGAGGCATAATCGCAATTGTTGCCGTGAGTGACAATCTTAGAAACCAGCAGCGGCAAAACCCTACTGTGAGATCGCATTCGGGCTTGAAATCTGTGTCATTGCAGGCATTCTCGTGGCCCTTACCATGGACATTTCAAATATTCTTCTGAACTTCTCATTCTCCTGTCCTGTCTTAAGCGTCTCTTCAACCAGCTTTAGCCGGTGCAGAAAGGTCTCTGGGTCTTCATACAACGATGGAGGGTCCAATTCTCCAAATAATGCTCCACAGAGCTTAAAACACCTTCCGAGCACTTCCAATAACCGCTCCTGTAACAGTTACAGCGACGTTGGACAGACTAATGGTAAGGTCAAGGAAGGAGGACACGGATCAGAGCAGATTTCCTCACGGTGAATCCGTTATGCTTCATAAACGACCAAAAGGGAACAGAAAAAAAGACGAGTCGAAAGACACAGTGAACCGAAATACACACAGCGTGCCTCCTTAGAGGCAGTGGGCTACATACTTCAGCAGTTTTTCGCTTGGAGATATCATGGAACACGCAACAATACGACGAGACAGGTCCACTGGCGGAATCGGCTAGAACCGGTTTCATGGAGACATCGAACCACGCAGTGCTGCCATTGTGACATCTCAGGCGAAGCTCGAACGCTGATTTTTGGAGAGCCTTCTTGAGTGCACTCTGTGGGAAGTGGAACGGCAACACGCTAAGTCTATAGATGAGGCGAATTCACTGACACAATTCAAGCGACGCCTACACGTTACTCCTTGGATGATGACACAGTGCAGAGACACTCGGTCGGAGATGATGGTAGTACGTGCCTGAAAACGGCTCCTGTGGTTGCAATCTATGATCTCTTCGAACGGACGGTGGACGATATCGCTCTGGTCGTAACCAAGCGCTTCACAAAACGCTGAACTGCACGGAGAATTGTAAGAATCTTAACGATTAACCTCGATTTGTATGATGATGCATCGTTGCGAACCAGCGGAGCGTGCAGCAGCACACACCTGCAATCCGTCAGCTCGCCGTTCGTAGAAATTAGGGCGACGCAGGCTACATCTGAAAGTGCCGGCTGCTGTGAGACACTGAAAGCCATGTTGTCCTTGATATGGAACAGGCAAGTCAAGGATTGAGAAGTGAACTATGCGACCGTTTTTTTACCAATCAGGATTCGCAGGGTCAAAAGGTTGCAGGTCCAGCATAAAATCACAGAGGGAGGCCGGTCTGTACGATTCGCAACGGGTCATAAACACTGTGGGAACAGCGGAATGCCTCGCACCAAACGGGGACTCCGTTTCGTCGAGGTTCGACGACCGTAGGCTGAAAATTGCTTGATCCTTGCTCGAACGACCTTCATGGCGGGAGACCCTCCTGCGGATATGACTTCCTTCTGATTTGATGCTGCCTGCGGATTTCATGCCCTAGTGCTTGCTCTGCCTTATCACTGCTGAATCTGATAGTGATGCTCTTTGTTCGGGAACGACAACAAGCACAAGCCACGGCCATTACTGTGGAGAGAAGCTTGAGGTTGACATCGAGGGAGAAGGTAGTTGGAGCAGATCAATCTGCGCCGTTGATGGCTGCACACGTGGCTTTGTGGGCATTCTGCGGTGGTTGTGCCAGCCAGCCAGGCCTTGTTGACGCTTTTGCTGCTTTTGTTGCGACGTGACGTGATGCTTGGTTCCCGTATCCCGGAACAGCCCGACTACGAAGCAAAACTTCCGCCCCTGTAATCCAAGCTCGTCGCTTCGTTACCGTTGCTGCATTCTTATAAACAGAGATGTTGATAAGTCAACACGCCCAAGAGTTACACTCAGGACATCTTGAAATGAGGTCTCACACAGTGAATGTAGCTCATTCCATGTCATCCTGCTCAGTCGCATGATCCTCACAACCACCTTGCAGCAAACTACAAGGTTCAAGCACACTTACAAGATGCTGTAACCTAACTGGCTTGGTCAAGAAAGCATCCATTCCAGCTTCACCGCATTGGTCACGATCATGTTGTAGGGCACTTGCTATCAGTGCCACGATCACCGGCCGGCTGAGGGATTGGTATGGCTTGAAAAAACATGTCATTTGGAAATCGCTTCCCTTCCAGCACTCTGGGCAGATTCGGTTCACTGGATCGTGCTTGAGCTGACGGATTTGTTGAGTAGCCTCGAGCCCATCCATCTTTGGCATGTGAACATCCTGCAGATGTTTCCAAATAAAGATGACACAAAGAAAAAGGTCAGCGTTTTTGAAATCTGAAGCCACCCCTCCCTATGCATGAATAATCAGCCTTCACTTTCCCCCAATCTCCCTCTTTCCCTTCTGCCCCCCTTCCTTTTCCCCTTTTACCCAACAGCTGTAAATCCAAATAAAAACCAGATGATGACTCACCATGAAAATGACGTCATACTCCTTGGCTTGGCATGCTGCCACGGCCTTGACCCCATCCTCTGCCACGTCACAGGCTACCTGCAGGCTGCCCAGCAGCCTCACCACCACCATTCGGTTCACCGGATTGTCCTCCACCACCAGACACCTCAGCCCTGCAAACGAGCGCAGCTCTACCGATGGGGGAGAGGTCTCCAGGGAGGCTGAATGGGGTAATGAGACATGCAGGGGAGGAAGGTGCACTGATGCTGCTGGCAGTCCAGGGACCAGATTGTCCCTTCCTGAGGAGGACAGCTGAGGAGAGGTCCCTGGTGGTGGGCCAGATGCTGCCTCTGGTACTCGAAATGGCAACGTGAAGGAGAAAGTTGAGCCTTGACCAAGTGTGGATAAGACTGATATTCTACCCCCCATGAGGGTCACAAGGGACTGGCAGATGGCCAGTCCCAGCCCCGTGCCTCCGTACTTCCTCGAGGTTGACTCATCTGCCTGTCAAAACAATCCAATGTGTATATGAAAAACGAGTGCCTTGATAGATAACTATGAACTGCCAGAGTCCAGCCACAATATTGTGCACATACCTGTGTGAATGGTAGAAAAAGCTTTGGAATCATGTCCTCAGAGATTCCAATGCCGGTGTCAGAAACCTCAAAGTGGATGAGATTGCTCGTGTTATCACTTCGAAGTGTGGAATCCTTAGCATCACCCCGTAACCTAATCCTCTTCCCAGGCTCCTCCCCCTCAGCCCCTGCCATTGTCGCAAAAATGGAAATCAGGAAAATTTCACAATGACAGCCATGCTTGTACATTCAGAAGCTCATCACCACTGACACGATGTCGTGCATGGTGATAGACGAGGATGGGCTGCCAGCGAGTCTTTGCAGTCCTTGATAATGGCTCGTAGCTCAGTTCTGCCACTGTAGACAAGTGGAATGGAAGTCAATATGGTGACAAGGAAAACACAAAAAAAGACTACAAAGCAACAAATCCGAACTTTTATACAATACCTCTCGGTAAACTTGATTGCGTTAGAAAGCAGGTTGAGCAAGATTTGGCGAATCCTGGTAGGGTCTCCAATGACCTTGGAAGGAAGAGTGTCCTCGACAAAAGCATTGAGCTGTTGACATCACAAAATAAGCAGTTAAGGAATAAGCGCAATCAACAAGAAATCCTGGACTATGAGGAGAGTAGCAATGTGGCATACCTCTAGGTCCTTCTGCAGTGCTAAGACCCGGACTGAGGACAGTGAGTCTTCAATGGCCTCTTTGAGGCTGAAGGGTATGGATTCCAGCGTTATGGAACGGGCCTCGATCTTGCTGATATCGAGCACATCAGATATGATGTTCAGAAGAGTCTCTCCTGATGAGCGAACCACCTCCAGGTATGATTGCTGCTCCTCTGTCAAGTTGGTCCTTAAGAGCAGCTCAGTTACACCAATCACGCCTGCCAGCACGTATACACGAAACATTAGTGATGTGAGCTTTAGCCTTCCTAATGGAAAAGGAACTCCAAGCAGCTTCAACGAACAATCACTGACCATTCATAGGTGTCCTTATTTCGTGGCTGATGTTAGCCAGAAACTGGCTCTTAGCTTGGTTAGCAGCCTCTGCAGCCTCCTTCGCTTTCTCTAACTCAGCCTCACGTCTCTTAATTTCAGTCAGATCATGCCATACACAGACCATGTAATTCTTCCCATTGGAAACGACGTTCTGTAGCAATGAGATAGAACATTTGGTTAGGTACTAAGAAAACAGAGTAAGGCTGATGGCCACGATGCACAAGCACATACCTGAACTTTCACAAGAACTGGAAAGAGGGTCCCCTCAGCATTGTAGTGCCACCATTCTCCCGTGACAGTTTCTCCGGCAAACAGAGGCTGGCAAAACTCCTGGAGCTTTTCTATCGTCCTCGAGCCATCTGGCTGAAATTCTGGAGAGACCATCGGCACCGTGAGCTTCTGTACAATCTCGGACATGTCGTTGAGCTTTAAAATGCGAAGAGCAGCCTCGTTACACTGGTGTACCGTTGTGTCTTCTCCTATCAAGAATATTGGGTCCTGCTCAGGTAATTGACGACCACGCTTACGCTCTGACGTCTAGCAAAGTGTAGCCATGACCAATCAAGCAAGAACTCACCATGGACATCTCAAATATCCGTCTAAACTTCTCGCTTTCCAACCCAGCCTCAACGGCTAGTTTCAGTTGGGACACTCGTTCCCGGAAACCCTTGTCATTTGCTGCTGATGCTTGTTCCTGAGATGCATTTGACCGTGAATTAGCAAGCGCGAAACAGTCTTCGAGAGCATTCTGAGCAATATCCTGCGTAGAAACAGGACTATGGTAAGAATGCGCAGAGAAGAGTCATAACAGGCTCGCAATAAAACGAATTTCTGACCTCGACTCTTCTCCATCGCGATATGTCGTGAAATATACAAACGAACTGTGACGGCTCGCCGTTACGTCCGCATTTTGTCAGCTTCGCTTCGAACCATGCGCAGTCGGCTAAGTGGCGAGAAACTCGCAGGTCAATACATGTTCTCTCTTTCGCCACGCCAAGTGCACTCTGCGTCATTAAACAACCTAATCAGAAAAGCTATTTTAGCGAAAGAAACTGATATCGCTAAGGATGCTTTACCTGGACGCAATCCCTCTCATCTCCATGTACGAAGTTCAAGAAATTGTTGCCTACAGTTTCCTCCTCCGCCAAGCCTATTATCTCGCAAAAAGCAGGAGTGCACCCTTGAATTTTGCCGTCTGATGACAGAACTAATGCTGGAACGAGGCGTTCCAAACCAAGCAGCAACGGAGAATCTTGGATTGCCATCACACGCATCTTCCGTCCGCTTCGTGCATCTCAAAGCGAATTCGAGAGCTTTAGCTACGACTGTGAACAGACCGCACGGAAGCTAAGTAGTCCTATAGCTAGACTATGAACAGGTGCCAAGAGAACGAATTACAAAAAATGATCCCACTCCATTGCCAACGAGTTCCTGCTCCTTCCAGCAAGATTACTGGGGTCGAAGTGTCGTGTTTTGTTCACCCATGAAGGTAAGCCCAAAAGTTAATCGTCTGTACCATTTCAACGGTTTGCCTCGGTTTCGCACATTCGGATGCGGTGAAAACTAAGAACCGCTTTCAAGCGTGTCACAACGCCTTCAACCGCACAAAATGATGTGTCAGGCATTGTGAATGCCAGTTTTGTTTGATCAGTGCTGCTGATCGCTGTGCTTGCTTCTCTTCTTCGCGTGTGGTGTGGGTTGGTGGTGGGGTGGGGTGGGGAAAATCCCCCATACAGGTGGCTTGGACGGCGGCGGTGAGTGCTGTGCTGTATTTTGGATCAGGTCAGCTTGTGAACTTTTCCATTGCTTCCCGACGGAGATGACAGCCCAGACTCGCGGCATTTCGGATCGCTCGCTCCAAGTGCAAGTCAACAACGATCTGCCCGACGGTCTGAACTTTTTGAGGGTGCTTCCATCTATACAGTACCATTGGCACCAACTTGTGGAGGAGAATCCATCCACATGTACAGGGACCAAACCCCAAGCGTGCAACACGGGCTGCATTCGATAAAGGGCATTCGTCCAAAATCACTTCTCGATAAACGCGGAACCTCTACAAAATCAGAATGGTAACAAAATGGTGCAAAAAAATGGTGCACTCCACTAAAAAGGCTCGATGGAATTTGAGACTCAGAGGAAAATACCTCAGAACCCTTCGATTTGAGTTGATCGTGAGGTGTGCGATAGCTGAACAAAATTCCCGCCATCACTGGCACGGCTGTCAGGTGCCACCAATCAATGAGGCGGCTCCCGCGCAAAGACGCCAAAACCTGAAATGCTGAAACTCGGCGACTTTTGGTAACTCTTCTCACGAAACCAGTGTCGTAATCGCCTGGAAGTGACCTTCCCCTAGCGAAACGGAATTTTCTCGCTAACCGAAACTGAGAACGAAAAAGTTCCGCCATGTTTGGCTACGCAGCGGAAGGCAATTGCTCCACCCCGCTGAGATTCACACATCCACCCACCAGCCAGCCATCCCCTTCTTGCTCCTTCCCTGGGAATTGCCACTTCGCCACCAGACCGGCCATTCCAGTTCTTCCCTGTATCTCGGAAATTCATCTCACACTCGTTTCCATGGCGTCCTCGCATTCTTTAAGTTTTTGGCGGGTGATTCCATGGGCCGTATCACCTACTTCAATCTTAAATATCGCCGTCTAGGTCTTAAAACTCGGCCCGTGGCATGAAGGACCTACCACAGTCCTATTCAATCAGTGCAACTCTGCCTGATCACTGACTTAATTCTACCCTAGTTATACGGAGGCGACCTCTCTCGTTTCAGGCTTAAGTCGAAATATCGCGATGGCGAACGCAGTTAGACGCTGTTACCCGGGCGACGTTAGCAGTTTCCACCTCACCCAACGATCCAGCCGGAACGTCTGGGAGTGAATAACGGACTGGAGCAGTAAGGAATGTGGTGGTGACCTGTTCTGAAGTTTCGGGAAATTAGGGAAGCGAGATTTTACTGTATGCTAGCAATTTTTCGAGGTCGCTTGCTCCAGTGACGCTCGCCTTCGTAATGTTAACCGCTTACTGCTCACGACAAAAGATATTGCATTAAGCCGAGTCGTCTCCTCCTCACTGCGAGATATGTCGCATTCTGTTGAAACGTGTCCCGGCTCGCATCTTGGTTGCGGATGCGGAACGGTCCGGAAGGAGTGTGAGGTTCGGGATGCTGAGAGGTTCGGGGGAATGGCGACGCAGCGAACTGGAGGAACATCTTCATGCATCGCGTGTGCTGCTCATGACTGATAAATCGCATGTCAGTATTTGTCCTTCCGGCGAGGATTTCTCCCGTGATGCTCGCTTTCGCAGCGTCCACCGCGTGCTGCTCACGAGACGTCGGGTCTTGACGAATCGCGTGCACTGCACGACGAGAGACGACGTCGTTTTTTGGTGAACCGCGTCTCGTCGATTCCGAGCTTTCAGCTCTCAAGTTTCGGCGTTTAAGGTTCGGTTGCTTTTTAAGATGATCTTGGGAGCTCCTTTTGCGCGAACGGCGACACGTGGGAAACGTCGACGGTGAAGAAGCTCGAGTAGCGGCGGTTTAGGGAAGGAGCGACCGGCGAGTAGGGAATCTTGAGTTAAGCGACCGGCGAGTAGGGAAGCTTGAGTTAAGCGACCGGCGAGTAGGGAAGCTTGAGTTAGCGACCGGCGAGTAGGGAAGCTTGAGTTAAGCGACTGGCGAGTAGGGAAGCTTGAGTTAAGCGACCGGCGAGTAGGGAAGCTTGAGTTAAGCGACCGGCGAGTAGGGAAGCTTGAGTTAAGCGACCGGCGAGTAGGGAAGCTTGAGTTAAGCGACCGGCGATAAACTCGGAGTAGCGAACGACGAGGGACGGACGACGAGCAGTGAACGACGAGGGACGGTCGTCGACTAACTAGTGACGGACGAAGGCGGACAACGACTGACGGACGACGACTGACGGACGACGACTGACAGACGACGACTGACGGACGACGATTGAAGGAAGGCGAATGACAGACAACGACTGACGGACGACGACTGACGGACGACGACTGACGGACGACGGTGACGGACGACGACTGACGGACGACTGACGGACGGCGAATGTCGGACAGCGAGTGACGGACAGCGAATGTCGGACGGCGAGTGATGGACGACGACTGACGGACGGCGAGTAACAATCGTCCGCGATAACAACCGAGACCAGCGACCAACGACGTCGACTGACGGATGTCGTTTGACGGATGTCGACTGACGGAAGGCGGATGGCGAGTGACGGCCCACGGCGACGCGCCTCAAAGACGAGCCACTTTTAGTTAAGTGCTCTGGACTTCACTCCCGTTTTTCACTTTCTTTTGATGCGCAATGGAAACTTGTTCGGCAGTTCTCATGGGAGGTGGTACGGGTGGGTGGGTGGGAGTGTGAGGGCGTGTGGCAATGGTGGGCCGTGGCACAAGGCAGCTGAGCGCATGTAGGTAGAGTTGTAGGGGGTTAGAATAGAATGCATTCATCCTCATGCCCGCGTCCTCCTCCTCCTCAGTCCCCCCCTGCAAGCTCGCTCGCTGCCAAACTGCCACGGGCTGCCATTCGCCACACTCCCTTCGCCTCCCACGCTCCTCCCAACCCCTTTCGTGCCTTTCTGCCATATGCTTCAAGTTTCCCAATGTTGATACGATTCCACGTCATGCTTGCTGCTTCATCATTCTAACTTTATTGCTGCTTTGGCACTCCTTGCATCTCATTCTACGCCAATCTCTTTGCATCTCCTTCTCGCCGTGCCTTCTTCCCCATCCATCTTCTGGCCTGGCCTCAGGTCGAATGGAGTGCGACGATGTGCAGAATGGTGTGCGAAGCGGCAACGAGTTGTGTGCTGCATTGTGAGGAATGGCGACTCACTGGGCGGCGACGTGCGGAATGGCGAGTTGCTGCGTGCGACCGCGTGCGGAACGGTGATGCTGCTGCTTGCTGCTCCTCCCTCGGACGAGTCCCTTTCAGCCTCTACGCTTCTCCTTAGCTAAGTTTTCTCTCCCCCAACCCCTCCTCCATCGCTCCCCATCCGTCTCTTTCACTCTTAGCAAATCTCAAGGCACATTTGTTTCTTGGCGCATGGTGGTGGTGGGCCATGGTGCTATGGCAGCAGAGCTCATGTAGAGTGCAGTGTAGTGGGAGTGGTGGGAGAGATGAGTGGGAGAGGGAGTGCATTCATGCCATGCGTGCGTCCCTCTCTACCCCAGTCCCCCCTCACTGGCTGAGCTCGCTGCTGTAGTGCCGTGGGCCACTGTCGCCATGCGCCTTCCTCTTTCCCCCTCCCTCCCACCCACCACGATCCAACCACTCCGTTTTCTCTGTGCTCCATATTTAAGTTTCTCAATGCTCGCTCCTCACAGTTTCTGCTCTATTGCCACCTTGACGTTCTTGCTGCTCCTTTGCATCTCCTCCCTGTGCCTTTTTCCCCCTCTGCCGCAGAGCGGTGGCTGCAGTCAGCATCAGTCAACACCAGTCAACACCAGTCAACACCAGTCAACACCAGTCAACGCCAGTCAACACCAGTCAACACCAGTCAACAGCAGTCAACAGCAGTCAACAGCAGTCAACGCCAGTCAACACCAGTCCTCAGCAACCACGCCCATTCTGTCTCTGCCGTTAAGGTACGATGTGGATCCCTTGAACTGGACTTCAGCCACTCCCTGCTACGCTCCTCCATTCCATTCCACTGCACCCACTCTCTCCTTTGCTCTCCCATTTCACTGCACCTGCTCTCAGCGCACCGCACAGCCCACAGCGTAGCGCACGGTTTCGCTTTCTCTGCTGGTGACCTGCTAGCTTTCTCTACCGTAGCTCTCTCTGCTGTTGTTCTTCTGCTACCTTTGTGCTTCATGTATTGATCTGCAGTCTCCTCCCTTACTCCTTCTCAACCCCCCTCTTGCGCTTTTCCCCTTGTTGCACCCTGCTGCAGGCGAACTATAGCAGTGACGGCAGCAGAAGCAACAAAGGGCAGTGCAAGGGAGAGCATGTGGAGTCTACAGCCACTTCTGGTGAAGTGCTCTCAACTCCACACCCGTTTCTCTTGTCTCGCTTTTGTTCGCGCACAATACAATTTATTGGAAGGAGTTCAAGTGGGTGTGGGAGTGTGAGGGCGTGTGGCGATGGTGGGCCGTGGCACAAGGCAGCTGAGCGCATGTAGGTAGAGTTGTAGGGGGTTAGAATAGAATGCATTCATGCTCATGCCCGCGTCCTCCTCCTCCTCAGTCCCCCCCTGCAAGCTCGCTCGCTGCCAAACTGCCACGGCCTCCCATCACCACACTCCCTTCG